GTTCTTTACGGAGTCTTTCTTGTTCTTCTGCCTTCTCTCTTCTCATATTCTCCATAAAATCGCCCAATAATTTGCTTACTTCCTCCATTTTCTTCGCTTGTTCCCTTGTACCAACCATAAAAATACTCTAATTCGGTCTAAAATCTTCCAATCCACTTAATTTCTGCTTAAAATCCTCTTGAATCGCACTTCCGACACCAATTGTTACGGATTCCGTGGGTCCACTAATTTAAACTCACGATAAAATACTTAACGAATTTATTTTCTCACTTTATACACAATTACTAACTTATAACACACAACAACTAACTATTTATAAGATTCCTTCACCAAATTGTCCGATTTTCAATTTCCACGCGGTATATTCAAATTTCAAAAACTGTCTCAGTTGTCGATGGCTCCGGCTTATATACTCTATTGACTGCTTCTCGAAATTTCCCCAATTCTCGGAAAGCGTACTTCTTCATACCAGACAATTCTATTGTCTGATTCCCTTACTTCTCGACTTGACTAAAAGATGGCGCCTGAAAAAGTCTTTTAATTTCTGGCGGATACGTTGCGGTTGTGCAGGCAACCAGTAATACATTTTTAATTTCTGGCGGATGCGCCATTTTTCTTGACAATATTTTACTAAAAAAAGTTTCTAATATTTTTTAAGTTAACTATGGATTGGTTTAATTATAAATCCGTCATGCGTCGTCTCTTTGTTGTTTTTAACCAGTTTTATTGGTTTATTTCAAAAATGACAAATCATATTTCAATTTTATTGGTTTGACGGAACGATGAACGACAAAAGGACGCCGATGCGTATGAACTCGCTTTTAGATTTTTGAGGCTTTTCAAAGTCTTGCCAAATTATAGGTTATAATTCTGTGTCAACTTATGTCAAATATCTGCGTTTTGGAAGATGATGCATTTTTATTCATGTTATTAGATGTGTTTTTTGTCTTTTCAAGTCAAGTGGAGGAAAAATCGAGGGAAAATTAGAACTGTAGACCCAGAGCACAGTTTATAGTTAATACTCGCTATCCAGGCAGAAAGTCTTAAGGTTGATTTTCATGCATCCGTTGTCCGACGATACGATGATACGATATTAATTTTATTGGTTGAATTTAAAGGCTTCGATTGGTTAACCATTTCTAGCCAATCGAATTCTTTAAATTCAACCAATAAAATTAATATCGTATCATCGTATACTCGGATAACGGATGCATGAAAATCAAGCTTTATACACCAATAAAGTTACCATCAATAAAGTTTGTATACCATCTTGTCGTAGACCATCTCGTATATTATGCAACATTGTGCAGGATTGTACTAAACATATACTACAGGCTACAGGAGTAGCTGTAAAATATCGACATCACACGATAGGTAAATAATGGATTTTAGTACTGCAGAAAAATAATGTCAAAAGGTACTGGTTTAAAAAAATTAAGATTAAAGTTAATTAATCAACCTTTAAGGTATAAAATTTGGTAAGTGTTATTATTAATAAAATAGTTTTTTTTATGTTGTTCTATTTATTCCTGTGGAATATTACAAATTTGTATTTATACAAAAGTTATATTAATAAATATGATAATAAATGCGGGAAGTTTCTTGAAACTTGAAAGTAAGAAAAAGTTATTTTTTATATTTTTTGGTATGTGGTGTTTTGTAGTAACACATATACCGGTTTTTTTTAAATAATATAACTCGATTACATTTTTTCAGTTTTATACAGTTTTTTTTCACAATATTTTGAAGTAATCATAAGTCAAATTTTAAATATATTAATTTCCTGCTATGCGTTCCAGTTGTACCAACTTATTTCTTTGTAAAATAAAATAAACTAGTTTGAAATTAAAATGGCAGACACATCTATCACTGTCAAGGATCTTGTCGTTGGACAGACTATATTGGTTTGGTTAAGCAGATACGTAATTGTCTATTGCAGTTAGGCAGATACATATGAACTCGACTTAAGATTTTTGAAACTTGTTAAACTCTTGTCAAATTAATATTTATTATTTGTGTCAAATTATGTCAAATAACCAGCGTTCTAGAAAATGATAAAGATTTTCTATAGGCTTGGTGCATTCTCCGCCGATGCTGCCACTATCGGAGAATATCGTAAACAACTGGTATATCCAAATAGAGATATTATTGAGACAATATTATGACTATCAATTTGAAATTTGATCGTCTAATGTTTTTCGTGTTTTGTCCTGGCCGGTTAAAAGATGCCCAAATCGTATTTTTTATCATATCTCATTTTTTTCAAATGGGTGGCTCATTAGCATATTCGGAAAAAGCATATTTTTACGAAGAGTTTGATACTACACACTTGGTATTTCGAGGCAAATTTTCGTTATGAACCGCATGTTACAATTTCAAATAAACCATATCGTCGGTGAAACGTGATAAACTGCTAACTCCATTATTCCTAATTTTACAGGAGATCAAAAAAACGGTACAAAAAAATATGTACCGTAGTTTGGGGCGAAATTGATAACCGGGGGCGAAATTGATAATTACATGGTTTAGTCACATTTTTAAATTTAGCGCCAAATTTATGCAACTAGAAGCAGTGGTGTGCATCAAAATTAATTAACTAAAATTAAAATTTTAACCGCGTTTTTTGCAAAAAATAGATAAAAAATGGCACACCCGACTGCATACGTCTTGTCATCAAAGCTTTACTAAACAAGACTGATGCACACCACTGCTTCTAGTTGCATAAATTTGGCGCTAAATTTAAAAATGTGACTAAACCATGTAATTATCAATTTCGCCCCCGGTTATCAATTTCGCCCCAAACTACGGTACACATGTAGGAAGTATTTTGATGCGTTAATATGATAGGGAGATAAGAATTTTATTTGCCGGGGAACAATAAAACTCAATATATCGTGTTACGTCATTTTTTTCAGGCACAATAGGGAGATAGCAGATATTCGTCTTGCAGAAATAAGAAATAAAAATATACTTCTGGAGATAGCAACTTTTGTTTGAAATTTTGAAAATGGAAATGAATATTACCCAAACAGATTTAGAAATAATCAATTAAATTTAAAAAATATGATATTCATAACCATATATTTATAATATCGTCGGTCTAGAAGCAAAACAAACATAGTCCAAAAACGAAAAAATTTTTAATAAAAATTTTAAATTTTTTTGCTTTTTTAAAGAACTGAAGTAGCAGAATTTTGGACTTAATGAATATGAAAATAATTTAAAAATTAAACTTATAATTCTTAGAAGATATGGTAGAATCCTTCCATGCTTATCCTAATTTTTATACAACGGTAGTAGACCGAGCTTGGAAGACCAGTGCGTGATTTTATTAAATTTTTATTACTTTTCTCCTTATTTTTTTAATTTTTATAAAAATTTTGGATCATTTACGTGAAAAAACGCCGAAAAAAAATAAAACTGATTAGGTATTATGGAAATTCTTGTACAAGTAAGTAATGTTCTTCTTCTTTCAGTGCCTATCCTCTATGGATGTTGGCAATCATGTTGGCCCACATAATCCTATTGACAGCCGCCCTGAATAGATGTACGGTCGTCATTCCCGTCCACTGTCTAATATTTTTCAGCCATGAGGTTCGTCGGTGTCCCTCACCTCTTCTACTATCTATTTTGCCCTGCAGTAATGTTATTTAAACTATTTATAGCACGCCGATGAATTGCTCGTATATAGAGAATTTCGTTTTTCCCCTTACCCTTTACGGATACCCCGTATTTACAGAACGGATCGACGCAGGGTCGGACTGGCCATATTATATAGATAACTATTAGGGGGGGGGGGTCCAGCCCCCTAATAGTTAGCGGGCCCCCTTTATAGTTCATTATTTATTCTTAACAATATTTGCTTTTGCATTGCATTATGGAATTTGCATTGCATTGGTTTACATTGCATTAGAGTAGTTCTCTGAGTTCTATACAGGGTGAGTCTTAAATAAGTGCAAATATGTTCAAATCTCGATAAAAGAAACATATTTTCTCTTTACCTTTTTTTTCAAATAAATCCAAAACAACCGAGTTATTTCACTTTTAAAATTTCCAATTTTTTGCTATAATTTTGAGAATCATATATTGGATTTTCTTTCTTGTAAATTTAATCTACTACCTATGTTACCATATTACAAACAAGGTATGTTTTTAAACTAAAAATTAAAAAAAAAATCCAATTTTTTTTAAAAAATTCCAAATTAAAAAAAATAATTCGCGCAAAAAACCTCATAATCGTGTTTCTTGGGTCGAAATATACCACCCTAAAAATATTTGCACTTATTTAAGACTCACCCTGTATATAATAGGGAAAAATTGACCAAAATGTAAGGCGAAAAAATACGCAAAAAAACACACGGACCCCTCCTTACATTGCCACCCGGGTCCCTTTGGCCTAGTGCGACCCTGGATCGACGTCCTGTACTAAAAAAACATACGACTAAGAATCTGTGTGTTTGCTTTAGCGTGATCGTAACGGAAATTACGGAGATAGCAGCATTTCGGTGGCTATTTCAGATCACTAGGAGTTAGCAGATATTATTGAGTTAAAATAAAAAAACTTCTTTAATGGGAAAAAATGTGTTTGCTTTCCCTACTTAAAGAGTATTTTTTTTCTCTTTCTAATGGTATAAAAAAACTTATTAACGTAAAAAATGGAGTTAGCAGGATATCACGTTTCACTGACGATATGCAAAAATGTCAAAAGTGACATATCATATGTCATTCTATTCAGAATGTCATTTTCTGTCAAATAAAGTAAAAATATACCGAGGGTGCCATTTAAAAATCAAAAGTTGTTGTCATTTCCGGTGAAACAGGAAGTGACCGAAAACAACTGAATACGTCAATCTATCCTAATTTATGTTAAATCCGAGTTTATGTTATTCTAACATACCAAATCTCGTTTTTTTATCTGAAAAAAAAAGTTATAGGGGTGAGCCACTTTTGAGACGCACCCGGTATATTCTTATATGATGAAATACAAAATGTCAACCTACCTTATACTCTTTCGACAACAATTTCCTTGGGGGTAAATTGGTAAGTTAGAACCGACTGCCAGTTGTTCCCGCCACATCGACAACTTCTTTTTATGGTCGTAGGTAAATCCATCCATATCTTCAGCCTTTTCGCACATTGAATTGAACAAAACTAGATTTTCGTCCGATGGATTGCGCATCGTCAACAATTGCGCACAAACTGTAACAAATTTTATGATTGGCAATGAGCTATGGCCTTAGATCTTATAAACTTCGGCTATGGCAATTATTGATAAGAATATGAACAAACAATAGCAATATTATAAAATTAAAAAATGACTATTACAGTAAACCACCTCATTTATATGGTTTACCGAAAATAAACAAACAGGGTATACCTTTTAGACCTATAGTCAATAATATAAATTCTCCATGCCATCCGTTAGCAAAATTTTTACTAGACATATTAAATCCGACTACAAATAACACCGATTCATACATTAAAAACACACCACACTTTATAGAAAAAAAAATCAAAATTTAATATAACACCTAACAGTTTAATGGTTAGTTTTGACGTTGTTAGTCTTTTCACTAATGTGCCGGTAGATAAATCGCTTAAAATAGTTATGGATAGATTAGAACAAGATACACATTTAATAGATAGAACAAAATTAAACATAGATAGTATTTTGGAATTGTTGACACTTTGTGTTAAAACTACTTATTTTCAATTAAATAATGAATTTTTTCAACAAGATTTCGGTATGGCAATGGGATAACCTCTCTCTCCTTTGTTAAGTAATATTTTTATGGAATATTTTGAAAATAATACGATAAATAATTTTTCAAAAAAGTCTGTAATATGGCTGCGTTATGTTGATGATGTTTTTGCAATATGGCAACATAACGTTTCTGAAATAGACATTTTTTTGGATTATATAAATTCTCGCAAACCTACTACCATTAAATTTACTTTAGAAGTAGAGAGACGTAATCGTTTGCCATTTCTTGATGTTTTAGTGTCAAAGTTTTAAAATAAACTAATTTTAGATGTTTACAGAAAACCCACAAACACAGATAGATACTTAAAATTCACATCTAATCACGCCTAAATTATAATGAAAGAAGCGATAGCCTCTGAAAGAAAAATAAAAGAGGTTTTTTTAATCCAATTTAATAAAAATAAATGTACTTCTCATGCATCTGTAGATGTTAGTAATGTATGGCAATCCCTTCTTTGACTTTGACAGAACATAACATAAATAAACATAACATACGTAAAATTTAAAAATAATCATACAGAAAGTTTGGGGCTTTTTGGTTTTACCTTATTAAGTAATTGTTTATCATATAGTAATTGTTAATTTTGAAGTTTAACTCGATATAATGTCATTTTAACAGAACGTCAACGGTTTCTTGTAGACGTATCTGTTTTAAAAAAGTAAAGTGTTCTCGAATAGTTGAATTTAAATATTTTAAATAGTTTTTTTCTTTATTCTTTGTATTTTTTTTTGCTTCCGACGACGGAAAGAGATAAATTTTCCGAAACGTTAAGCATTTTTTTCTTTGTCAGGCAAATTTGTATAACTGTAAACATAACTTCTGGCAAGTAGTTTCCGTTTGGGTTTAACGCAGAAGTGTTTTGGTTTTGAAAACAAAAAATAACTATTTTATTTTGTAGATTTTCTTGCAGTGCAGTGGTGAAATACCCATAAAAGATTTTTTTTGGAGAGATGAATCGGCCACATAGGTATAAACATTTTTTATTATGAAATTAATTTCGTTTTATTATTCTTAAAAGCTTACCTTTCCCCATAACTCTGACAAATTGAGAATACAAATCTTCTCCCATAGAAATCTGCAAAGGCGTATACAAAATAGATTTCAGTTCTTTTAAAGCTTTATTCAAATCCCCTCCGTGCAAAACCGCCATTTCCAAGTCTTCGAGCGCCCTCATTCGTCCCCTTAGTTTCTCCAAACTTATCAGTAACTTGTGTCTAGCACCTTTAGTCACGCCCACTCCTATCAAATAGTCCTCCGTGAGATTCAGCATTTGACCTGCCGTTAAATTGTTAAATATCCAACTGTATTTGTGCAACCGAAGCGACTTCAACCACGACAGGATAGATTTCATAATGGGCAAATTGTTCTTGATTATGATCTCTTGAAGTTTCGTCTCCGAACTGCTCGTGTGAATTTGGGGTATTTGTAAAGTGTTTTTCTCGCACGATAACGAGTAACTTCTTGGTTTCGATAACCTGTTGACCAGATTCTCTTGAGACGACCAGTTCTCTATATCACATACGTACGTCGATTCGGGTATCAAACTGTTCGATCGTTTTTTGTTGTTGTTTATTAAATCTGGATTGTCGCTTCCGCTATCGCTGATTATCTCGCTGACTGGCGAATGTACAAAATTCTCGGGACTCACCTAGAACAAGATGTCGTTTATTGCATTTGAAATACAGGGTGTCCCAATATTCCGTAGACAGAACTACTGCGTATTTTTCGAATCAAAATAAGTTCTTTGGACACAATTTTCCTCTTTACAAAAGTGCTTCGTTTGTGCGCTAGAGGGCGTCAAACTTTAAAAAATAAACCAGATAACCGTTATTTCGATTTCCATGAGATTTTCGGTGTCTATGTTCTCCTAAATGCTCTAACATTTGACTTTCACAAAAACCAAGAAAAAGTGCAGGAAAGGTGGAAACAACCCCCACCCCTACATAAATTTTAGTATAAATATTTTCCAAAGCCACCGACGGCCGATTTTCTTTTAGTAAAAAGGTCCCTCTAGTATTTACTACATTTTTTGTCTGTTGTAAAAAAAAACGCCACCGTGCATACTTTTTGAGAATAAAAATTATTTTTTCAAAGGGGACTTCCAAAAAATGTTTTTTGTCACATCAAGCTATGGAGGCGCATAAAATCTATTATGCTCTAATAATCTAGTTAACAAAAATATGGAATTTTATGTTAGTATCACAAATTATATTGAAAATATTTATCGGAAAATATTTATACTAAAATTGATGTAGAGGTGGGGGTAGTTTTCACCCTTCCCGTACTTTTTCTTAAATTTTGTGAATACCAAATGTGAAAGTACTTAGCAAAACATAGACACCCAAAATCTCATTCAAATCGGAATAACGGTTCCTAAAATATCTGAAAAAATGGGTTTATTTTTTTAAAGTTTGATGGCCCTCTAGCGAACAAACGAAACACTTTTGTACAGAGGTAAATTGCATATACATCTAAATTATATACAGATTATCACCTATCCCTGCAATGTGTTGGAGTTAAAACCGAGTTAGAGACAACCAGGCCCTGCGCACTCTCCGCGAAACGTCAAACCACGAAATTAGTACGACTTCAAGACACCGTGCGCTAGTGTCGCCTGGCGGGAGAAAGCAACAGCCAATGAAAATTTTTCTGTTTTATGATTGGTACCTGGTCAAAAGAAGGGCGACCGGCTGAATTTTAAAAATGTTCAGTCTATCACCGTCGTCCTTTGGGCTTGTTCGTGGTTTGATCTAAATTTTTGTAATTGTTACGAAGTGTTATTGTGTTGACTTTTTAAAAATGGTGTTATATTGCTGTGTGTTGGGCTGTAAATCCTCTCTAGTAGATCATCCATTTTGCATAGTATGCCAATGGATAAAGAGGTAAGTGTATTTATGTTTTTGACCCGTTTAAAAATTCGTATATGTAGTATTTTTTTAGGGTTATGCAAGTCCAGGAGATCCTCTAAAAAAACTTGCATTTGAAGTATTTTAAAAAAATAAAGTAAAACATAAAAGCCTTAAATAAAATTAAACAAGTCCCTTTATAAAGTTTAATGTTTTTATTGATTGCTTTTGCTGATAAATATTGTTTATATTATAATGTAAAATGTCTGTATAATGTGTATGTCAGGTACTAATCTATATAACGAATTATTTTTATTCAAATGTTGAATGGACAATATTATAGTATTATTTGATGATTTTTAATATAATTTTTGTGTTTCATATTGGTTTTTGTATTATTGTTCCGTATCCGTCTTATTAGAAATATTATATATACATATTGTTTTTTTTCTAAACGTAAAAGAATTAATACTGTTTTTTTTTAGTTTTCTGTAGAATAAAAGTTATATCTTACAGAAAACTAACAAAAAAACAGTATTAATTCTTTCACGTTTGGTAAAAAAGCAATAATGCAATTCAATTTTAAATTCCCAGCACCTGGCGGGAAAAATGAAGATTTAGTACGTCTTCAACTCACTGAATGCTGTAAAACGCGTTCTCGATAAATGACGAGAGTTGCCAATCTAAATGTTTGTGGTCTGTGGAGACAACTAGATAACCGGTCCATGTATATTTCGCATAAGTTCGTCTGTTAGGCAGACAACAGACGAACAATTCCAAATATCGATTAGCCCTTACTCTGAGGATTAGCCAATAATTGTCAAACGGGAACGCAAACGAAAGCCGTAGGAAGTTGTACGAATGAACAGCTGGTGCTAGCGTCTAGTCTCATATTGGTCGGTAATTCAATCTATAATTCAAAATCCGGGCTTGCGCACTACGCTTGCGCAGGCCTAACTGAGCGATTTATGCCAAATTCCTTCAGAGGATTTATATACCCATTTCACCGGCTCGGTTTCAGAGAATGTAGTTTGGAGACACTATGTTTACTTTATAAATATACGGTAAATTGTGACCAATGAACTTATTTTGATTCCAAAAATATGCAGTAGTTCTATGTCCACGGAATATTGGGACACCCTGTATAATAATTCTATATATCGAATTAATTTTAGTTATATACCATACAATCGAAAAAAAAACGGTGTCAAAGACGGCTGGGAAATTACAATCGATAATAATTTTGGCGAGGTCAAGCCTTAGACGACTGCCAGTTGGTCCTAAGAAGATTGTAATTAATTTTTAAATGATATAGTTTAAAATACCGGAATAAATATTTTTTTAGAAATAGATTTGCGTGTCTGGAAACGTTCTATCCTTTTTTAATCTTTTCATAATTAATGTTATTTTTTGACTGAAGTTTTATGTCAATTTTTAGTAAATGACGTCTAGAGATTGACCTCGCCAAAATTATCATCGATTGTCTTTCTCCAGCCGTCCATAACGCCGTTTTTTTTTCGATCAAACGGTATTTAATAATGCCAATACAGTACTATACTTCTTTTTGTACGAGGAGGGTATCACCCAGTATTTCAAAGAAGCTCTATTCTAATAAATGGATCTGACGCAGAGTGCGAGCAAAAAAACGATGTTGTCAAGTTTAACTGTCAAAAAACAAAATTACTCGAAATTACCTAGAGATTTAAACTAGCTTCCCAAAGTCAACTAGTCAACTCGCATACCCAACAATGTTGCCGTTTGTTGTCCCTTAATTTCGCAGTTCTGCACGCGCATAAACGATAATCGATCGGGTGTTTCGCGTGCAATCTAAACAAAAAAAACTTACCACAGAGACTAAACAACGCAATCAAAACACGCCTACGGCGTATTTTGGCTGCTATTACCGACAACTGTAAATAAATAAAAAAAAATTAAAAACAGCAGTAAAAAAAATAAAAAGATATGGTTTGGGTTGGGACATGATCCTGGAACCTCTCGTTCTCGAAGCGACGCGCGACGGCCTTACCAATGGATCAACAGCTACCTTTGCAAAATTGGCTATAGCTAGGGGTTACTTTCCGCCATTCTTAAAACCGTTCATAAAATAAGTTGTCTGCAAACAGCAACATTGTTGGGTATACGAGTTGACTAGTGAGACATAGAAGCTTCTGAAATTTGATACTGTGCCGAAAAAAAAACGGCGTTCACTTGGCTTGGAAACGAACATCAATTACATTCCCCGTATATTTTTACATATAAAATGAGAGCGATTTTCATTTCATAGCCATCGCTGACGCCGTTTTTTTCGATCATAAAAAAAACCACATCCAAATGGAAAAATTTTAAATGTTGTATTAGACTTGGATTAAGGTAAACTAATAAAAATGCGTTTATCTCATCAAGAAGATGAAAACGACAAAATATCAAAAGAACTTTTAATTGGCATTAACAATCTACACATTTTTTCTAACAAGAGAAATAAAAGTTAGTGTCGCGCATTTATTTTCTTAAAAAAATATTCCAGTGATAATCCATATACACGTCCCTGATGAATACGTCAACACTTTTTTTAACATTAAAATATGTCGCACTTGTGGTAACTTTTACCCTCAAAATTTCATTTGCTTGGAAGAAAATTATAATAAATCGAAAAAATGAAGACTTACCAAACCATTGGCCATATAAATAAAGAGATATAACACTCCAAGAAAAGTAAACTAAGTATAAGAAAACTGCCAAAAAGGAATAAACAGTAGGTACTTAAGTATAGTACAAGTATAGTATGTCCCAACTCTGTCCAACAAAAGATGACAGTGACAGTCAGCGTCTGTAATTTTTTATTCAAAAGTAGAATATATATTTCTGATATTTCTTCGGATATTGTAATTTTCTCATTTCTTGTTGGACACACTTTATAAATATTTATATTGCAGATAAAGACAATGGCTTCTTAATAACAATAATTTAAATACTGAATAACTTACCTTATTTATAACTTGTTTCAAAAGGTGCTTGAAAGACCTCTTGTCGTCCTTATCAAAGGCAGGGTGAATATATACATAGGACATAATTTCCACGCACTCATTATAAATCTTCTTAAATGGTGGCGTTATAAATTCTGTCAAAATTCTTCTTATGGTATTCAAATATGTTTGTGCCGCTTCCCTATTTCCTGGTTTAAGCATTGGCAAATGATGTAACAATAAACACAAAGCCGTTTGAGGAGTTTCTGCTAAGAAACTATCAATTACAGCTGGATTATTAGCATTATTTTCCAATCTTTGAGTGTCGGCTGTATTAATTGTTGGCAGCAGTTGATTTAAAGCATTCTGTAGAAATTTTGCATTTGAAAAGGGCAATCCAACCATTAAGTAATAAAGTGCCACAGTTTTTTCGCAGCTGTCCCATTTTTGAAATTTCACCCGTAAGTCACTAAGATGTTGACAAAATTCCGAAAAATCCTTCGTTGTTTCGAACTCCATAATCTACAGTTAAAGAATATATAATTTAGTAAATAATTAGCACAAAAGAATTAATTTTTTGTTTACTGTGTTAATGTGTCAAATATATGTTTTTTAAATATAAAGTAATTCTTTAGAGGTACTACTGACCAAGTAAATTTAATATAACACTGCTTCTGAATGCTACTTTATAACTATTTTATAAAACTTTTCTATATTATTAAGAGTAAGATATTTATAAAACGCTTCTACATAACTTATTTAGGGACTAATGAAATAACTTTAAACATACCTTTTTTCAAGACAACAGTCTTATAGTTAAAGAACTTTCCAACGTGTTGCTTCTTTTTTAAATCAAATACCTTCCTTAAATATTTAGAACCTGTGTAAGTATCCTGTTAATGAGTTATTCCAAACATTACTGAAAATTTTAAACTATTGCTTGAATAAAGTATAATACTATAGTTTTTAATAATCAACAATAGCCCCATAAACGTTACTTACAGGTGTCGAATTCACGTATTTTTACTCCTTAGAATTATTTCCATAAAAAATACAATAAAAAGGTAAAATTCACCAAATTTTAATAATATAAAAAAAATAAATGTCAGCTGATATTTCTTAACCCACAAATAAACAGAAATGACAGGAGACAGGGGTATTGAATCAAATACCGTGGTAAATCTGTGGTGCAAATGTGCAAATAATTTTTGAAAATATACCACCACGTAAAATTGAACTTTAAAGACTGACCTACTGAACATAAAAATAAGCATTTTATACTTGTATGTTTGTAGAAATGAAATAATTTAGTGCATCTGGAGTCCAGAGAATCAAACAATAATTCTTTTTAATCGAACATTAAAAACAGATTCAGTCAGTTAGTGATTCTATGGATTCTGTAAAATTATCGACATTTATAAAATAGGTTTGAATAGAACCATAAAATTTTGGGTAATATTCGGAAGATGGCGCTGTATACGGTACTTTTAGTAAAAAATTGGTACAGGGTGTCTCAAATTAGAGCGCACTGCATTTTTAGTTGAAAATTTTAAAAATGTTACTTGGAAACACAAATGAATAAAATTATTTTTTAAAGTAAAATTATATGAAAGTGGGAGGGCATACAAAGGACACGGGGTCATAAAACCTCTATATCATATTTTATATAATATAATTATCAATAAAGAAAATAGTAATATTACATAATTTGATTTGTCAGGATAATTAAGAATTTATCATTATACATTAAAAAACATTTCTGCTATAAATACTTATCTACAGTATAAAATCTGTCCTAAAAGTGAGTGATTTCAACAGACGGCGTCCTAAAAATGTCAAAAATAACAATTTACCTGTGGAGTAAATTATCAGAAAACAACTGTCATTGTCTTGTATCCTCTGCTCTGGTTAGACAAACTTTAAATATAACAATGAGTATCATTATTGGTTGTTTTTACCTGGTTTTTACATTACAATTTGCCAACCAATTAATATTAAGAATTCTCCTGATATAAACGACAAACTAATAAAACTAAATATAATATAGGTATTCTGAATAAATTTACAATATTCTATACTCATGAGAGTGCATCCACACATCCACACATCCACACTATCCTAGAAACGGCGTATCGGCGTAACGGCGTAACGACCTTGAATAGATTTCCAGTAATTCTGTTGGCTGAAAAAATCATCTGTCAGAAATTTTATCTGTCAAAAATTTCAGCTAATTTAGAATTACTGGAAATCTATTCAAGAAGTACAATTTTTGCTTATATTATTTTAATTTTATTTATAAATTTTAATCAGAATAATCATTTCTGATGTTAATAAATGATCATCAACTAGAGATTCGTTAATGTACTGTTTATATTAAGACGACACGGTCAAAGTAGTGTATTTGGTCAAAGTTTACTTGGACCAAGTACACTGCGATGCTATATAACTGTCTACTTATAATAACGCTGCGCGCGTCTCACTTCTATTTCGCTTGGATAGTATTGCCTGTTTTGTCAAAGTCGAGTTAGAAGACTTTTACCTTTGACTTTTACCATCAAAGTAAATAGATTGGCTTCCAACTTATTTGTATACTACGAAGCGTCCCAACTCAACTTTGATAAAACCTCTTCGTCTAATAAGAACAACAAAGAAATTTTCTTTCTTTTTCCTCTGCCGAGTTTTCTTTAGTACTTTTATCAGCTTCGGTTGTCAATCTTATTACGTCATCTGTAATAAGAGGAAATTGAAGACTGTGGTGGTTTCTGAGGGCAGCGTGTGTCAGTCTTATCATAGCGTCATCTAAAACAATATTAAATGTTTAATTAAATGTCATTAAAGGCATAACGGCGTCTGAGATGGCTTGGGAACGAATATCGCTGACATGTTAAGGTACATTCAGGCTGAGAGAGTCGAGCGTCGCGTTCGCGTCGCCACGAAATGGAATCAATTTCCTTAACTTTAATTAGACCGTTCAGGCCATAGGTTCAGGCAGAAAGCGTCGCTCTCGGTGTTGCGCTAGCGTTCGCTGAGCGTCGAGTTCAATCTGAATTGTTTTTCGGCGAGATTTATAGCGTTCAGTGCAGGTGGATGACACTTCTTATGGGAGAACTGGAAATGGTTGAAAACTTGACTACAAGCGATTTTCTAGGAATCTTCCTTACCGATAAATTATTGACAAGAGTGACAGATAAAACCTTGACATTCTTATCATCAGTATAACTGTTCATCTCTTTTTCTTTCTAAAGTGTGCGTTGAAAGGAGACAAAAACAATTTTTTGTAACCCATAATTTGTTATTCGAACACCACTTTTCTCCTTGTCGGGTCGTTGACGTTGACTTGTCGCCATTTTATTTCTTTTGTTTACACGCTGCAGTTTGCTTTGTAAATTGAATACATAAATTATTTAGGCAAATATAGGTTTTTGATAAAACTCCTTGGACTAACGTGTAGGTAAGTGTTGATAAATAAGTTTTTTCATCTTAACATGCTCATTGTCATTCTCCTGATTTAGGTGACAGAAAAGGATCATCAAATCAAATTGAATTTTATATTTTTTCATCCCAGGACCCATAATAAAATATATATTTTATGGATACCTTCCTAAGTATCAACGAGATGAGCCATCGGAAGAAAGGGACCATAGTACAAAACAGAAGGGTGATCTTTTTTCTTTCCACTTAGGATATTGAAATTATTATATACTGTAGTCGTGTTCGGCATGCTGCTCTGAGAAATATAGATAAACAAAGAACAACAGATATAAAGCATCCCAGAGGAAAAGAGAGGCAATACCTGTACTCTCTCTCTGATATTTGTGAAAGTTACGGCAAAGTATTGTTGTAAATGTCATCTTTTAATCGACCTGAAAACTTCTTCGAGCAAAAGATGACACTTTCAACAATACCCTGACAGATATCAGAGACGATACAGGTTCTTCCTCTCTTTTCCCCTGGAATACTTTTAATTTATTATTCTTTGTTTATCTAGATTTCTAAGAGCACTATGAACGAACTCAGCTTGTATGTTTGAAATAATCGTCCAGCTGGCTTAAAAATGATGATCGATGACATTTCCTATATAATTTGCCGCCATTTTTTTCAGTTTTGTTATAATTAATTTTGTCTCTTGATCTACTTGTAACATTATTCTTTTAATTTTATTAATTTATTTTGTTGAAATTAATTTCTGTTGTATATTTGATAATGATATTAAACATATTATTAAAAAATGGTGTATTTTTTGTGTTTTTATGTATGTCATAATTAAAAATAAATGAATTAAAATTTTTTATTTTTTTAAACTTCCCGCCATGCGTTACAATCTAGTCCGTAGTTCCTACAAGCGATATTGGGGGCGCTAGTAGCAGTAGACTTGTCAACAGTGTCAAATTTAAACGTCAATTTCACTTTCCAATATTTAGCAAGGCGCTCGCACTTCTCCTTGTATATGTGTTTTGTGGTTCAGTGGTTGTCAGGGCGTATGAGGACCAGCACGCAGAGGTGCTAATGTGCTAATCGCCGAAATACAGGCAAGCAGACCTGCACTGTGGAATGCAAAATTGCCTCAATATAAAAATAGAAATCTGCATGATCGACTACTTGAAGAAATAGCTACAATTCTAGGTATTTCTAGTAATTATTTTTTCACAGTACGAGTAAATATATGAGAGCTGATTTTCTTACCTGATTGTTATAACCATCAGCCTTTGGGCAGGTAAAATACCGTGCTGGCAACTGTTACTTTTGGGTCGGCATTTACATGTGTGGAAGTAAATCACATAGGGATCTTATTAAGTCGGAGTGAGAGAAATGCGACCGACCGACGCGACGCGCGACGGTGTGCTGTTGCGGCGTTGCCGATACGCCCTTCCCTATCAAGTAAAGTAAAATCACGATCGCAAACCGCTTATTTTTAAAAGACTTTTTTTCAAGAGATAACTAGATAAAATCATTAGACATGTTTCTGAGCATCTGAAATGGAATTATAAGGACATCGTTAGGGTGTCATTTTTTTTATAACGAGAAAACATCAGTATAATCGCGATAATTTAAAAACTCAACTTTTTAACACATAAAAGGCCATAACTCAAGAACCACTTTAGATATTGAAACTTTTTTTTATTTTCAAGATCGGATGTTTTACAATATGTTTACATAAGAAAAATTAAATGAGGTTATTTTTTCCATTCAAAAATTGTAAACAATCCATCTATTTACTTTTAGAGCATAGCAATTTTCAGCAATCGTGTAATTTTTTATTGATAAAGATTTTCACTTACTGACTACAAAGAGAATAGAGCAGAAATATTAACAAAGTTCTTGAAAAAACTACAATCTATTATTTCTAATAGATTTCGAGATATCGATTTTTGAATTCAGAGTTCTAATAGCGCCACTACTATCGAACACCCACTCAATTCCACTTATTTTTACCAAAAATGCAAGTCTAGCTTGCACTTAAAAAAATTCAAGCTATAGGGAAAATTACAACGACTCGTTAATAAATAAACAAATTAAGTATCACGAGACGTAATTAAATCGTGAAGCTGAACGCATGACGTACACCTTTCCCTAGAACTTTAAGTACTGACAAAGGTATTATTAACTCTGCAGCGCATGCGCAAATGAAATAATGTCTTCATATTTCCTTCTGCGCATACGCATCACAGTTCTAAGACGGTTCAGAATCGGTAATAACAGGAAAACGAAAAAAGCTATTGATTAGGTCGACCGGTCAACTGCGACAAATCTGCTATATCCCCTTCCACGTCTCTTAGCGATGTGCACAGTTACTCGGTTTATTTCATACGTTTAGCAACGTGTTTACTGTCCTCTGTTCAGTACGTTATAAACGCATTGTACTCTTCTTACATACGGAAATCTCGACCCAAAACTAACCTTTGCCTAGTATATGAGTTTTTCTGATAATTAGTGACGTTGTTTTCCAACCTACTAATATTTAATATTAATAATATTTAATTTTTTAAAGCACCTTACTAAGTAAGTAATCAAATGTTGAAATGGACATTCTCATATAGTTGAAAAATCGGTCAGGATGTTCTCTCAATTCAAAATATAAATGATGAAAGGGTGTTTATAGGGTGAATTCCTACTTTTTTGTCCATTCTTTTGAATGTAAAATATGGTTTTAACATTAGACAAACTGCTCTCCTTGAAGCCATTTTACAAACTGAAAACCTAAAGAACAAGCTCATGTGACGCTCCCAGCCTCAAGGATCGGACGCGACGCTAACGCGACGCGACGCTCGACGCTCTCAGCCTGAATGTACATACGTAAATTTTTATCATAAATGTCATAGATTATCATTTCCAAGCCAAGTTCACGCCTTTTTTATCATAAGGTACTAACTATATGATCAAAGAGGTTTATGATCAAGCAAACAAAAAAAGTGAAAAAAATCTAATGTCATTTCTCGTAGGAATTGTTTATAAGACTTTAATCACATTGTGCTTAAGATGCTCCACTTGAATAAAAATTTGAGTTAAAATTTCCTTACCTATATGAACGTTGTCTTTAGCTGATGTAATGTACCAAGCCATGATTTGGTTTTCCTTGCAAAAAACGTCAATATCATTAGGTAATGTGTTTGTAGTTACGTCTCCTTTGTTCGCTAGGAGTATGGTTGGAATTGGTTGACCACCCGGTAAGTGAACTTTATTTCGAAGATCCGTCAGCCACTAAGTTATTTCAAATCAATTAAAATTTTATACTTTAAAAAAAGGATATCGTAAAGGTCTGAGCAAATTCAAACTTAAATAACTTATTATAAAATAATATTTCTCAGTCTTTCATTAAAACTGAATCAGTTAAACTCATAGACTTAAAATAAAATATAGACTACACTATTTACATCTCAACGCGGTCAAACAATTTTTTTTGTACACATGTTTACTTCTGGGTACAGTCGACCGAGCCTTCCTCATCCAGCCTATATTGTCACGTCTTTAATATTATCAATATTTTTTTCTTGTTATACGCATATATTGAGATATTAATACTACAGGTTAATAAAGTAGGTTTTAATATTCCATAGATGTATTAAATAGTCCTTATACTACTAAATTATAAGTCGGATACTGTTTAAAAAGGATAAGTTCTTTACAATATGACAACACCGATTAGAAGCGAGGGAGCCTATTCATTCATTTATTACCTTGTAGTACGCGTCGCACGTGTGCGGTAAAGCTTTGTTGCCGCTATATCCCCGGCTGTATTAACGCATTTTCTTAGCTTGTAGTCTTTAATTGTTTATTTTATTGACTTTTTCTGTTCAAGAACTATAAAATATGGTTCGTCAGTGCCAAATTTGCAAGAAATTTGACTTAAATAATCCATTTAAGTCTTGAAACAACTTTCGACCGGTAGGCAACTCTCAATATACCCATTAGGAGTAAGTGGCGTTGTTGTAGAAAGGCGCTTATTTAGATAATATTTTAGTAAAATGTAAAATCTGAATTTTTTCTCTTACATTACATTATTTACTTACTTACATTGTAACAAAATCATAATTATAACCCTGTTAATAATTAATAATGCTTTTATTAAAAATATATTCCGGTTTATTCTAAAATTATCTTGAGAATCTAAAATAACATACAAGAATTTTAAAATGATATTACATTATGAAGCAATATTTTTTAATATACCGGGTCGTCTCAAAAGTGGCTCGCCCCTATAACTTTTTTATTTTTTCAGATAAAAAAAACAGATTTGTATGTTAGTAGGTATATGACATAAATTAGGATTTATTGACGTATTCAATTGTTTTTGGTATCTTCCTGTTTCACGGAAATGATTACATCTTTTGATTTTTAAAGGCACCTTCGGTATATTGCTACTTTATTCGATAAAAAATGATACTCTGAATAGAATGGCATATCATATGTCAACTTTTGACATTGTCGCTTAAAAACAAATCGTATTTTAAATTTCAATCCAGGGTGCCATGGTGTTGTTAAAAACACTAAGGTTTAATCAAGGAGCCTTGGAAAAATAGTTTTGATCGTCTAATGGGTTTCGTGTCTTGTCTAGGCCGGTTAAAAGATGTACAAATCGTATTTTTATCATACATATGTAATTTTTCAAATGGAACAAAGGGTGACTCATTAGCATATTTGGAAAAAGCATTTTTTTATGAATATATTGATACCACACACTTGGTATTTCGAGTCAAATTGTCGTTATGAACCGCGTGTTACAATTACAATTAAACCATATGCGAAAATGTCGAAAGTTGACATATGATATGTCATTTTATTCAGAGTGTCATATACCGAGGGTGCCGTTTAAAGATTAAAAGTTATAGTCATTTCCGGTGAAACAGGAAGTGACCAAAAACAATTGAATGCGTCAATCAATCCTAATTTATGTCATATACTAACATACTAAATCTTGTTTTTTTATTTGAAAATATAAAAATATTATGGGGATGAGCCACTTTTGGGACGCACCCGGTATAATAAAGACAGTACCGAGTTAAATAAATGTAGTTTTCATTTTATCCACTTCCTATCACCTTCCTTGCATTAATGGAACAGATTTATGTTTTCTCTAATTTACATAATAAGACATCACTTAACCAGAAAAAAAATTACAACAATCATTTTTTTTTCTCTCCCTGTCGCCGATTCTATTTATCTGTGGAATAGATCCTATTTTGATTAATATTAGGGGTTGTAAATGTTTGATTAAAATTAATAATTTATTATTAATTTCAAAAATTACGTAATTTCGATTATAAAATTTCTTCTATAACGTATATTTTATTATTTTTATCCTTTTTGGACTCTAAGACGTTTTTTCTAAACTTTTTTAAAAAACCTGTCCTAAATCTTAATAAAATATAAAAAAGTTTAAATACGATATATTTTTAATTTAATTATAGCTTCATTAAAATAAAAAAATTACCCGGCTATGATACGGAGAGTTCAGGTGTACTTGAGAAACGAAAGACAGTGTTGTGTTTCTCGGCAGAGTCGTCAAGGAACGACTGTTACGACAGAGACAACCTATCTATCGCTCGTGTCGCACTCGTTATAACCTAAAACAATAACACAACAATAACAAGACATTGTCTCACCGCATGTTCCAGCTATTTATGAATGAGATGCTCAGTCTATATTTTATTTTAAGTCTATGGTTAAACTGCTTTAGTGAAACTGTATCCGCCATAAAATTCATTACATAAATAAAAGTAATTTAAAAATCATAAAAATATAACACAGTTTTTATTGTTAATCATCCTGATTCATTTAATGCTAATGCTGATGATTCTCTACTAATTTGAAGTTTGTCTTTTTTTGATTACAAAAATATTACCTTTAGAGTCGATTTAAATGTTTCTGGTCGAGTAAGGTCGAAAACCAAAGCTGCTCCCACCCTAAAATAAAAATAATACATAACATAATTTTTAGAGTAGATACCTGCTTGGGCTATATTTTATTATAATTTTTTATTATATCTCTATTGTATTTTATTATTATTGATAATAATTGATTCCTAATAATTTATTGTTTAACGTACGTTGAAAAATTAAATTGCTATACAGGGTGAGTCTTAAATAAGTGCAAATATTTTCAGGGCTGGTAGATCTCGATAAAACAAATATATCTTCTCTATGCCGTTTTACAAATAAGTCCAAAATAACGGAGTTATTCAAGTTTAAAAATTTAAACAAATATATTTATTTTTAAAAAAGTTTGAGAGCTACAGGATTTTTTTCTGTATTTACATGATAATATCAGAAATTGCCAAATTATATACCGTGGGACAATTTGCGGTGAACAGGCGGTTTTAAAAAGTTTTTTTAAATACCAGGTGCGTCTCAAAAGTCGCTTACTGCTATAACATTTTTATTTTTACAGATAAAAAAATTTGGTATGAATATATGAATAAATTAGGATTGATTGGCATATTCATTTATTTTCGGTCACTTTCTGTTTCACCGGAAATGACTATGAAACTTCGATATTGGCACCCTCGATATTTTTTACTTTATTCGATAGAAGATGACACTCTGAATAGAATGACTTGAACACTTCATATGTCAACTTTAGACATTTCCACCCAAAAAAATCGTACTTTTACTAATTTCAATCTAGAGTGTCATGCACAGAATACCTAGCTACGCAAGCGTAGTTAGATACGCAGCGTAGCTAGATATTCTGTGGTGTCATGGCTGTGTTAAAAAACAAATTTTTAATCAAGGAGCCTTGAAAAAATATATTTGATCGTTTAATGTTATTCGTGCCTTATCTTGGCCCGTTAAAAGATACCCAAATCGTATTCTTAATCATATCTCAATTTTTAGTTCGGAAGGAGGGTGGTTCATTAGCATATTTGGAAAAAAACATTTTTTACGAATAATTTGGTACCACACACATGGTATTTCGAGTCAAATTGGCCTTACATTTATGACCATGGCACTCTAAATTAAAGTTAAAATGCTATTTTTTCAGTTCAAAATGTCAAAAGTTGACATATGCTATGTCATTCTATTGAGAAGTAAAAAAATACCAAGGGTATCATTTAGTTGTAGTTCAACTGTCAATCTCAAAAGTTGTAGTCATTTCCGGTGAAACAGAAAGTGACCGAAAAGAATTTAATACGCCAATCAATCCTAATTTGTCATCTACTAACATGCGAAATTTAATTTTTTTATCTGAAAAAATAAAAGTTATAGGTGTCAGCACACTTTTGAGACGCACTCAGTATACAGGAAATTTTTAAAGAAAATGCACAATTTTGAACATCCTTTTTGCAAAAAAAACTCATAGACGTGTTCCTCGGGGTCGAAATATACCACCCCTGAAAATATTTGCACTTATTAAGACTCACCCTGTATATAACCTTGAATTAATTGCAAATTTAAAGAGCTATGACGTCATTTTTAGCAGCTAGAAGAATAGATAAAAAATAGTAAAGCATTTTTCTTGAGGAGACTGTACCCACACTACAAGCTGCCACGGCTATCAACGTAATAAAAATAGGGTGGTATATTTGCGTCCTTATGTTATACAATATGAAATGGCGTTTTTCAGGTTCAGGACCAGGAATTAAAAAACCTTTTATTTAAAAAATTACCGCCGACATTTCGACGTGTTTTCTCGTCTTTTTCAAGTCTATTTTCAGCTAAAAGGTTATTTTGCCAAAAGTAAGTATCTTATCCTGATAGTATGGGTACAATCAACAACATCTGCCCATATTGACAGATAATTATGTGTACTGTTGTTGATTGCACCCGTACTATCAGGATAATCTAGTTACTTACTTTTGACAAAGGAACCTTTTAGTTCAAAATAGCTTTGAAAAAGACGAGAATACAGGTCAAAACTGGGTCATTTTTTACATAAAAGGTTTTTTATTTAATGGTCCTAAACCTGCAAACGCCATTTCACGTAATAAACATATCTAATTGAAATTAAAAATTTAATGTTCTGTTGTCTTCATCAGCGATCAAAAGGTGTTAAAAAAGTGGGCTTTGTATCATGATAAAGTCTGGAACTCTTATTAAAAATTACATTAGAAATGAAAATTCTTGACTGAATCAGTAACCAGGGAAACAGTAGTAACAAGTGGCCTGGCCGCAACCTAGGAGCGTCATCAATCTGTGTTTAGCGAATTAATTCAAAATAATTAACCACAAAAAAAATCTACCACATTATGTCGATCATTGGAGGATTCTTTGAATTCAAAATAATTTTTATAGCATTAGAAAAAACCAGGGTTGGAAAAAATCATGATTTTTTAAAAAAATTAAAAAAATCAGATTTTTTTTATTTAAATCAGATTTTTTTTATTTTAATTCAAAACAATATTTAAATCGGATTGGGAAATGACTAGGACTTATTTCCAATTAAAGTCCTATCCTAAATGGCTAAATCTATCTAGATTAACATTAACAATTCTACGGGGCGTGTGATTTTTCCACATATATTCCACCAATATATTCCGCAAAGAAAAGTCGTTCGCTTCAGATCAAAATGATTTTTTTCAAACGTCTCAAAAGTATTAATTTTTTGTCATTTTAACGCCTAGGCATAAAAGTAAAGCACTGTTACGCATAAGCACAAAAGTACAAAAATATATTATTAAACTGATATTAAGTGTCAAATTCAACGAGTGTACAAATTGTTGTTCGATTACTGTTTATATTTATTTGCAATGTTTGAAATTGATTAAAAAATTATTTGTAATGTTTAAAAAAAATAGTATGTTTTATTCGGAATAAAAATGTACTTTTTGTGCCTCCCTGTAACGTGGGAATAGCTTTACAATGGTCCTTCAAAGGTCAAAATCGTCAAAAAAAGTATAATTTTTACTCCTAATAAAACAATACACTATTGTTCGGAAATAGTCTTAAATCGAGAATGAAATTAGTATGTATTATCTAATATCAAAGTGTAAAGTACTTACTCATTGGCGTAACTACAGGGAGGCCCGGGGGTGCCGGGTACCCCCTAGGTACTGCTGGGCACCCCCCAGACAAATATTGAATTATGACTCTTGGCTACATAATAATTTTTATTTGCTTGTGATGTAGTAAAAATTACGTTTTCTAGTTTTGTTTAGTTAATATTATTTTGTTGTGTTCAAAAAATGGGTTAATTTTTATTTTTTTGGAAAATTTGTAGGTATTTAAGTAATCTACGGGAACACGGTCTGATAACCAAGTCTATGAAATTTATTGATAGAGAAATTCATGTAAAACGTTTTATTCAAAAAAATATGTTTTTAGCATTTTTCTTCATTTTTTAAAAAACAAAAACCCTAGGCCCCCCTGGCTCAACCCCAAGCCCCCCCCCCAGGATGAATTCCTAGTTACGCTAATGTACTTACCGCAGATCAAAATGTCGGTAGGAATTTGGAAACATACAACCGTTTCAAAAAAAATACAAAACAACATATTTTCTGATAAGAATTATAGATTCTCGGGAATAAAGATATAATCTCTATATTAGAAGAACGTAGTTCTGCACTAGACTTTGCGAATGATATGTATCTGAACAGGGAATTTTTGTCACTTATACAGAAATTTTAAAATAAATCCTTGTGTTTAGCGGTCTAATGGATTCCCACGAAATTAGTTCAAAAATCAGTCCAACAATTAAATTATTTATTATGAATAGATATTTTTATATAGTTTTATAACATTTACAATTATTTTTCGATTTATTATCTGCTACATCTGTTATAGAAAATGTGTATAGTTTTCTAGGACACATTTTTATAACTTTTACAGTTATTTTTTGATTTATTATAAAGTTTCAATAAAATTATTTTTTTTTATTTAAATCACATGATTAAAATTAAAAAAATCACTTGATTTAAATCACGATTTAAATTATTTGATTTAAATCATGCCAACCCTGGAAAAAACCTATCTAGCTGACGCTCATGGATCAGCAAAATTAACAATCAGAAACAAGAGTCGGTTGCAATGCAGTCGTCCAATTGATGATGCGGTGGGTTCTTCTTTAGATGCGGAAACTATACTCTGTAATCTAATGATCAGTATATACTTACGAGTGTCGATAAAAAATTCCTGTTAGTGTTCCAAACCTTTCGTGGCCAGCTATGTCCCATAAATGCAAATGTATTCTAAGTTCCTCGTCCCATTCCAATGTTTTTACGGCAAAATCTGCTCCAATCGTTACCTTATATGATGAAGAAAATTCCCCTGAAAAAGTTTCACGGGCAAATAGTATTTTCTGTCATTTTTTGGATGTCGTATTTCGACATTTCCTCTGTTACGTGAGATACTACAGGGTGTCCTAGAAATAAGTGCAGGTATTTTAAGGGGTGGTAGATCTCGATAAAAGCAACGTATTTTCTCTTTATCGTTTTTCAAATAAGTCCAAAATAACGGAGTTATTTTACTTTGAAAATTTCCAAAAAAAAAATTTTTTGCTAAAATTTTGAGAACCGCCGCATCTTTTCTGGATTTTCTTTCTTGTAAATTTAATCTAGTACATATGTTGCCATATTATCAAGAAATTATGTTTTTTAACTAAAAACTAAAAAAAATTCCAAAAAATTTTTCAAAAAATTTCGAATTTTCAAAAAAAAAATTTTCGCGAAAAAACCCTCATAGACGTTTTTCTGGGGTTGAACTATACTATCAGTTAAAATATTTGCACTTATTTCTGGGACACCCTGTATAATAGACTCAAAAACGTACTTCTACGGTTGACGTGTTTTATGTCATTGCATAACGGTAATTTTACCAATTTTTCTACTGACCTTTAAAACTTAATTAGGGATTTTTTCCAAGTTTAATAAAGTTAAACAAAAATTTAATCGAATTAAACAATATACTTAAGTATTTTTATTAATATAAAATTATTGCAAACGCACAAACGAAATAGGTACATAATTGTATTAAGTGCCGTACGATCGATACAAAACGGCGCGGCCGGCGCACAGTGTAACGAAAACTAAAATAGTGGGACATTGGCATTTTTCTTCAGTTATTACTATTCTTGCTGACATTTTTTGACAGAAATTAAATAATACGACTAGGAATTTTTGCTACAGAGCGAAAAGAGTAAAAAAAGGCGTAATGGAAGGTCAAAAAAAAACGAAGTTTTATAAAAGGACTTCACAGGTATATTTTTTTATTTACGAAGAGTTTATAGCTCTTATGGACCAAAAACGTTATCAAATTGCTGTCGAACAATCATTTATCTCCCGTTAATATGTCAAAACTCAATCAACATTCCTAAATATTCAAATAATCAAGGATAAATTAGATAAGACTGCAAAACTCAAAGAGAACGACACAAGTGGCAAATATCATTTAATAGTATTAAATAATATAATATGCGAAAAAAACGTAAAAATTTCGCAACACTTATATTTTTTGAAGTATTTATTCTTGAAACGCTTCAAACATTTTTATGTAAAAAACTTAAATCTAAGGTCTGCCTGAGTTATGATATACTTTCCATTCCTTAACAAGTTGCTATTAATGCAAATAACTTTTGAGATTATTGTTAACCAAGAGAATTTAAGAATACTTTGCAGTTTTCCAAATTAATAAGTGATGCGATAATTTATGTGGGGTGTATATTATTCCAAAATAACATAATATGTAAGGCACTTACATAAAACATGCTTAAAAATCATTCTCAATTTCTTCTCCATCCATATACAAGAGCTATTTCGCTTCCGGAAACAAGTCTACTTTTTTATTTTTAGAGTGCTTTGGTCGCAGATGTGAAAGTGGAGGATCCGAATATATCAATAAGTTGTGCAATATCTCTTCAATAGTTTGGCACCAAAAATGATGCAGCATTGAGGGTGGAGTGTTAAATATATCGAAGAAAATTTTGCCGGTTTGAAAAAATATTCTCTTGAGTAATTTTTCTCCAATATTGAGATTTTCTGAATTGTTGTAAACTGTCCCCCACCCCAATGTGAGGATGGTTCCTCGCCCCTAAAATAGCATTCAGTATGTTCATAGCAAGCGTATAGCTTTTTCAATAAAGAAATAATAGCACAAAAAATTACTGATAAAAACTACGGTCGAATCAATGGAAAACGTAATTATTGCCGAAGAAATTTATTTTTTTCTTCCAGGTTCGAATCTAGGTGGATGGAATTTATATGTAACAGTATACTAGAAGGTTCACTCTATGATATTTTGTATATATAACCTTGCGCGAATGTAAGCGTTTTTTGAAAGTCATAATAAACATGTAGAAACTAGATTTGAAAAAAATTGGGACATTTTTTTCAGGTTTGTTGTTGGTAAAAGACCTCTTTTTACGGAAAAAATTGTTGGAATTGAACAGCACAAGGAAACTTCTGAAAATAATAAATTTCATTGCATGAAATTTTTGTACAGATTTGGTAAATTAAGGAAACCATAACTTTAACCCACCATAACTCCCCGACTAAGAGGTCAACTCAAGAAATATCTCACATGGTGGGGCTCTGGGATGTCCTTTATCCATCTATATAAAAAACTTGATGAATTAATTTTTTTGTTTTTTGGGCTAATGTCCCGCATTTCCCGATTTCGTTACACTGTGCGGCGTCCAGTTAGCTTGGAAATGACGATGGACATTCCCCATATAATTTTACATATAAAATGACAGCGATCTTTAATTCATAGCCATCGCTGACGCCGTTTTTTTTTTTCGATCATATTGTATTTCTAAATAAATGTAATCATATCAGTATAAATTAATACCACAATACCTATATCCACTATATCATATCCTTATCATAAACAAGACTTACATCCGATTTTCTGATTAAATCTTATTTCTGTCAGTAACTGACTTTTATTATTTTATTTATATCAATTAATTACAGATATAGGTACCTACAATAATTTATTTTATTTTTTTTTTAATAATCTATTTTACAATAAAAATGTTATACAGGGTGACCCAGTGCCGCAAATAGATCCTATTTAAAGTGTATACATAGTGATTCAAATATATATTTTATACTAAACTTATTTAAGACTCGTTTAGAACCTCAAAATTAGTGGTTCCAATTAACGTAGAAGTTTATTCCGCTAATTTCAATGTATGAATTCGGAAAGTCAATATTGTAGTAGATAGTAATTTTCAATTAGTAGAAAGAGTTAACAAACTTTTAACTTTCTCCACTAATTATACTTGTGGAAATAAAAAGTTTATTATTTTATCAATCTCCAGCACTTTTGTATAGAGGTAAATTGTTTATTGGTGAGTTATTGAGGCATTTATAATTTAATAGATATCAAATGGTATATTTGATATCAATTAAACTTTTAGTTACGGAATCGAGGGCGCGTTTTTTAAATTCATTGTTGCCAACCATGGACATATTCGGCGCGCTGCGCCGGCGCACAATGATAGAAAACTATAGCCTATATTTACCTATATTTATAAACTATATAAATCTAGAATTCCAAAAGTCCAATTTTTGGTTGTAAGATAACGAATCAATCACCGTTTTATCTTTAGGAATATTCAGGAATCACAAAAAGTTGACATTTGAATTTATATCTCCGTAAACAATTTTTTTACGGAGTTCCAAAAATGGTATATTTAATTAGTAGGCATGGAGACATTATTTGTCGTTATTTACGCGAACTGAAAAGAGATGTCAGAGGTGTATAGAATGACAATCCCGGAATGGAACATGCCAAGACAATCCTAACTGGGCCATCCAAACGTAGAACAGATGAACTCCTAAAGGCTGGTAGGAATGGAGCGCGTACGCTCACTGCAGTATACACCATAAAATAATAAATACAAGAAGAAGTGTCAAGTCAATGTTAAATTATGGAAACAGCGTGGCTGCCTGGGTAACTAATTTTCAGATATGGCGGCTGGGACATTTGACATGACATAGACATGACAATTTCAATTTTATGAAATTTATTTCCGTTTCCGGTTTTTAATGGCGGGCTGTTCAGGAGGTTTAAATGAGGGTTAATATACTTTTACTCTTTCTAGTAGTTAATAATACAACAAAATTACTCAAAAATATTTATTTGGAATTTAGAACAATATAAATATGCAAATCAACACAATTAAAGAGCTATAAACACATAAACTACTGTATCAATATCAAAATATTTAAATAACATCAGAGATGTTGTGTTAAAGTGAATTAGTAAAGTAACAGTGCACTGACTTACAGAAACTTGAATATAAATAAATGTTTTCACAGCTTCACGGGCGTAAAACTAACTGGAAGCAGGAAAAAGACAACAGGAACCCACGCAAAACCTGGAATCAAAAAAAAAAATATGTAAAAAACATAAATATAGGTACATAAGGCTTTTGTGAATTAAATCAAACAGGACTTGAATGAAAATAAAATGAATAAAAAATATGATACATATACATCTAATACCTCATTTGTATGTTAAAAATAATCTACAAAAAAAATAATCTACATACATAGCATTATTGCTATGAAAATACATAATAGGTACCTATGTGATATGTAATTACGCATTTCTGTTCATCTTGTAGATAATTAATGTAGGCTAATAATAGTTCAATAATCATAATTTACCTTGTGTAACTTGCTTTCAATTGCTCAAAATCACCGATCAGTCTTTAAAGTAGAGATACGGAAAAATCCTTGGTAAAGAATATCCCAAGATCCTTGGATCTAAAGCTAAAAAAATATAAAAACAGTTAATATATTACCTATTTTTACATATAATATGGCCCATACCTACTACACGCAGAAACGTCGATTTCATCATTTTCTTCATGTAATTATTACTATATATACTTTATTAAAGTGTTAACAAGAAACTTTATATCAAAAAACATCTTTGTACTTATAAATTTCAGCCGAAATATCATAAACAAACTTCCAATCAAATCTAAAACGGCAAAAATTAAAATGGCGCCCGACCTTGCCAGAGGCCTCGGGAGTTGACACATGGCTGACACACAGACAAAAGAAGAGGACGCCGACGTGCATAAAAATGTTCCGTAACAGAAATTGACAGAAATCATATAGAAATATTCAGATTTTTGTCTAGGACAGTCTAGAAGGCCATGCTTTCTGCCTGGGTAGGACCGCGCCACAACTGTTTCCAATTTTCCGGTTTACTGTCACCCCCCTGGTATACACTGCCGGCTGAGATTACACCATGCCCTAGACACTCAATGGTAATTTTATAGAACTACAAATTTAGTTTCTTCCGCATCGCCAGACGGCGCAAAAGACATTAAAGTACAGGTTTCTAATTTATATTATGAAGATGACATGACAGTCTCTATGTTAACTACTGTCTATGGTCTAGTTTTTGTCATAGATAAATGCAACAAGTTTAGATTGGAAAGCCCGTAAAAATTTTAGGTCGCGAAATTATTTTGGGTCGCGACCGTTATACGCGATCTGGCGCTGCTATAGCGGTCGCTATTTAGGTCGCTAAGAACAACGGCAAACAAAAACAGAAATAATTTTCTCTTGTCAAAGTCAGAATCTTCAAAAATCATAATAATCTTTCAAAATCTAAACCGCTCTCATTAAAGAAATTCTGAAAAATGTTTATAGCGTTATAGCATTTTCAAAGTAATTATTGCTATCTTGTGAGTTTATTTTAAGTTTTATTTACTCCAACCGGTGATAATTGTGAAAAAGTGGCATTAAAAACTTAAAAAGCTGTGCTGTGAACTGTGAACTGCAAAAACCATCGTGGATCGTGGCATAACGCCGGTTTCCAATGTTTCATAGGTATTTCATACATGTGTTCTTATATAAAATAAAGTTTCTTGTATGCAACACACTGTATTTTATTTATAAAATTAAACGAAAATAATTATAAATTTGAATAAACAATATTTTGTTGATATAATTCCGGAAACAGCCGAACCGCTCCGAAATTTTCAAAAGTTTTGGGTCGCGACCGTTGCATGAATAGCGCCAAATAGTGTTTACATTGTCCTTTTGGGCACTTTCCAATCTAAACTTGTTTCATTTATCTATGGTTTTTGTCTAGTTGACAAAATGTTGGTGATCCGTCAAGTTATTTTTAAATCATTATTTAAATAATTATTAATTCAGATATTCCTGATTTGTCGGAAAGTTCAGTGATTTGTGTTTATAGTTTGTGTTTTTATTAGTTTGTGCATTCTGATACTTACAGTCGATCATCATTTTCGTGTTAGATACTAAACTTTTTTATAAAAGTCATTTTGACATTTTAAAAATAATAATTTATAAACCAAATAAAAAAATAGTTTAATCATAAATAAGTAAGTACATAGTTGGTAATATATAGTATTTTTCGTAATAGTTAATTAGTAGTCTATAATATTTTTACTATATTATAATTTAGTTGTTAAATCAAAAAAAAATAGGCGCTATGTGATCTATTGTTGGTGTTTAAAATGTATGTATTTATAATTTTAATTTTGTTGTAATTATGTTACATTTCTAATGATCTAATAAAACATAAAATGGCAGTAAAAAAGTCTATATTTATTATTTTATATTTTACAAGGAATAATTTTGCGCTTGAATAACGTTACCGTTTTAATTAGCGTTAATAAGTAACGGAACGCTAAAATTATGTTATGCCAAAACTCTCCATTAGTTTCTTCCGGATCACCAAGTGGCTCTAAATGACGGACCCATTTGTTTTATATCAGTGTCCAATCTATCTCTAGTACGTGACATTAGTCTATGGATTACACTACAGAGGATGGGACTGGTGGAAGACGCCGAATGCCGACTCTGTATGGAAGATGACGAAACAATGAAGCACGTTATGTGTACCTGCCCCGCTGGTGGCAGGACCAGGTTTGAGGTGTTTGGCAAACCCACGCTAGACCTATCAGACCTAGAAGACATATCACCCTCGGACATAACGGCCTATGTTAAAAGGCTGGGTCTTGAGGGTGAACTTTAATGCTCTTTTTCTATTAAAGAGCTTGTAGACACTGAGCCACAATAGGCCCTCGCGGCCGCAGTGGAGGGTCCCACCTGGGACCCACTCTTAGTCAAATACAAATACAATTAAGGGAAATATCTTCCCCCGACACATAGTTGACTCACCCTGTGCATTATAAATTTTACTTTAAATATCAATGATTATATTTGAACACAAAAAGAAGAAAATAGAATAATTTTCGTAGGAAATAAAATATATTTTCTTACTAAGAGACTTTTGGAATTCTAGAGTCGTATTTTCTATCACTGTGCGGCGCCGCGCGCAAATTAAATTTCGCGCTGGGGATTCACGTGGTAGCTCTGCTGTAAAAAATATCAAGTTGCCGCAATTATTTATTTATTTTCTGACATATTGTCATTCGTTTTGACGCTTTAGTTTTGTATTACGAGCATATTACGAGTTTTTGGTTTAGAGAAATAGCCATGTTTCAAATAACACTCGGTATAGATTTAATAATAACACAATTCGCTGAATAAAAAAATTACATCATTCCAATTATTGCAGAAAACTATAATATAACAATAATAATTTGAATCACCCGGTATGTCTACGAAAATATTTTTAAAACTTACGCTACTATATTGCCCGAGTATTTTATAACAAAAGACTGAAATGGAAATCTTAGATAAGAAATCTCTGATATGTACGTACAGGCAAAAAAATCCATTTAGTGTTCTGATTGAAATTTGTTTTCATCATCGTCTTTTATATCTCAATTAGAAATACAATCAAAATAAATATCAGACAATAAACATAAACTCTTAGTTCGATCCTTATTCAAACAAAATTCGACCTTGACTTACTAAGGGAAGCGGAAAACCAATTTCCAAGGAAACTATCGATTATTCCCCGAAGAATTCTTGGAATGTGTTTTCTATTGATTATTCGCACTTTTATAAAAAAGTTTTTGTGTTACAGAACGCGCATATCTTTACATACTTAATTAATAGGAAAGTAATAAAATTTTATCTTAATAATCAAGGGTAAAACTTACCGTCAGTGTATCTCTGTATAATCGAAGTTTTACCTGAAATTTTTATTGTTAAATAAAGTGTTTTTTTTTTAATATAAAAAAGTTACGTACCAACACCAAAATCGCCGATAACCACATATTTAAAATTCAACTCTTTTTTATGCAGATTAGCTACCCGCAAACGATCACTGATTGTTAATAATCTGTCCCTGCTTATAAAACCATTTTTCTCCTTGAAATTATTTTGCATGTTCCACAAAAACACTTAACAACTTTTTAAACTTAATTTATTTAAATACAAATTTCACATAATTCGTTGTACAAAGAAAATCGTTTATATTATACCATTAACTTTTGACTATACGTAAAAAAATAATACTGAAATAATCTAATGATAATCTTTCACGGTAGTTTATCAAATTATGAAATTTTATACGAATGAGCACCTGATGATATCTCTGACGTATTGTGCGCGCGCGAATATTTCGAACTTTTATTTGAACATCCGCAGCGCACTCTTTTGAAGAAAATTCCAAAATAATTACGTTGAAAATTTGGTGCGCCATCTTTCATACGTACACAACATTAACACAGAATATAAGTGCAGTGCCTTCTATTAAAAGATCAGCCTACGGGCGAGATTTATGACGTCACGCTAGTTAGATATAACGAATTAATAAATATGTTGTAGAATACATGGAAAACATAATTATTCCTCAGATTTTTGGTTTGTATTTTAAAAATGATATAGTTTAAATGAAATATACATAATATACAGTTAATAACTACAACATATATACCTATTTATAGTAATAAATACTTTGGCAAATAAACTATGAACCATACAAATGCAGCAAATGTTTTACAATGTACAAATAATGTATAGGTACATAAGATAATGGGTAAAATGTAAATATATTTTAAATTTTGGGGTTTGAAAATCGATCTAATTTAACAAAAACATTTAATATCTACTAATAGTGATGTATTATTATTTGCATTTACAAAATTTATATGTATATTTTGCAAGTATCAATGTTCGAAAAATTATATTTACAAATAATACAATATTATCTAAAAAGGCGTCAGCGATGGCTATGAAATGAAGATCGCTGGCATTTTATATGTTAAATTATTCTAAAATTTTGATTTTCTTGGGATTTTTAGGTTCGGGAAAAACGATTAAGTTTTCATTTGGGTTTTCATTTTTTATTTGGTTTAAAACGTTTCGGCTAACTATAGCCTTCACAGTGTTGTGTCATATGAGAAAAATAGTGTCGAGATAATCCAAAAAATTACATATACTATATAATTCACACCTCATAATGTTTACTGCAATTAATAAACTAATATAAACTTATCAAAAGATGACCACATATTTTTTAAAAATTATTATTCTTAACACTAAAATTATCTACATTGACTATGGAGTACGCAGTAAACATTATGTGCGTGGTGTGAATATTTTATATGCAATTTTTGGATTATATTCGACACTATTTTTTTCATATGACACAACACTGATGGAGGCTATAATGTTAGCCGAACCGTTTTTTTTTTAAACCAAATAAAAATAATGAAAAACCAAATGAAAAATCAATCAGCGTTTTTCCCGAACCTAAATTCCAAGAAAATCAAAAATTTAGAATATTTAGAATCAAGGTTCAAGAATATCAAATTTTCCAAGATTGTAAAATTCTAGTTAATTATTTTATGTGTACAGTTATTTAGGGAATGTCATTGATGTTCATTTCCAAGCCAACTAGACGCCGATTTTTTTCGATGATACGGTATAATTCTTACGTAAAATGTAAATAACATTAGACCAATTAAAACAAAGAAATATGAATTTCTTAGTATTTTTAGTAACACCTTTATTCTTAAAACTTAATTTTGTATTATGCAAATATACCAATTTTATTGTTATTTTATTCATATTGTATTCAGCCATCACTTAAATATTTGATATTAATTTGGTATTATAAATAATCAATACTATTCATTAAAATTACTGAACAAATATATGTTATGCTTAACATACATTATATATTATCAAACAAAAACACATTCTTCTTTTAAACTGTATCAGTCTTGTCTTTACAAAAATCTTTTAAAATTTGAACTCAAAATAATAATCTTTTTCATGATCTCTAATACACATATTCTTTATTTTTCCCTAGATCATAATACCTACTTACGTGTTTGAATCTATCGAAGCTGAACCAGCAACACTTGGAGTGGAGATTCCACAATATGAACAAAATAAACATAATTGTCCAGTTTTCATTAATACCATCATGGGAGATTATTATTTTTAAATTTATTAAAGATATTTTCAATAAAATTCTCTTGATTTATAACTCGTACCCACTTTTCTTGCTCTTCCGGACACTTTAGGCTGCCTAGTATAATAACTATCCTTAGTAACTATCCTTTCCACCAGGAACACAACAAAGATGAGGCATAGCACCAAAAACACACTCCACTTAAGCTTTATTGATGAATTGTTAGAGTCTTAAAAAACACACACAAAAATCACGATAAGTAAAAAATGTATGGGCACTTTTAGGTTAAATCACTTACACAACGTGTAATTTTTAAAATTTCTATTTTTTTATGCGAAACCGAGAGTGACCATATATCTGGTAGTAGTTTATGTCACTTCAACACCAAAATAATTAGTTTTTTGCACTACAATAATAAATAATACCAAAAATCAAAGAGTTAAAACCAAAAATCAACCGACAAAATATGAAACGGAATCTAACCCAATATCTAAGTATGTACAGCTGATGAAGTAAACAAAAGTCCGCCCGTAGGCTGATCTTTTAATAGAAGGCACTGATAAGTGTATTTTCTTCTAATAGATGGCAGTACTAGAATTAATATTTGATTATTATGACATTTCACGATTCTGACAGATTTTGACGACTTCAAATGAGATATTTAAAGAGAAATAATTCATAATTTTTTGATAAAGATGAATAAATCTATCTTATTAACAAGTTTAAGTACGTCAAATTTATATTACTGTTATAAAAAGCCGACATTTGTATCCAAGACAGTCATTTAATTTTTCTCACGTTATATAAATTATATAATACATAAACATTAACTGGTTTTCAGAGCCCCACAAATTCATTGCCGTGTCCTTTCAAGTCAGAGGACTAAGCACGGAAAATGACTATACAAATCTAGCAGCATACAAAAGGGGAACAGGAGGACGGTCAAGTTTCAATGGGGTTGTTGCTACTGTATTCGGAAGCACTGGATTTGTTGGTCGATATGTCTGTAATAAACTTGGAAAAATTGGTACACAGGTAAACAATGAGTTGTTAATAACATTTATATACACACTTGGGTAATTTGTAATTATGATTTTAGCTTATATTACCATATAGGGGAGACAATTATGATCCAATGAGACTCAAACTGTGCGGTGATTTGGGTCAGGTATTCTTCCAACACTACAATTTAAAAGATGAAGAATCAATACGTAAAGCTATCAAGTATTCGAATGTGGTGATAAATTTGGTTGGCCGTGAGTGGGAAACTAGGAATTATAAATTTAATGATGTGCATGTAGATGGAGCAAGGAGACTGGCTAGACTTGCTAGAGAAGCTGGTGTAGAAAGGTTTATTCATGTGTCTGCTCTGAATGCCACAGAACATCCTAAGAGTGTTGTTTTAAAGGGTGGTTCACGTTTCTTATCCAGCAAATATTTAGGAGAAAAAGCTGTTTTAGAGGAATTCCCTAACGCTACTATATTCAGACCTTCTGATATTTATGGGTCAGAGGACCGTTTTGTTAGGTATAAAATGTTTATTTGAATGTTGTAAACTGACCATTATCAGTTTACACTTGATCGGTCAGTGATTGATAATTATTGGGAAAACTGAACACTGAACACCACAAATTTTTTCACAAAAATGTTATTCTTTTGTGTAATTTTTTTAATGAAAATCGAATTTTGCCTAGCCCTATAATACTTTTGACTTTTTTGGAAACAGACCACCACAAAATAACTATAAAAACGAGGAATACAAATTTTTCTGAAAAAATATGTTTCTACATTTCCCAATGATTGCCAATATTTATGTAAATAACTGTCTAATTAGATATTCTCTGTGAAGGTACTATGCTCATCACTTCAGAAGAAACTTCCACGCTATACCCTTATGGTTCAAGGGGGAGAAAACTATAAAACAGCCCGTTTTTGTAAGCGATGTTGCTGCTGGAATTGTGGCAGCTGTGAAAGATCCTGATACTGCTGGAAAAATCTATCAAGCAGTTGGGTAATACCATTTATTTTATTGTTATTTAACTCAAATCACTATTTTAAAACCGTGCAGGTCTGGGACTATACAGGGTGTCCCAGGCTGAACGTGCATTAGATGTTTCTAGAGAACTACAAGATCTAGATCGGAGATTTTTTGCACATCATTTTTTCACAAAGAGATATATATCAATTAAAAAGATTTTCAATGGCGGCACTTCCGGAAGTTGACAGCAACTTTCTTATTTTAAATGGGTATCCCTATTTTTTATTACATACTTAAATTCTCTGTAAAATTTTATGAATTTTGATATTAAACACTCTATACATAACATTAACCGTTTTTGAGATAAAAATTATGTAAAATTTTTGGAGGAAAAAAACTGCCTGTCAGAAAAATGTGTATTGGCCGTATACAGGGTGTCCCAGGCTGAGCGTTCATTAGAAGTTTTTAGAGAACCACAGAGACAATTTATTTTCATCTGTCAGAAAATGAATTATTTAAATTTCCGATATTATAAATACTGCCTGCTTAAGAGTTTAAAAAGTGTATTTATAAAAATATGCCTTGTATTCTTGCTCTTTAGTGATATCTAAAGTTGATATTATTAATAATATTCCGTATGATTGAAAAAAAAACAGCGCAAAGTAGGCTTGGAAATGATGCTGCTTTTTGAACAAAGCGTCACAATATGACATAGCCAGATCTATTGTTTTACATCACTTGACGTTTAAAGTCATAGGCTACTAGTTAAAATCAAGAAAAATATACGCTTTAAAACTAAATCTTAAATAACTTAAAAACGATTTGTTAGGTATAGGACCATGTATAGTCAAAACGTAACGAATTGAAAAGTCTTTTCACTAGTGAAATAAAATTAAGTGGGTTTCTATTTGAAAACAATTATTTATGATAATTTTTTAATCGCTAAGTTCTATGACCTCTGCGGCTATTATTATATGACATTCGAACAATTTAATTTTTGTAATAGATAGCCACATGTTTTCTCGTTATGGCGCAGTGGCTGTGATAATCACTCAATTTGACATTTAGGATATACAGAATTTTTTGACAAGCAGTTTTTTTCCTCCAAAAACCTAAAATAATTTTTTTCTCAAAAACGGTTAATGTTAGGTATAGACTGTTTCATATCAAAATTCATAATGTAATGTATTCAGTATGTAATAAAAAATGTGGGCGCCCATTTAAAATAAGAAAGTTGCTGTCAACTTCCGGTATTTCCGGAAGTGCCGCCATATCGTAAATATTTTTAGTCGATAGATCTTATTGTAAAACAATGATGTGCAAAAAATCTCCGATCTAGATTTTTTAGGTCTCTAGAAACTTCTAATGCACGCTCAGCCTGGGACACCCTGTATACTTGTTAACAAATAATATTTTATTAGTTAATGATTTAACAAAATAATATAAAAAAAGTCTTACATTTTTTTTACGGGCTTCAACTAGGGATGGGCAATAATAAATTTTATCATCGATAAGTTATCACAATTTATCTATCAATATATTTTAGTTATCGAAAAGTCGATAATATTCAATAACTCAGAACTATCGCATTATGCCGCGACCGCACATGCGGCCTTTCGCGTTTTTCGAGGGCTCGTCGCCGGTCTCCGATCAGTGTAGACGGCAGAGATGCCAGATTTCACGTTTTTGTATCAAATCTCACGATCTTACGATACGTACTCAGGATCTCAATATTTCTTTAAATCTCACCAGTTTGACCAATTAGTAAATACTGCATTCAGAAATATTAAAATATTCGAGTTAACTAAAAAGCGAAGTTCCTATTCATAAGCTTATTAAATGTTCTAATATTAAATAATGCATATAAAACATATTTTGATTGTTGTTGATATTGGTGTGCTTTATACACGATAATATCGTTATTTCCATATTTTTTTCAATTCCCGATGCCTGCTATTTATTAGGCGCTTTTAGTCGTTGCTACGGAGGCTAAAAGGCGTCCGTAGTTGTTTCATACCAGAAAATTCTACATCCTACGTCTATGTAATTTAATATGTGTAGAGTGAGACATGTAACTCGTGACATTTTCAGCATTTTACATTAGTATTGTCAAGGTGTATTACTGGTTGCATAACTGCATACTGCTAAAAAAATCGCAAAGTGAATTGAGGGACCTGGCGCATTCGCCAGAAAGTAAAGAAAATTATAGAATTCTTTAGAAAAATCTAGAAACAACCGCCAGGGGGTATATAAGGCCCGCGCTTTGACAGTTGGACAAGTTTGAAGTTTGAAGTCTAAGTCTGAAGTTTGAAAATACCGCGAAATACCGTTAGAGTAATAGTAGTTGCATAAGTTGTGTTGTAAATAGTATAAGTTGTGTACAGAGTGAAACAAATAAATTCGTTAAGTATTTTATCGTCAGTTTAAATAGTGGACCCACGGAATCCGTAACAATTGGTGTCGGAAGTGCGATTCAAGAGGATTTTAAGAAGAAATTAAGTGGATTGGAAGATTTTTAGACCGAATTAGAGTATTTTTATGGTTGGTACAAGGGAGCAAACGAAGAAAATGGAGGAAGTAAGCAAATTATTGGGCGATTTTATGGAGAATATGAGAAAAGAAAAAGCAGAAGATCAAGAAAACTCCGTAAAGAACGAGAAGAAGAGCGAGCCCGACTAGAAAAAGAGAAAGCAGAAGAACAAGACCGCTTACTGAAAATTCTAGAAAATCAAGAAATTAAACAGGACCGGCTTGAGAACATTTTCGAAGATTTGAAAATTCAACGACAACAAGACAAACAAGAAGAACAGGACCGGCTTGAGAGAATTTTTGAAGATTTAAAAATTCAACGACAACAAGATAAACAAGAAGAACAGGACCGACTTGAGAAAATATTAGGTAATTTAGAAATTCGTTTGGAGGAGCGACGTCATAGAGAAAGACAAGAAGATCAAAATCGTCTTAAAAAGAACTTCGAAGATCTGGAAAAAAGACAAGAAATACACCTTCAAGAAGCCGTAGAAGATCTGGAGGAGCGCCTTCAACAGAAAATGGAAAAATTAGAGAAGGACCTACAGAAAACCAAGGCACAAGCAAGGACACCTGGCGTTCCTGGAACTGCAAACCTCAAGGCCCCGACCTACGATGGACAAACCACCTGGACGATGTACCACCGCCAGTTTGAAGCAGCCGCCGCTGCCAACGGATGGTCCGACCAGGACAAAGCAGCGGCACTTGTCATCGCGCTGCGTGGCCCTGCCTTGAACTGCTGCAAACTATTCCTGCAGCCCAACAGCAGGAATACGAAACATTGGTTGCTGCACTGGACAGAAGATATGGCGACCAACATCGACGTCAACTTTACCAGGCCCAAATCAAGACACGCCTGCAGAGGTCCGGAGAGAGTCTGCAGGAATTCGAAGCAGACTTACGTCGGCTGGTACACCTGGCATATCCAGAAGCACCGGAAGGATTTAGGGAGAACTCGCTGCCCAGTGTTTTATCAGCGGACTGAGGGACAACGAGTTACAGAGGGCGCTGCAAATATCCCGATTTTCTACCAGCAGCGAAGCACTGGTCAGGGCGCTGGAAATTGAAGCTGCTTTTAGCACCATCCCTAGACCGAAGATAAGATCGGTAACGGTCGAGGAACAGCCCGGAAGTTCTCACATACGTTTGGAGGAGATGTTTAGTAAACTATGTGAGCTACTAGTGAACAAGAGTAGCAACAACACCCAGACAGAGAACCATAGAAGATCCCAGGACATAAGGTGCTATAGATGTGGCAGGAGTGGCCACATCAAACGGGATTGCCGCGTCCAAATGCGATCCCGTTCACCATCCAGAGAACGTAGGCACCAGGAAAACTAAAATCAGTCAATACTAAGGGGCAAGTATTGACTGGGGAGAACAGAGCCCCAGATTTTTTCCATTAGGAGTTTAGGAAGAACCGCTGATAGTTTAGTGATCGACGGGAAGGTCAATGGTAGGAGAATCCGAATGACCGTGGACACTGGCGCTATGGTATCGTTGGTGCGAGCTAACTCAGTGCAAGGGTTGAAGCTGATGCCTCTGGGAAGAAGAGTGTGTTTACGTACAGTTACGGGGGAAATGACCGTTGTACGGGGAAAGGCTATCGTCGAACTGAAGTTAGGAAATTTGAAGTTTCAGCATAGCGTCTTAGTGGCAGATATTGAAGATGACTTCATCTTGGGCATGGATGTGATTCGTCAACATGGATTTTCGTTCGATCACCAAAGAAATATCCTAAATATCGGAAACGAAGAGTTCATGTTATCTCCAGACGAGGGACCAGGAAGGATGGATGTAAGATCAGCGGAAACTGTGGTGATACCTGGTAATACCGAGAAGATCGTATTCGGTAAAGTGGAGAAAATCGCTGGGTGCTGTGTTGGACTGGTACAAAGTGTCGACAAGAAACAAGATAGGTACTTGGTGGGAAAATCATTGGTGAACACCGACAAGAATATACCGATCAGAATTGCGAATGTTTTTGTGTCAAGATCATCAATGAATTGTGTCAAGATCCAAAAAGGTGACAAGATAGCCATCTGCGAACCTGTAAGAAGTGTCACCCGATGTGATGAAGTGTCGTCAGCTGTTACACAAAAGGCATCCCAAGAACACTAAAACATCTAGAACAGCCATGGGATCACCTAACACCTGAGGAGAAACAGAAGGCCAAGCAGTTCCTGCTAAAGCATGGCAGTATTTTTGAGAAGAACAACAGTGGAAGAACGGATTTTGTGAAGCACCAGATTAATACTGGTCATGCTCAGCCGATTCGACAACGTCCTAGAAGGGTGCCCCTTTCCAAACAACAAGAAATGGAGACAATGGTAGATAAGATGCTAGAAGATGGAGTTATCGAAGAATCATCGAGTCCATGGTCATCTCCTGTTGTTTTGGTGACGAAGAAAGATGGTAGTACACGATTCTGCGTGGACTATCGGAAGCTCAGTGACGTCACTAAGAAGGACAGCTACCCACTGCCACGTATAGACGACACGTTAACCACACTGGCAGGTTCGTGCTGGTTCTCCACTCTCGACTTAAAGAGTGGATACTGGCAAGTTGGTCTGGACGAGGAAGACAAAGAAAAGACGGCTTTTTCTACAGGAAACGGACTATATCAATTCAAGGTCATGCCGTTTGGATTATGCAATGCTCCAGCCACTTTCGAACGTCTCATGGAGGTGGTGTTAAGAGGATTAACTTGGAAAACGTGCTTGGTTTACCTCGACGATGTATTGGTTATGGGAAGAACTTTTGAGGAGCATTTGCGAAATTTAGAAGAAGTCTTCGGCCGCATAAGGAATGCGCACCTGTACTTGAACCCAAAGAAGTGTAGCTTATTCCAGCGACAAGTGGAATTCTTGGGTCATGTAGTTTCGGCAGACGGAATTTACACCGATCAGAAGAAAATCGGTGCAATCAAGGATTGGCCTAAACCTCGCGACGAACATGAACTTAGAAGTTTCCTGGGTTTATGCACTTATTACAGAAGATTTGTCAAGGGATTTGCCAATATAGCTGCACCCTTACATAGGCTTACAGGTGATGAAGTCGGCTACGAATGGAACACCGATAGTGATGTAGTCTTTGGAAGACTCAAGGCGGCTTTATGTTCAAGTCCTATTTTAGCCTACCCACAACAACAAGGGAGGTATATCCTGGGTACCGACGCCAGCAACATCGGCATCGGTGCAGTGCTATCACAAGTGCAAGATGGCGAAGAACGAGTAATAGAATATTACAGTCGAGTTCTATCTAAACCAGAAAGGAATTACTGCGTTACCCGGAAGGAACTGCTAGCAATTGTAAAGGCAGTTGATCATTTTCATAAATACCTGTATGGCCAAGAATTTTTAATTAGGACAGATCATGCGGCTCTCAAATGGCTTATGGAGATGAAACAACCTGAAGGTCAAATAGCACGATGGCTCGAGAAGCTCCAGCAGTATCACTTTACCATCCAACATCGTGCTGGAAAGATGCATGGTAACGCAGACGGTTTATCCAGAAGACCCTGTCAAATCGATTGTAAGCACTGCAGTAAAACGGAACAACGTGAAATTACTGTCATGATAAGGAGTTTTAAGCTTGGAACCGATGAACAGTGGACGACGACACAATTGAGGAACGACCAAATGGAAGATCCAGACATCGGAGCAATACTACGGCTCAAGGAAGGTAACGGCGAGAGACCACCGTGGCAGGATATTGCAAACAGAGGGCTCGTTTTCAAAGCTCTCTGGGCTCAGTGGAATTCACTGGTTATTGAGAATGGATTGTTAAAGCGCACGTGGGAAAGTGCGGATGGCAGGACAGTACAACTCAGTTACTGGTACCAAGGAAGAAAGTTACCCAGGTATTGGAAGAAATTCACGGTGGTAAAACTGGAGCCCATCTTGGGGTAAACAAGACCTTGAGCAAGCTGAGAGATCGCTTTTACTGGGTGGATTATTGCGAAGATGTCAAGAAATGGTGTCGACAATGTAAAATTTGTGCAGCCAGCCAAGGACCAAGCACTCGATCTAGGGGAAAAATGAAACAATATAACGTTGGACTGCCATTCGAAAGAATCGCTGTTGACATTGCAGGCCCATTCCCTGAAACGCACAAGGGCAACAAGTACGTTTTAGTGGCGATGGATTATTTCAGTAAATGGCCAGAAGTTTTTGCCATTCCAAACCAAGAAGCATCGACTGTAGCTGAGTATTAGTCAATAATGTCTTCAGTAGATTTGGAATTCCTTTAGAGCTTCACACTGACCAAGGAAGGAACTTCGAGTCAAGACTGTTCCAGAAGATGTGTGATCTGCTTGGTATTCACAAGACTAGGACAACAGCTTTACATCCGCAGTCTGATGGGATGGTCGAGAGATTCAATAAGACCATTGAAGAACATCTCTCGAAAATGGTGGATGAACATCAAAGAGATTGGGATCAGCATATACCACTATTCCTAATGGCATATAGAAGTGCAGTTCACAACACCACCGGACTTTCACCATCGAAGATTTTATTTGGTCGAGAATTACGGTTGCCTTGTGACTTGGTGTTCGGATCACCAGACGACAGCACCACGAACGTAGAGGACTACGCGGATGAACTGAAGGAAAGGTTATTGGGAATTCATAAGGCCGTGAGAAGTAAGATTACGCTAGCCAGTGACCGGATGAAAGCTCGTTACGACCTCAGAGCTAATTCTACGGGATTTCAACAGGACGATATGGTATGGTTATATAACCCACAGCGCAAGAAAGGGAGGTCCCCAAAGTTAACTCCAGCATGGGAAGGTCCTTATACAGTCATCAAGAGGATAAATGATGTTGTGTACCGGATTCAACGCAGCCCTAGAAGTAAGATGAAAGTAGTTCATCTGGATCGATTGAGAGATACCAGACAGGAAACCTTGATCGGGACGATCAAATTTGAGAAGGGGGCAATGTCAAGGTGTATTACTGGTTGCATAACTGCATACTGCTAAAAAAATCGCAAAGTGAATTGAGGAACCTGGCGCATTCGCCAGAAAGTAAAGAAAATTATAGAATTCTTTAGAAAAATCTAGAAACAACCGCCAGGGGGTATATAAGGCCCGCGCTTTGACAGTTGGACAAGTTTGAAGTCTAAGTCTGAAGTTTGAAAATACCGCGAAATACCGTTAGAGTAATAGTAGTTGCATAAGTTGTGTTGTAAATAGTATAAGTTGTGTACAGAGTGAAACAAATAAATTCGTTAAGTATTTTATCGTGAGTTTAAATAGTGGACCCACGGAATCCGTAACAGTATTAAAGGGCTCGGTGATTCCCCGGTGTGATTGCTGCATACCGGGAATCACCGAGGCCTATTCTTATTATTGATTATTATTTATTAAAATGTTCCAATTCACTGTAGGTTTTTAACTCTTTTTTATTGTCTATTCAAATTTAGGTAATTTTTACCTTTTACTTCTGACTTTTCTTTTAAGTTAAGGCTGTTTAGATTGAAAGTTTTTTATATAAAAATAAAGAAAATTAAATTGTTCAAATTCATAGATTCTTTTTTATTATTCTAATAATACTCTATACTCTCTGAATAGAGTGGTATTAATTTTTGAGAAGCTCATAGCAAGGCGGATCATATGATTTATAAGTATACAAGGTGTTCCATTTGAAAAAACAAAACTTTAGTTCATATCTTCAAAACTATTTTTTTCGTACGTAACTGTATTCTACGTAAAAAGTTCTACAAGAATCAGTTTTCACCTTCTCGATATCATCTATAATAACGGAGATACGGGGGCTGTTCCAAATTGCAAAATTTTCGAAAAGACCCTGTAGCTCAGAAACGAAGAGGTCTATGAAAATTTTGTTGACAGCATCTTCTGTTTGACAAAAAAGTGGGACAGGTTTGTACAAACCGCATCCTCCTAGCTTTACTAATAACGGAGATACCGTATGATTTCAACCAAAATGGGACACCCTCTACAGGGTGGCTCGAATTCGATGCTCATCATTGGGATTTCGGAAACCGTAAGAGATACAGGATCGGTTAAATGGAGGCAAAGTTGCGCAATTTGATGCTCAATAAAATGCCGTATTTTGGTTAGGTTAGGTTAGGTGCATTTTGGAAAATTCCGAATACTTCCGAATATATTCGAAAAAAAACCGGAATTTTCAATTTTGTTTTCTATTGTTTCCTGGCTTTATTTGGTAAGATAACTTAAAATGAAAAACACATTTTCATGGCCACTTTTTCTGCTCTATAACTCTGTACGATTAAATATTGACTCTGACGTTTCGGCTTCTGGCGACCATCATCAACTTAATTTTTTTAAATACGAACCTGACTTTTTTCAATTTAATTAAATCCTTTCATCACTCTTAAAACACTATATATAGTCACTTTGATAATATTTGCCGACGTTTCGTACAGAAAATTCCATCACCAGAATATTTTATGCAAAAAAAAATAAAATAAATAAAAATGCAATACTTACGGCATTTTATTGAGCATCAAATTGCGCAACTTTGCCTCCATTTAACCGATCCTGTATCTCTTACGGTTTCCGAAATCCCAATGATGAGCGGATGAGCTCTTAAACCATTGATTGTTATAGTTAATAAAACTTATTTATTGGTTAAATAATGCAATTTTTAGGCCTAAGAAGTATTTACTGTCAGAAATTGTGGATTATTTCTACCGGGTGATGCGAAGAGACCAGGATCCGGGCTACCTTCGCTACGACATGAGATGGGATCCCCTGTTCCAGTTGCGAGTGACCCTCTGCGGCAGGTTCTCCGTGGGCTGGCCCATCGCCAACCTACATTGGGAGAAGATCGAACGAGAACACGTATCGGACAGTGTCGAATCTGATATCCCCACGTTGGAAGACCTGGGCGTGGCTTTGACTGAACTGGAGAACCAGATTCCGTGGGAACTGAAACCCTACACGGCGGCATTGTATCACGGATTCGACAGCGAGGAGCCGTTCCCTACGCCTGCGCCGCCCAAGGTCTTGTTATAAAAAGTTGTACATTTTTATTTATAAAATAATATTATTACTGTAATAAAATATACTTCAAAATTGTTGAATGTTTCTTTTCGGGTTCCTTCTTCTTCTTCTTCTTCCTTCTTCATACTAGGCGAATCGCCTGTTTGGTTTCGTCGTCTCTACCGGTCAGACTGACAAGTTGTCGCTTCATCGTTTTCGTGGACTTCCTAAGCTTCTGCGACCTAGCGGTGATTTGTCGCGTGCAACTCTCGCTATCCTTCTGTTGTCCATTCTGCTGATATGGTCGTTCCATTCTTCCTTTCTGCTGAGTACACTCATTTACGTTTTCCACCTTGCACGCTCTTATATGCTTTCATTTCTCTCCCTGTCCAGAAGCGTCTTTCCAGCTATTCTGCGTAGTACTCTCATTTCGGTTGTCTCTAGTAGTCTCTTTTCGGGTTCCGTACATCAAAAAGGAAATCACTGGAATATTTTAGTGTACAAACTTAAGGAATTCTTCTTCGTCTACTTATTTGAGATTAGTCGATTTGTTAGTTTTAAGATTGCCTATGTAGGAGTTCTTGGGAGACGGATTGTTAACTGTCTTTCCATCTTTTTGGAGGTCTTCCCGGCTGTCTCTTACCCATGGGTTTCCTTTCGTAGTTGCCTGTTTTCTTCCATGCGTTTTACGTGTGCGAACCACTGTCTGTTCATTTACCTACCCCATTTACTAACAAAACCAAAAGCATGTTAAGAGTCGCTGAAATAGAGAACCTAAGAACCATAATGGGGAAGACTAGAAGCTTGAGTTAAAATTAGTTTTGTTAATATGGAGTACAGACATCTTAATCACCTAGTGATGGGTTGTTATTTAACTATCTGTTAATTTATAACAATTATTTAGAAATAACATAACGCAACCGTTACTGCTTCTAAAAAATAACAGATATAAAATAACGACACGTAGAGATCGGCCGCTCGTGAAACGAAAAACGAAGTCGGCGCTCTGCACCGCCCCGAAATTCTATGCTGCTCGAAGCAATTCCAAAAAACAACTAGTATGGATGGAAAACCTGTTATTTCGTCAACTATCGATACAGGCGGCGAGACAACGGACAACGGAGTGGGGAATGCGCTACGGCGAACGTAGCTGCTTCGGTCGATCCCGTCGACGGTCTTATATATATATCGTCGCGCTTATAACAGCTTAAAAATAATAGGATATAAAAGAAGCAGGTTTTTTGAAACAGTTGCGGGCATAACGCCTGGCGGTCGAGATAACAGGAGTGGGAAAGGAAGGCTGCTGCATCGGTCGATTGTCGATGGAAGTTCGAAACAGGTTGGAGAATAACGCATCAGTTGTTTTAGATATATTGTTTTTCAACCTGTTACGAGCATAACGGGCGGAGGTCGAGATATTATGGCGCTGTATGTTTCAGTACGTTATTAAGTTTCAATATTTAGGTATTTATTTATTCTGAAAAATTTTCAGAATAATATTTTAAGATTTTTTAAAAATGTATACAGGGTGTTTTGAAAAATCTGGTCATTGATTAATCACGATCCTGCTTAAAGCCCTTGACGTAAAAAGCTGATTTTTGGAAAACGGATTGACTTTAGGGTGTAGAGGTTCGATAAGAAGGGATTTTTCGAAACTCGAATTCAAAGGGGGTGAAACCACCCTCAAATATTAGAATATTTTTTATTTAAAAACCGGTGAGTTTTCCGGAAAAACTCTTAAACACGTATATTTTATTTCGTTGTTTTACATATTTTAAGATTTTTTAAAAATATATACAGGGTGTTTCATAAAATGTGACCATTGAGTAATCACGATTCTGCTTAAACTGCTTGACGTTTAAAGCTGATTTTTGGCAAACGGATTGACTGTGGGGTTGAGGTTCGATAAGGAGGGGTTTCTCGAATCTTAAATTCCAAGAGGGTGAAAACGCCCCTCAAATATTACAATATTTGTTATTTAAAAAACGGTTAGTCTTTCGGGAAAACGCTTGGACACGCATAATTTATTTTGTTTTTTTACATATTTTGAAATTTTTTAAAAAATAATACAGGGTGTTCCAAAAAGTTGAGTAATTGATTAACCACGATTCTGCTTAAACTGCTCGACGTTTAAAGCTTATTTTTGGCAAATGTGAGAAAATTTTATCCAGTTTGTATGTCAATAGAAATTCTTGCTTTGCTTTATCATCACCATTACAAATTATTAATTCGACGCGAACGAAGTCGCGGGTACACGCTAGTTTAAGTGTAAAATTAATTCGAACTCTAGTGTATAGTTGGTTTACTTATGAAGAATATACTACACATTTTCTTATATTGCTATTTTTTGACCACAAATGGTAAAATTATAACTAAGAGCTTCTTGCCCGTCGAGTGAGATGCACCCTGTACACTGCTACGCAATTCAGGATCTACGCCGATCGAGGGGCAAGGCGTAGGTAGATCGGAATGTATACGTATAGACGAGTGGCGGAATTTTGGCTTTTTTATATCGCAATTTGTAAACAGCGCTTATTTGTAAACAACGACCGTTTTTAGAGAGGTATTTTAGATAACAATCGATATTTAGAAATGTTTAGACACCCTGGAAATACTACCACCGAGCATGTCATTGTAGCAACTTGCAACTGCGTTAATACGCCTGGCGGCGACCTCATACTCTTTCAGATATTTAGCAATAAAATAAAGAAACCTGTTATTTTTAAGCTGTTATTTTAAGCTGTTTTTTATAAATAACTATAACAGTTTCAACTGTTATCTAAAAATAACAGTTTTGCCCATCACTATAATCACCTATGACGTCACGATACGAACGAAATTCAGCTAGTTTTTTTATTATATACTAAGGGTTGGCAAAGGTTAGTCTCGGGTCGAGATTTCCGTATATAAGAAGAGGGTAGTGCGTTTATAATGTATTGAACAAAGAGGGAACAGTAAAACGTTGCAAAAAGTATGAAATAAACCGACAAACTGTGCACATTGCTAAGAGACGTGGAAGGGAATATAGCAGATTCGTTGCGGTCGACCGGTCGACCCAATCAGTACGATCATTACTTAAAATTCTAAGGAAGCATGATGTATACGCATTCAGCTTCACAATTTAATTACGTCTCGTGATACTTTATTTGATTATTTATTAACGAGTCGTAATTTTCCCTGTAGCTTGTAAATTTTTAAGTGCAAGTTAGAAACACGTGTACTTTTGGTAAAAATAAGTGGAATTGAGTTGGTGTTCGACATAGTGGTGGTGCTATTAGAACTCTGAATTCAAAAATCGATATCTGGAAATCCATTAGAAATAATTGATTGTAGTTTTCTCACAAATCTTCTTAATATTTCTGTATGTGAAAATCTATATAAATAAAAAAGTTACACGATTGCTGAAAATTGCTATACACTAAAAGTAAATGGATGGGTTTTTTAAAAAAATTTAAATGAAAAAAAAAACAAGCCTATCGAATTTCTTACTTAAACATCTTGTAAAAGATCCGAACTTCAAAATAAAAAAAAGAAGTTTCAATACTAAAATGGTTCTTAAGTTATCGCGTGTTAGATATGTGTTAAAAAGTTGAGTTTTAAAGTTATCGCGATTACTGACGTTTTCTCGTTATAAAAAAATGAACACCCTAACGATAACCGGCGAACGCAGGTACGCCTTTCCTTATCCCTATGTATGTGGAAACGCCGCAACAGCACACCGTCGCATTTCTCTCACTCCGACTTAATGAGATCCCTATGCGATTTACTTCCACACATGTAAATACCGACCCAAAAGTAAGAGTTGCCAGAACGGTATATTATTATAATTTTTTTTAAGATATTTAGTGACTTTAAATTTGATAGAGAGAGAGAGAGAGAGAGAGAGAGAGAGAGAAATAGCGTAAGAACAAAATGAGAACAAGGTTATAATGTTCCGCAGATGGATGTTTGGAGGGAATTTCGGCGAATGGACTTGAAATGATATAAAATAAACATTTTACAAAGACTACATCCCGGAGATCCTGAGAGAAGGTTCGATTTATTTTTTATTACTGAATTTACTACTAGAAATATTATTTGTACTAATGAATAGCGGTTTGACAAAGAGCATTATGTTGTGAAAGTAAAAAAATATCAATAACTTTTATATACATATTTATTTACATAATAAAAACAGTTAATATAAATAAAAACACATACTTAAGTCTACTATGTCAATATATGGCTTTCATAAAAGAACTTATTTTAGAACATCTGCACTATACTGTTGCTGCGCTTTTTCACTACCCTCATCTTTATCAAAATTAGCGTATTCCTTCACGAAAGCGTCCTTTCCACTAGCGCCTTTATAATTTTTTAAATATTCATCTAAATAACCTTTGTCCTTGACACCTTTTGCACTGACTTTCTTTCCATCATACCGTTCTCCTCTATTATTGCCCTTTACGTAATATCCACTTCCTGAGCCTTCTTTGGCGTTCAGATTGCCGTATTTTCTGAAATGTCCTCGCCTGTCGGCAACATCGTAGAACTTATGTTGTTTGTTATAGTCATTTTTCCGGTAGATTTTGTGATACCCGCTGGTATTTCCACCCTTTTTATGTCCTTTTTTCTCCGCAAATGATCCTCCTTGGTTGACTGTTCCGTATTGGTCGCTGACTGCATAATTTCCGTCCTTTTCCAATGCTTTTTCCTTTTTTCCTCCTTTCGCGTCATAATAGGCTTTGTTTTCGCTGTTGGAATGTTTGCCTTTTAGTTTCTTGTCGAATTGACGAACCGTATCGAACCCTGATTTGTCTGCTACGCCGTATTTTGTGACGTCAGTCAAGTCGTATACGTTTCCATGTTCGTCGATGAATTTTGTTATGTAGTTGCCTTGGCCATAACCAGCAGCTTGGGGAGCCCTGAAAGAAATATTTGAAGTTAATTTAGATAATTTGTATACCGGGTGGTACATCGTCGTTGGAAACGTAGGAAATCCCATGCAAATTTTGAATTGTCCAGATATTGACTCCCCTATTGATTTTATAGCGAAATTGTGTAAATAGATTTTTTTAAGCTCTACGTTTGGTAAGCACACATGCCAAGTTTGAACAATTTTGGACAAGCCAATTTTGAGTAATTTGAGAAAATCTGAATCGATTTTTTAATTAAAACTGAATAGGTAACAATCAAACACCAATCAAAAACCGACATAACTTTAGTGTCAGCCATAGATAAATGAAACAAGTTTAGATTGGAAAGTGCCGATAAGGACAATGTAAACACTATTTGGCGCTATTCTTGCAACGGTCGCGACCCAAAACTTTTGAAAATTTCGGAGCGGTTCGGCTTTTTCCGGAATTATATCGCCAAATATTGTTTATTCAAATTTATTATTATTTTCGTTTAATTTTATAAATAAAATACACTGGCGCTGCTATAGCGGTCGCTAAGAACAACGGCAAACAAAAACAGAAATAATTTTCTACCATGTCTTGTCAAAGTCAGAATCTTCAAAAATCATAATGATCTTTCAAAATCTAAACCGCTCTCATTAAAGAAATTCCGAAAAGTGTTTATAGCGTCCATTTTGAAAGTAATTATTGTGAGTTTAATTCAAGTTTTATTTACTCCAACCGGTGATAATTGTGAAAAAGTAGCATTAAAAATTTAAAAAGCTGTGCTGTGAACTGTGAACTACAAAAAAATCCTCGAAGATCGTGGCATAACGTCGGTTTCCAATGTTTCATAGGTATTTCATACATGCGTCCTTATATAAAATAAAGTTTCTTGTATGCAACACACTGTATTTTATTTATAAAATTAAACGAAAATAATAATAAATTTGAATAAACAATATTTGGCGATATAATTCCGGAAAATGCCGAACCGCTCCGAAATTTTCAAAAGTTTTGGGTCGCGACCGTTGCAAGAATAGCGCCAAATAGTGTTTACATTGTCCTTATGGGCACTTTCCAATCTAAACTTGTTTCATTTATCTATGGTACTAGTAATAATTTATTGTTATACACACAAAGAAAAAGTGAGCATGATAAAATGCTACTATGCGAGAAATAGCTTAGACAGTGTATCTGACATGTTTCGGTTAATTTCTCCTGAATATTAAAATCTCTGATTAAAATTAAATTAGGTACTTTTGACAATGACAAAATCATAGTTTATAAACCTACCTGGCCATTGACTGGTGTTTGATTGTTACCTGTTTTGTACGGTTTTAATTTAAAAATAGTTGCAATCTTTTTTTAAATTACTCAAAATCGGTTGATCCAAATTTGGCATGTGTATTTACTAGCGATGGGAACTATCGAATGAATTAGACTATCGAATGGTTAATGAATGAATGATTTCAACTATCGAATGGTTTTATTCGAATAAAATCATTCATTCATTTGTATACTAAAGCATATGTGACAACCTCGCCGTGCGACTAAATGGTTATCGTTGAGCCACGACTATCGAATGCTTTTGATAAATGAAATTTAGTATTCGTTTGATTTTTGTATGCGTCAGTGCATTATTGGTTCTTCCAAATTTTTATAACTTCGCCGTATAAATACTGTGCTATTTTTGCGTTTATTAAAATAGTTAAAATACTAAAATAGTAGTTATTTTTTAATTTTATTTATTGACGATTGTGTGCATGTGCAGGTGGTCAAAATTTTTTCGATAATTTGTGTGGTTTTCCGTAGTCCGATCTTTCAATTATTTAATTTTATATGGTATATGTCTATTTTTTAATGGGAAATTTTGAGAAGTAGCAATTTTAAGAGAGATGAAATGAACTTATTAATTAATTTTAAAATACATATTTGTATTTTAGATGTTTTAATAATATGAATTAGTTGAACTTAATAATCATATTTAAGTAATGTGGTTAAGTAAATGGGGTTATCGAACTCAAACTATGGGGTGAGAAAATTAAAATGAAAGTTTTACACGTGCCAATTTTAAAAAAAAGTTAACGATGTTTGTATTTTGTTTATGCTAATTCTCTTACATGTAGTTTTTTGCGAAGAAATATTTCATTTATTTTTTAAAGTAAATGCCAGTAAAAGTAATATAATTAATTAATATAATTTTTAAATAGAGATATAAAGCACCTAATATAAATAATTTTGATTTCTAATTTTTTATTTATATTTTCGTTCCATTACACTGCATGCTTAGAAAATTAATAAATGTTTATATTTCATGATTTTAAAATTTGTTGTTAATATAACAAATTAGTTCTGTAATTATTATTATTTAACAAACCAACGTTGCCAAAAAATTTAAAGACTATATTATTTTTAAATAGGATCTAATATAAATAATTTTGACATCTAATTTGTTGTTTATATTTTGCTACTACTTAAAAAAATATTGATATTAAATCATTTTAAATTTTGTTGTTAATAGGTATAACAAATTATTACTGTTATTATTATTTATTAAACCAGTCTTTGCTTAAAAACATTAAAAATCACTTTCATGTTCTTACATCCAAAATAACAAGTATTATTGCAGTGTAACAACAGAATATTAATAAAAAAAAATGCAGAATATATAGACATACTATCCCTAACTAACTAAAGCCAAACAATAATATTCTTTGCTAATATCAACTAATGCCAAAATATGGCAACAGCGCCCTTCATAATGTATTTTCTGTGTAAATACTAGCACCTCAATAAAAAAAATAATGTGTCCTTATCTATATCTGACTCCGCAAAAAATCAAAGATGCCGGCTTCTTTCATAGCATTGCCACCGACCGCTGTCGGGTTTCTTGGAAAGAAACCTACGTCGCCGGGCTACAACTAAAATTCAGTTAATATTTTATTATAATCGATCCTGACGAATAAATGAATTTCATAAATGAATGGTTTTTGCTGCCGAATTACTAGAATACAATATTTCAAGGCAGATGACGCATCTATTCGATAATTTTTATTCGAATAGTTTTCAACGAATGTTTTTTACTAACTATCGAATTATTCGAATGAATTGCAACTATCGAATGTTTCGATAGTATTCATTCGATAGTTCCCACTACTAGTATTTACCATACATAAACCTTTAAAAAATCTATTTACGACTTCGCTGTAAAATCAATAAGGGAGCCAATATTTGAACAATTCAAAATTGGCATAGGATTTCCTGTTTCCAACGACGGTGCCCCACCCAGTACCTAGTCAGTACAATATTATTGATAAGAATATAGGTATAGGCTTGATGCATTCTCCGCCGGTGCTGCCACCATCGGAGAATATCGAAAACAATCTGTATATACAAATACACGGGTTTAAATAAAGAGTATACGGAAAAAAAGTTTATATAATTATTCAAGTGTTAGGAAGTATAATTTGTGAAAATTCTAAAAAAAATAAAAAAGTAAATATTTTGATATCTTCAGAAGGTCTAACTTGTATTATAATTTATTATTGAAGCTAATAAAACTTTTTAGATGAGTTCAACTACAGTAGCGAGGATAATTTTACGCACCGGCTTTGCTAGTTGGGACATAACTTAAGCTATTTCGGCTATAACGAAATTTTTTGAAGGTACTAATTATAATGTTAGAAGATATTCATAAAAAAATTAAGCACTAGTTGATTAAAAAGAGTATACCATTATTATTGCAAATTATATTTTATCCTCTCATAATATATGTCTATTTAATTTATTAATTATGTAATGGGGAGTTTGTTTACTCACTTGTTTCGTCGAACTGCTTGAAGCTGTGAAGCTATAAAATGTTGATTCGGGAGAGTTGAGTTATTGAATGTTATTCTTATGAATACTATTTTTTGGCAATTTTATTAACATTTGAAATTGTCAGAACACAACGCGACGCCCAGTTCGAGTTCTTTTTCACTTAATTTTTACTACCTGAAACAGCGTTACATTACACAACCTCGTACCTGAGTGTTTTATAGTTTCAATAACTGCACCAGCAAAAAACTAAAATACTTAAATATTATGAAAAAAACACGATTTCAATTTTATTTTAATGCGATCAACATGAACTGTAACCGGGACGGTATGAAATTTAAAGCTAAAATTTCCGATTTCTGCCGCATACAGCGCTGAGGTCGGAATTTTTTGAAATCAAATTCACAAATTCATGACACATACGAGTACACGTAATACTGGAGTAATATTATATTACTATAGTATTATTGTTAACGTTTATGCCTCATATGTTTGTTTGTATTTGGTACATCTTGACGTTGATTATTTTATAGTTTAAGAACTTAGATCAACTTAGAGTCTCAATAAACTAAGAACATTTTAAGTTTAAATACAAATTTGATCAGTGTTAAAATTGTTGAAGATACTAACCCAAGGTTTTTGTAATAATCCACAATAGAATATGGAACATACTGCACTTTTTCTTGAGGTAGCAATTGTCGAACCTCGTATGATGATATTGGAACAGCTTTAGCGTATCTAAAAAAGGAACGAATTCAAATTATCATAAAGAATGAATATTAAATAACTTTAACTTTACTTTAATGCAACTTTGATGTAAAAATATATGTATTTGTATCATTCATTATATCTATTAAATCCTGAAAAAAGATAGGTAACCTGATTAAACCTAAGTTTTTCGGAATACTGGTCATGATGCATACTATACATGACGTATAGTTGGTAATTCAGTACAAATACAATCAAGAGTGAACAAGAACAAAAAATGTAACAAGAATCGATTATTATCTATTTAGCGTTACATAAAAGTATTAAGCATATTTATATATTAAGCAATAAATATAAATGCATTTTGATTTAGGACGTTTTTAAGTCCTAAATATTAAAGGATTGTTTCTCTATATTACAGGGTGGCGCACCTCATTCGCCTTGGTTGATTTGTTGATTATACAAAAACGGAAAGATGGAGAAACAAAATTTTTATAGGTATATGTGGGGAGGGGATGGTGCATAATTTAAAATTATTTTCAAATGTACAGGGTGTGTCAGAACTAAGATCCATACCAAAGTGATATTTTTTCTTCCCGGTCTTATATCCGTGTTCCCGGTATTTTATTTCATTTTTGGATTATTGGGCAAAAAATAAGGCATTTATAAAAAGGGTTTAATATGTTAAAAGATTTGGTTTTTAAGATATTTAAGGATATTTAAATATGCATGCTGTAATAAAAAAAGTTTGTCAACACCCTGTACAGGGTGGGTCAAATTCGACGCTTTTAAATGGAAACACCCTTTTCTATAGGAGATAGACAAAAACTAATATCGGTGTCTGGAGCTCAATTTTTGTCAAAAACATGATGGTGAAAACCGCATATCGATATCTGTTACCGTTTCGGAGTTACGGGGTGTTTTTCAAAAATATGCATTTTTAACAAATTACTTTTTTGCTATGGAAAATTTTGTATTTTTATGAAAACATTCCCAAAGCACCTTTTTACGTAGAATTTAATGGTTTAAATATAATTTTTTTAAAATTAATAATTTAAGAATTATCAACAGAAAATTTGATTTTTTATATGGGACACCCTGTATATTTTTAATTTATTTAAAATAATTTAAAATTACATTTCCAAAAATATAACACACTTGATATTTTGCTAGATTCTTCTTCGAGATATAGAGTATATAAAAATTCACCCGCTTTAAATAAGTAGGCTTTGAACGGCTCCGGCTGTAATGCAAACAAATTCTAGCTGTGAACATCAATTAAAACGAAAATAATATTTGCTATGAGAGCTGCAGAATTTTATAACAATTTAAAATATATTTAGCCAACATCAACACATTTAAACTATATCTAATAACAATAAAAATAAATAGCAAATCAACACATAAGATTTTGTTACAGGTGTTCGACATATCGACCGTCTTCTGTTATGGACAGACGGGGCAGTTTTTGAACATTTCTCGCGGAATTCATTAACTCAGTGGGGGTGAAAGATACCCTCTCATAACTGCTAAGTATTTCTAATTCTTGTCTAGATTATACGGAAGAATAAGGAGCCTTATTCGTCCGCAAATATATCCATAGGATTAGATCCATGGGCACTAAGTCAGGCGGCCTCGACGGCCAACGTTACTGGCTGGGATGTTGGTTAAGTATTCAATTATTCTTAAAATTGGCTGCAAACATTTGCTGATAAATTCAGCGTTCATAGGTGGTGCGCCGTCTTGCTGGAAAAATATGTTTTCGAGTTCCATTAAGGAAATATCATCCATAGAGGGTCCAAAGCCTACTAGTTAAAAGTGGCGAACTTTAAAAAATTTTGTATTTCGAAGGAGATTATAACAAAATATCAAGTGTGCTATATTTTTGGAAAGGTAATTTTAAATTCTTTTCAGCTAATTAAAAATATAGAAGGTGTCCCAAATAAAAAATTAATTTTTCTGTTGATAACTCTTAAATTATTAATTTTAAAAAAATTATACTTAGACCATTAAATTCTACGTAAATAAGTGCTTTGGAAATGTTTTCATAGAAATACAAAATTTTCCATAGCAAAAAAGTTACAGCGATTTGTTAAAAATGCACATTTTTGAAAAACACCCCGTAACTCCGTAACGGTAACAGATATTTATTTTCGGTTTTCACCATAATGTTTTTAATGAAAATTGAGCACCAGACACCGATATTAGTTTTCGTCTATCTCCTATAGAAAAGGGTGTTTCCATTTAAAAGCGTCGAATTTGACCCACCCTGTACATTACTCTTCAGAATTAATTCTTGTGTTGACTTTTAAGCCAGAGAAATAAACTTAACTTGTTGATTAAACTTTCTTAAAAAAATGGATTGCTTCCTTAAATGTATAGAGGGGTATCAAACATATCTAGTCTATTTTAAATAATTATTTTACATAATATCTTCGTTATTGCAACACTCGCTGTATTTTTTTTAAAGTAAGTCGAAGCAGATTTAAATTTAATCTTGCAAACTATATTAGGGTTTCCTATACCTATCTGGCTCAGATTTTAAATAAAAAGCGATTTTTCAGTAAAATGACAATCAAGATGGCTGATGTCACCATGGCAATTTTCTAGTGACAGTAGCTATTTTCAAAATCGCCATTAATTTATAGATTTTATTTAAATTTATAACAGTTTACTTTTATATAATTTACCTACAATAATTTAATAAGTATTTATTATTTTATCAGGAAACACGAAGAAGTAGTTGTTTGATTTATATTACGATGACTTGTAGATATATTGGATTTTCTGTAAAAGAACCAATTACCAGTTTTTGTATAATCAACCGAGGCGAATGAGGTGCGCCACCCTCTGTATATAAAAAATAACGAGATGTCATGAAACCTTCAGTATTTAATATGTTCTAATTTTACCTTCCTTAAGGGTTCAAAAAGAAATACTGAAATGAATTATGTATACAGGGTGGCGCACCTCATTCGCCTCGGTTGATTATACGATGTAGAAACAAAAATTGTTATGGGTATATGTAGAGAGCCAATGTGCATAATTTAAAATTACTTTCAAATGTACAGGATATGTCAGAACTAAGATTCATACCAAAGTTATATTTTTTCTTATGGAACACACACACACCCGGTATTTTATTTTATTTTTGGATTCTTGGACCCAAAAAAACGCATTTATTATAAGGGTTTGATATGTTTAAAAGCTTTGGTTTTTGAGATATTTAAAGATATTTAAATGTGCATGCTATAACAAAAAAGTTTGTCATAACACCTTGTACATTACTTTTCAGAATTAATTCTTCTGCTGACTTTCAAGTCAGAGAAATAAACTTTACTAAAAAATTTGATTGCTTCCTTAAATGTATACAGGGGTATGAAAAATTGCTGGTCTATTTTAATTATTTATTTTACATAAAAACTTCGTTATTTCAAATACAACACTATGTATTTTTTAAAATAAGTCGAAGCAGATTTAAACGCTCGTTCAAATTATATTAGAGTTTTCTATACCTATCTGACTCGTTTTTGAATAAAAAGCGATTTTCCAATAAAATGGCAATCAAAATGGCTGGTGTCGCCATGGCAATTTACTAGTGACAGTTAGTAGCTATTTTCAAAATCGACAATAGTTTATAGACTTTATTTAAATTTATAACAGTTTACTTTTATTTAATTATAGTAGCAGTTACTGCTTAATTTTCTTGATAAAATAATAATTACTTACTTATTAACCTTATTGCAGATAAAGTAAATAAAAATAACCTGTTATAAATTTAAATAAAGTCCATAAACTAATGTCGATTTCGAAAATAGCTACTAAGTGTTACTAGAAAATTACTATGGCAACACCAGCTACCTTGATTACAATTTTATTGAAAAATCGCTTTTTATTCAAAATCTGAGCCAGATAGGTATAGGAAACCCTATATTTAATTTAAATCTGCCTCGGCTTATTTTAAAAAATACATAGTGTTGCATTTGAAATAACGAAGTTTTTATGTAAAATAAATAATTAAAATAGACCAGCAATTTTTCATACCCCTGTATACATTTAAGGAAGCAATCAAATTTTTTAGTAAAGTTTATTTCTCTGACTTGAAAGTCAGCAGAAGAATTAATTCTGAAAAGTAATGTACAAGGTGTTATGACAAACTTTTTTATTATAGCATGCATATTTTAATATCTTTAAATATCTCAAGAACCAAAGCTTTTAAACATATCAAACTCTTATAATAAATACCTTTTTTTGGGTCCAAGAATCCAAAAATGAAATAAAATACCGGGTGTTCTATAAGAAAAAATATAACTTTGGTGTGGATCTTACTTTTGAAACACCCTGAATATTTCAGTATAATTTTAAAATGTGCACATTACCTCCCCACATATACCCATAAAATATTTTGCTTCTATATTCTTCCGTTTTCGTATAATCAACCGAGGTGAATTAGGTGCGCCAACCTGTATAGCATTCAAAATTTATTGGAAAAATTCAATAGCATTGTAATTTTGGTTCGCCATGTATATATAGTTCCGTACGAAACGCCAAATCGAAACATTTTATACGAACACTTCCCTTATTTTGTAATACACGCTGTTTCCCTTCTTATTTTTTTGTACTTGTTCATTTATACTATGTATAGATAACTTTGTTAAAACTTCAATCAATTAAAAATTATAATAGCTTACCTTTCTACGAAAGCAGGGTCATTTTCGAAGTTGACCGGTGTCTTAGGAGACTCTACACTATCACTCTCGTACAAATCCGCAGGAATCTCCGCTCCATAAGAGAATTCAGAGCCTAGCATCGCTTGATCGTCCGATTTTGACGTTTTCATATACACAGAACTGAGTTCTCTGCCTTGGACCGACACACCGACCCAAAATACGATCCAAAAACTCGTCGCGATATTCATAATGGTTCAAAAAATCCCTTGTGATCTGTCAAAGAACACTAAACTAATCGATTCAAATCATCGGCGATTTTATACATTTTAAGAATTCCATGAAGAGTAACAACGAATTTTTGCGGTGGGTTGACATTTAAAGGACGTGTGTTTTGTAAAACTATTTTGATTTCACGCATCGTTGCTAACCACGAGTTAAATATGAAGCCAAGCGGCAAAGGATAAGCTAAATATGTTCTTGTAAAATGTATTAAATTGGAAAAATATGTTTTTTTAATTTAGATGTAAATACGAGGGTAGTCTGAAAAGTTTCAGACTTCACAATGCTACAAAATCTTCCTCTAGGAAATGCGAGACCCTATTGTTGGTGGAGAAGCTTGTCCCTGGCACTTTGGCTGGCTCTAAGAAGCATATCATTGTCTTGTCCTTGGTTGTAGTGTCGTGGCTATGGAATTGTACTAAGACATATAACGATGCCGGATGGGACTACCCTGTCCATTATACCAGGCACCCTTTACTGTCTGTTGTCATGTATCACGAGCAGAGGGTGTGGAGAGATTTTAGCAAGGGGGGAGTCCATTTCATTAGTCCGAAAAAGTAGCAAGATAAGCGTTCGGCATTTAACGTTTTATGTAAAACTGGCTAGGTATTTTTACACAAGTGAAGAAGGAAATTAAAGATAAAGGATTACACTATATCCGTATTGTAGCACATTTTTAGACAACTTCTTTATTTTTAAGATTTTGATGATCAAACATCAACAACATATTCCTTATGTTTGGAGTAAATTTTCTCTAAAATAAAGGCATAATTTAAAATGCCGTTACAATACGGAGATAGATTGAAGTTTTGTGATTACAGTGATATACGAGTCCTAACAACTAAATGTTCGGACAAACAAAAATTTATTAAAAATTTTTATTTTCATTAACTGAATTATTTACATTTAAGAAATACATTAAAAATATATTAAAATCTAACATTTCTAATGAGTATTTAAATAGTTTAGTTTCTATAAACATTAAAATAAACTGTAGGCCAATAAATAAACAAAGAGATTGCACAATATCGTGACAACTAAATGTTCAGTTTAAAAATGCTGTTCTAATATGGCGTACATCGGCATGAACTTTTGCAACCACTGCAAGCCTGTTTGGCATTGTTTTTATTAATGATTGGCATACGCCAGATTAAAAATTTTGCCATAATTCACTTAATATCATCGTCAAATGGGTAACGGTTTCTTGGGGATCGTGGCACAATTTTTGTTTTGATTTATGTCACATGTCCCGATAATATTAAGGTCCGGACTGTGCGAAGGCCATGAGGGGACCTTAATGTTCATGCCCCTAAACCATTTTTTAGTAGTTTTAGCTGTATGGTATGCCCCGCCATCCTGTTGAAATATAAAATTATTGTCCTGCTCTTTACCAGAACAATTCCTTACAAGGACCTTTGTCCTTCCCACTTGACACAAGAATATTTTTCAAAATTTTTTGATTTTTTGACGCATCAATTATGCCTTCTACCACCTCATACTTTTCTGGGCCTATTTTGGACATTACTCCTTCAAATCATAATGCCTTTAGGAAAATTCACTGTCCTTTTGAGGCAATCTTTATCCAATAGACACTCTAGCGGTGTTAATTATATCGATATTAAGGTGGCTCATGTGCACATGTAATTCGTGCACTTGCCATTTGCGATTGGAATTATTAGCGTCGGATTGGGAAATAATTAAATATTTTACCTTAATGTCATTTTTGTAGTTTGTGACATCAGAAGTTCCAATCCAACGCTGATAATTCTAATCACAAATTGCAAGTTTAAGGATTACATCTGCACGGATGCATGATCTTTATGAAAGATAGACAGTAGAATTTCCTAAAGACATTATGCTTTTAGAGTTTATGTCCGCAATGGGTCTAGGAAGGTATGAGGTGGTAGAAAGGCACAACTAATGTGTCAAAATATCAAGAAATTTTGAAAAACAGTTTTGTGCCAAGTGCGAGAGACCTTTAGCAGGATATGAATTTTATATTTAACAGGATGGCGGGGCATGCCAAATGGCTAAAACTACTAAAAAATGGTTTAGGGATATGAACATTAAGGTCCCCTCCGGACCTTAATGTTATCGAGGCATATCGAGACATGTGGCATAAAACAAAACAAAAATTGCGCCACGATCCCCAAGAAACCGTTGCCCATTTGACGATGATATTAAGTGAATTATGGCAAAATTTTTACTCTGGCGCATGTCAATCATTAATAAAAACAATGCCAAACAGACATGCAGTGGTTGCAAAAGTTCATGCCGATGTAATGCCATATTAGAACAGTTATTTTTTAAAGTGTCCGAACATTTAGTTGTCACGATATTGTGCAATATTTTTGTTTATTTATTTGCCTACAGTTTATTTTAATGTTTATAGAAACTAAACTATTTAAATACTCATTAGAAATGTTAGATTTTAATATATTTTTAATGTATTTCTTAATGATGAAGAAATATATGATGAAAAAAATTAGTGTGAAAGTTTGTCTTTTGGAATGACGATCACTATTTGGATTTTTCTTTTTGGATTTATATTTTGTGTAAAATTATATAGTGAATGTCCTGATTAATCATTTGCAAGCCAATTTGACACCGTTGGCCAGACAGGGAGAGCTTTTAGAAAATAGTTTTTTTTTGTAGAGATTAACTTACATGAGTGGTTGTCGTAAATACAGTAAAGTTGGTAACTTATCAAACTACCCTCGTTCTTAAAGTCAAATTAATTAGCGTCTAATTTTTGCGGTAATTGAAGAAATGTGACTAATTTTAAAAGTAAAGATTTTTTGTAATAGTCCCAAAAATCGTTTGGCTGACTCTCTTTTGAATACATTTCGCAATAATTGTTTAAAATTAATCAGATGAAAATTAAATTTTGAAATATACTTGCCTACTTATCTTATTCAACAAATCTACATAGGTCACATAAACTGCATATATCCTTCAATAATATTTACCGTGGAAAAAGAAAATAATATTTGCCTGCCATTACTGAGTGTACTATTATTGCAGTAAGTTTTTCCATTTAAGAAAAAAAAACAACATTTTTACACACAAACCAAACCAAATCAATAAACACCCTGTAAAAATATCTCTGTCTGAAAATAAACTTGTTTACCCCAATTAATTCATTCATTTATTCCTACCACATAAAATGAAGCCAAATAAAACAATAATAAAAAAAGAACTAATTGGAAAATCACTTGTATGAGTTCCTAAATTCCAAATAAAAGCAAAAGGCATAACCATACGCGTCCACATCCAGATAACATGGATACGCTGTGGATAATATTGCTTTCGTCATATGTAATCGGCTGTCAATCGCGTGATATCTTTGTAAACGATGAAGTACCAATATACGAGGTTGAAGGAAATGAAAAAAATGACGTTGCTGAAAATATTAAAGAAGAAATTGAACATGCTCCTTGTCATATGGAATACCAAGTAAGTGCTCTTATAATTAACATTATTTATCTATTAACAGTATTTTAGTCAAGATATTTCAAATTTATTACCTACAGTTCTTGTTATGTAACTAACAAAATTGCTAATTTTATAAAAATAAGTAGAACCGCACTAAATAGACTAGAAAATATAAATATGGATTAAAATAGCTTTAATGGACTTGCGGTGCCATTTTTCGCCGGTGCTGCCACCATCGGAGAATATCGTAAACAACTAGTATAATTTACAAATACAGGGGTTTAAATAGAGAGTATACGAAAAATTTATAATAAGTGTAAATAAGTATAATTTGTGAAAATTCTAATAAAAATAAAAAACTAAATATTTTGATCTCTTCAGAAGATTTAACCTGTATTATTATTATTTATTATTCCAGATAAAAAAACTTTTCGGATAGAGTTCAACAAACTACGGTAGCGAGCATAGTTTTAATCACCGGTTTTGCTAGTGGGGTCATAATTGGGGCTATTTCGGCTATAACGAATTTTTTTAAATGTACATAATTATAATTTTAGAAGATGTTATAAAATGATGAAAAAAAGTATATCATTAATATTGCCATTATATATTATATTTTATCCTCTCATAGTATGTCTATATAATTTTTCGATTATGTAACGGGCACTTTGTTTACTCATTTGTTTCGTTGAACTGCTTGAATTCATTTTTGCTTTTGATCAAATCGGCGCCGGCGTGAGAAACTATGAAGCTATAAAATGTTATTTCGGGAGAGTTGAATATACGGGAAAGTTGAGTTATTGATTATTATTGCACCCAACAACGCCTTACTTACGTTCTCCTTTACACGTTACATTTTTTTGTCAATTTTATTAACATTTGAAATTGTCACAACACAACACGACGCCTAGTTCGAATTCTTTTTCACTTATTTTTTACTACCCGAAACAGCGTTACATCACACAAACCTCGTACCTACCTGAGTGTTTTATAGTCTCAATAACTGCAGTAGCAAAAAACTAAAATACTTAAATATTATGACAAAACCCCGATTTCAATATTATTTTAATGCGATAGACATGACGGCGGCGTGAACTATATATTGAAATTTCTGATTTCTGCCGTAGAGTGCGCTGCGGTCGGAATTTGTTGAAATCAACTGAAATGCACCAAGCCTATAGCCTATTTGCAAAAGCAGCTGTACCTCTATTAGTAAGGCGGTCGCTTGCGGATCGAGATGTACTGGGTCAAATTCTACAAATATAATTTTTTTTTATTTTTTTCACAGGTATCGAGGTGTAGTGAAAGGTTGGTCTAGATAATAGCAATCAAAACACGCCGTAAGCATATTGACGTAGCCGTAAGCGTGTTTTGATTGCATTGATTAATCACTGGGGTATTTTTTAGACTGCACGCGAAATACCCGACCGTATTTTTTTAGACATTGTGAATGATCGTAAACTAAAAAGTATATAAATAAGTGTAATTACTTTAGTTTACTTTTTATATACAGTATATTTCCGGATTGTCTTTACAAAAGGAAACTTTTTATTATTGACATTTTGAGAAAACTGCATTCTTTTCGCACCTCAAAGAAAACCACCTTCGGTATACTAGCCCTGGTCACTTCATCTGCGTGGTCTGTATTTTAATGGATGCGACAGAGATAAATACAAATAACCGGACAGACAGAGAGACAAAATAAAAAGCGGCATACAGTGTTGCCGGTTTTTACGTTTGTAGTAAAATGTGTGTAGAAAAAAATATATAAAAATTTTCATTTAATATCTATTAATATTATTTATATCTTTCAATAATCTATTACAGCTGTAATAAAATGAGAAACTAATTGTTGGCAATACCGCGTAGAAGAAATGTATCAACCTAAGACCAGTTAACCTAATTATTTTTTTATATTTATTTTAATATTAGTTTCGAGGGGTGTCTCACTATTGGAATTACATGTACATTTTCTTGGCAGTCGCTGGCAGTCATTGGCAGTCTTATGGCAGTCGCGTATAATATTTACATGGCAGTCATAGGCAGTCTTCTTCATAGTCATTGGCAGTCGCTTAGCAGTGGAAGGATATTTTGGCAGTACGTGTACATTTTGCACCCGAGTGAGACAACCCTCGATTAGTTTACTGTTCTTTGTATCATCCCAACTTTTATCTCTTTTTAATACATTTAATTTTCCATTAAGCTGTCAACATCACTGTCTTACAAGTTAAAATCCAGTTTTAATAACCAGATCGGTTTAACTACTAGTTCAATCTCACAAATAGTGCCGATCAGATTTCGCGATAAAATGTAGGTCCTATATACTTGTAAAAACTGATGACGCACAGCACAAGTATATGCGAGAAGTTGCCTAATGGTTTAAGAGCTAGCAACGTTTTCGAGAAAGTATTTTAAGAAAGCTGACTCTGTGATTTATCTTTTACTATGCTCTCTGGAACTGCTTGCGGCCCATTTCTGCCGATACTCGTTGCGTTCACTACTGCGCATCGGAAGAAGATCATATTTTTTTATTGAGTCCGTAAAATGCTAGTATTGAATATAAATCGAACAAGTCTCCATAGCGCAGCGCGTAGAGTTTCCGACTATGAACCGATGATCCAGAGTTCGAAACCGGATCACAACTTTTTTATTTTATTTTCGTTTATATTCTGATAGTAAAGTATTAAATATTTGCTTTTTTTGAATCACCAGAATTATTTAATACTTTACTATCAGAATATAAACGAAAATAAAATAAAAAAGTTTTTGCCCTGACCCGGTCTTGAACTCTCGACTCCTCGCTTGATAGGCGGAACCTCTACGCGCTGAGCTATGGAGACTCCGTCGATTTATATTCAGTACTAGAATTTAAAGGACTAATAAAAATATAGGATCTTCTTTCAATGCGCAGTAGGGAACGCAACGTTTATCGGCAGCCAGACGGGCCGCATAATAATTATATTACTATTAATATTTTATATTACACTCTATTATTTCTATTCCATAGGTAATGAAAAGGGTTGTGGGCACTTGCATCAAACTCGGAAAATCGGCGACTGGATGTGATAATGTAAACTTACACAGTTTCTTTTTTTCGCCCGTAGTTTTAGAAGAGCTTCGCAGTACAAGAGAGCATGGTAAACGATATATTAAAGGGCCAGTTTTCTTAAAATACTTGTTTTCCCGACGTTGCTATAAGCTTTGTAACGTACTATAAGCTTTTTAAAGATTATGGAACACTATAAGGGACAATCACTTTTCGTATTTTTTTCGCAACTGTTATATTACACTCTATTATTTCTATTCCATAGGTAATGAAAAGGGTTGTGGGCACCTGCATCAAACTCGGAAAATCGGCCACTGGATGTGTGGCGGGGAATTACCTACATCCGTTTCATCCAGAATGTATATAGATTATGGCAGTGAGTAACAGAGGAGAATCAGCACCACGTAAAGTGGAAATAATTTCTTTATTTAAATATCGTTTATACTAAATTGTTGTAATATATATTAAACTTCATTAGTGTTCATTAATTGTAACAGAAATTAAACCAAATAAAACATAAATAATCTTTTATTCATCCTAAAATATGTAGTTTTGGTCTGCAAAACAAAAATATGATGGATTCAGTGAACAGAGTATTTATAACCATAAACAAAGTACAAATAGCAAAATAAGGCCAAACCCCTACATGTATACTATTTATGCATGTTACGCATTAATTTAGCAGTAAAATCAAAGCAAAAGTTATGTCAAAAAAATCAAAAACATTTTAAATATGGTTTATACATTTATTTTAAATCAAAGTAATTTTTATAAAGCATTTTATGTACACGATATCTTTAAGCTAGGTATACATCAACTAAATTGCCTACATTATGTTTCATTCGCCCCTTCTCAGTAATTACATATTTATATATAGATAAAATGTAATTATAAATGCAACAGTGCTAACTTATCTTAATTATAGCAAAATAAAATATTATTGAAATGAGGACAATTAAATATTTCTTGTATCATGAATCAGTACACAAAGTTTATGAAAGTGGTTTCATATTTTTTCATTACCTGTTTTTTTTACTGTATAAAATATTACACTAACGAAGAAAAATAAAATGTATGTATTTTATATGATCGAGATAATACAATAATCATATGAAATCAATAAACGTAATTTTTATGCGCAGAATCATATTCATTTCTATAACAATCTTACAATATCTACACAAATTTTCAGCGAACTTTAAACATTTTGCTAGTAGCCATAACGATCCTGAAACAAATATTCTAATTAATACGCATGAATAGATATAAACAATGAAGCAATAATTCACTTGGTTTATTTAAAAAAATATAATTATTTTTTGTACAACAATATGAAGTATACAACTTCTCATCTACAAGGTGTTTTAAAAAACAAGTGTCATCTTTCATGGGGAGATTCCTCACGTAAAAATAAGATAATTTTTTCATATCAACATATGTAGGTCTAATTCTACTTTTTTCATAGATGCAGAAGAATCGGACCTATGTTGGTAATCTGTGTGTAAGTGTCTTCTTCCACAATTACGTAAAACTATACAGAAAAATTTATCATAAGACTGTAAGAGCCGCTAAGGATTATTATAATAGGAGAATCGCCAATTCTGGTAATGTTGCTAAAGAAACATGGTATATTGTGAATGATTTGAGAAACAAAGCTTCTTCGTCTAGAAATATCTCTACCTCACCTGAGAACCTTAACGATTACTTTGTAAATGTAGCGAAAAATTTAACTAATATCATATGTCCTTCTCATGATCCACTTTCATATCTCTCTAATGATAATGTAAACTTACACAGTTTCTTTTTTTCGCCCGTAGTTTTAGAAGAGCTTCGCAGTACAATTAATACCATCAAAAATAAATCCTCATCTGGGACCGACGGGCTAACTTTAAAAATGTTTTCGAATCTGCCAGAAAGCACTCTGAATCACCTAACTACTTTAATAAACATGCCAATCCAAAATGGTATTTTTCCAAAATGTCTTAAGACGGCAATAATCATTCCTCTGCATAAAGGAGGAGACAAAGATCAAGCTTCTAACTATCGCCTAATTGGACTTCTTTCAACGCTATCTAAGATCATAGAAAGGTTGGTATCTTTTCTGTTTAAGTACAAAATACTTACTGAACATCAATTTGGATTTCTAAGCAATAAGTCCACAAATGACGCTATGTTTTGCCTACTTAATAAAGTTTACTCCAGCCTAAATAACCATCATTCTACAGCAACAATTTTCTGCGATTTTTCTAAGGCGTTCGACTGTGTAAATCATAAAATCCTAATTAATAAACTGCAGCTCTATGGGTTCAGGGGGAAGATCTCTCGAATGGTTTAAGTCATATCTGAGCAACAGAAGTCAACTTATGAGGGTGGATATCACGTTGTCTTCTAGCAAGCCAATAGAATGTGGAGTACCACAAGGCTCAGTACTAGGCCCTATTTTGTTTCTTCTTTTTATTAACGACATTGCTAACATAAACATCAGTGGTAAAATATGTCTTTTTGCGAACGACACTAGCTTCACTTGGAGCAACAATGACGTCACGGCACTTCATAGGATTATATAAAATGACTTAATCACCATTAAATCTTGGTTCGATTCGAACCTCCTGAGTCTCAACATTTCGAAAACAAGCTTTGTCGTATAAAATCTCGCTGCAGCCTTTTGTACTTAACAACACCACAATTGACGTATAATCTGTAAAATTATTAGGGCTTGTTGTAGACAATTCTCTGAAATGGGACTGGCATATCGACGCTTTATCGAAAAAATTAAGCTCTGCCTGTTTTGCATTAAGATCTGTTTCTAAGGAGCTTAACTTTTCAGTGGCTAGAACTGTTTATTATGCACTTTTTGAGTCGCACCTCAGATATGCCCTTCCATTCTGAGGTACGTGTTGTGCGACTCAATTTGACCGCATTTTCTAGCTCCAGAAGAGAGCTGTTCGATATTCACTGGGACCATGGCTGGGAAACTTAAATGGAAATGACAGTTCATTAAAAATAGTTTTTCCTCCAAGATGCAGAGGCGCAAAATATTAAAACTGTCAATATTAACAATGCAAATGTCAATATCTGACAACAATAAAATTTGATTTTTAACTGTCACTCAGAGACGCTTTTGTTGTGATTTTACGGTTTGATTTCGTTTTGATTTGTCGAATTATTGTAAAATGAAATTCCTTCAGATTTTTTGCCAGTATTCTGTTTTAGACAATGTTTTTTAAAAATGGTGGGACAATTTGTGTTTTGTAATAACTCTTAATTATTTTTTATCATGGAGTTTAATTGTTGTACACCTGGTTTCCGAAGGATACAATGGTAAGTAAATTAAACATATCTACTTACAGTTATAGATTTTTTAAATTAGTACTGCTAATAAATGCTACTTGCAGAGCAGTTTTTTAATTTTTTTTACGGTGCATGTAAGGATTTTATATTAGCATGATCAGCAGATGATTACATCTGATTTAATTTGTTTTTATTATTTCAGGTCCCAAACGGAAACAAACTGGGAATCTTGCCTACACCAAAATTATATACCTAGCCGTTTCCAATTCACTTCAAAGGGAGGAAAATTATGTAAAACTGCCTGCTATTTGCTGAAAACCGCCAAAGATTAAATTATAACTGTAACAACTTAATATACACTATTTCTAGTATTTTTAATATATTTTTTAATTAATATCCGACATATAAGAACACTTTGTATGCTTTTAATTCAGTTGATTTATCGTTTATAATATGTTCGACCTAATTAAAAGCACACAAAGTGTTCTTACATGTATGTCTAAATTTATTTTAAATTAACTAAAACAACCCCCCTTCCCCGCACCCCTCTCTTCCATTAGTATTTCTTCCTCCATCTACCAGAGGCGCCCTTGTATAATAAAATTGAAATGTATTATAAGTTGCCTATCTATTTAATAGTATAAGTCTTTTATCTATGACTGGGACTAAACAGCAGAACTCATTGCCAGGACTTTTTTAAAAAAATACAAATATTAACTCTTCCTTCCTTATTTATATTTGAATCAATTTGCCTAATATGTAAGCATGTATCAGCTTCTCAAGAAAGGCCACTCACACTTATCCACTCAGGAACGCGGAGCAAGATCTTTATCTAGCTACCCCACGCTCAGAGTTAGTTAAAAGTTCAATATTATACAACTCGAAAAAAATGCACAATCACCTGCCATTTGAAATCAAATCCATGTTAAAAGTTCAATATTATACAACTCGAAAAAAATGCACAATCACCTGCCATTTGAAATCAAATCCATAACATCATTTTCTTCATTTCGCAAAGCATTGAAATCTTATTTACTAAACAAAGCTTTCTAGGCCGTAAATTACTTATATTTTGATAATCGAATTTGATCTTGTAAACACTGATCTAATGTTTGCTATTACTATATAGACCAATGACATCGAAATAAATTTATTTAGAGGTCATTGATATTTACTATAAACTTACTAAATATTTTTGAATCTTATTTTTTTTTATTCTTTCACATTGTAAACATTTATAAATGTTTATTTTAAACAATAAGACTGACAATGTAATTTGTATGTTTTGTATTCTCTTTTGTTTGTTTGTTTGTTTACTTTGATTGTTTACCTTACCTTTGTCTACAAATTGTAAACTTTTTTGACAATAAAGGCATTTATTTATTTAATCATTTAAAAATAAATCTTTTTTTTACGAGAGGAATCTCCCCAAAAGAGATGACACATTAATAGTATTACCTGTATCGAAGACATCAGTCCATTGGCAAGAGACCCAATTTTTCCGGCAACCCGAGTCACGCCTTGACGCACGCTTTCTTTCACATCTTCTAAATCATAGGCGGGGAGATTTGACGGTCCAAGACCTCGTCGAGCATCTTCATCTCGACCGAAAAATTCTGCCGATGAAATACTATTTGATCCCTGAAAATTACAGGATGCGTAGTGACATAATATCGTTAAGCAGATAAATCTATTGCATTTGCAATTCAATATAAGACCACCAATAAGTCTATATTTGGTGGTCTGTTGCTTATGCATTTCGATATTAGACCTCATTTCTTTAAATTAATTTGTTAATAATTCTCTATAGAGTTTTACGTTTTATTTTTAATTTAATAACTAATATTTTAGTGATTAATTGAGTTATTTGTTTTATAGCTTATTTTACTTATTACATATTGGCAAAAACTAGACCATTATAAAGATCATTATAAGCGTTATTATGAGTTATTTATTTATTGATGTGCATCTTACAACGCCATAAGTCCTAATAATAAATAAGAGGATGCTATTAATGCAGAAACTAATAATCAAGGAATTTAGTAAAAACTAACTTTGAAAGTGGTATAATGTGCTTATCAATCAAACTTACTTTTCTGACTGCAGTCAAGGGTAATAAAAGACTTTTATTGTCACGTTCTGGTTCAAAATAGTTTAAAAAAAAAAACAAGAAAGCTACAAGTTCTTTGCTTCGACTGTTTAAATGCTTCGGCATATTTTCAACACACAATTTCAAGAAATGCAATACAAAAACTCGAAAATTTAGTTCTTAAAAAAACTGTTTGTGCTTAAAACTGCAATTTTTAAAAAAAGACTATGAAAATAGGCAAAAAAAACGAGAATTACTCGCGAAGATTCAACAACAACATGATAATATACAAAATAATGACTGACATTAGGATAATTGTCAAATAATAAAGGACAACATTGCTGAACACGGCGTAATGTGACCAACACAGCGATAATAAAATTCGGTTTAAAATAATTTTTGCAGCTTTAATCTAAATAAAATATCTGTTACAATCATTTTTTGCTCTATAAAGTAAAAAGAAGAGCTGCTCGGTATCTTAAATTATACAACAAATTTAAACATTTTTGCCAAAATTTAATTTAGTCAGGTTTATAAACTTTAGTGCCAATGTCGATATGATTGATGACGTGCATCGAAAAATATTTTGGATTACAATATAGGAAAATCAATAAAATTGGCGTGCACGTCATCAAAATATGTAACTACTGCCGGGACAACAACAAACTGTGACGCCGGCAATAATTAAAGAATCTGCTAGGCAAACCAAATTGTACATATTAGCAGTGTTGCCACATCAGCATACGTATTTGTCTTCAGTTGAACGGCGGAAGTATGTAATGCCTAGCTATAGGTCAGCTAACGGTCGCTTCGGGATCGAGATATACCAGGTTCGAATCCAACAAATATAGATTTTTTTTTATTTTTCTACAGGCGTACCTACCCTATATCATATATACTTACGTAGATGCTTAAACGCCATACGATTAGCATTAAAAACGATATCTCGACATGCCATTTCCAAACCTTCTTTATTGCACTTATGACACGTTCAATAGGTTTGTCTTTTCCGATGACATCGCATGCGCATTAAAAGTTGCATGTATTTCCAAATATGGAAACCAACGAAACCAACTTCTCATATCTCGTCATCATATTGTCATAATCTTGTTATAATATGTCATAATCTTACTTCCATTGTGTAACGACGATTGTTTTTTGCGTTTTTTATTTTAAAAATTGAATTAATTACTCTTTTATCGATCGCTTTTATATAGCCAAGGATGCAAGTGTGTTCAGTGAGAAGTTAATTTTAAATTTGTGCAATAATTATATTTCTATTTTTTTCGTTGGTCTTCTTAAATACTCGTAGAAATGACTAGAAAGTGTTTGGTGTGTGGAAGTTCTAATATAAAGGTCCCCGAATTATCTTTTCACAGGCAAATAAAGTATTTAGTTGTTTTTTATTTATATTAAACCACACGCATACTTTCTGGTTAAATTTTCTAAGAATATTGATATTTGTACGGAGTGGCTAAATGTATTTTTTAAATAATTTAATTTTTTGTGGCAGTAAACATTCAATTTATTGTTCAAATATATGCATTACAAATTAAATTTTGAAAATTAATTTTCTGGCGCGAGGACGTTAGCTCCTCGACAAGGATAAATAGAGTAGAAGCATTGCGTGTACAACAAAGAGAGAAGATAAATGTAAATTGTTGATATGTTTGCGACAGTTTCCATAGTGAGGTACTTATCCACGTAAGTATATACGATCCAGGGTAATAGCGTGTTTTGATTGCTTTTTTGATTTTGTTTAAATCCCAAGAAATCTACGATGTGTGTGTCGCCATGTTTAAAAACAAATCTACCCCGACGTTGTTAAATGTAAAAGAAGAAATATGTAAAATTTGGTTTGCATATTTTTTTCACTTATTTTTGACATATTTCAGCCATTCCTGGTAGGTAATAAAACTGTGGATAAACCAAAGAAAAATGTCAATGTTACATGAATTTCATAACTTATTCTTGAGTTATGTGAACCTATTTTTCTATGGATACTTATTATACGAAGGAAATGGTAAAGAGGCTTCTCAACATTTTCGATGTTTTGAACAATATTTATAAGCTGCCAAGTCGTAAATTATCAATTACTTATTGAAGAATTGATAAAAGAAGTAGTCTTCACTAAAGAACAAGAGAACCCACAAAATCACATTTTTTTCTATTTTTATTGACAGTTCGACAAGCAAAACGGTTCTTTAAGGTAGCCGTTTTCAAATCGCTTAGCGCAATCAGTAAAGACGCTAAGCGCGTCAGATGAGAATACCCAAATCGGTAATTAAGTGCGCACTAAGCGAAAATTAACGTCAGATACGCTGAGCGTCTAAAAGCGCTTAGCATTTTGTAAGTTACAGAATTCGGGCCCAGTGTTATTAATAAACGAATTATAAAGAATATGTATTGGTACAAAAAATACCTGAAATCTATTAAGAGTGGCTTTGGATTCGGCATCGGCCTCGCCGTTGTTGAAGAACTGCGCCGACGATATGGCCTTGGCGTTTCCAAACTTTCGCTGCGCCTCGTCGGACGACTGGGACGCGTCGGACTTGTAATTCTGACTCCGGCTCTTGCCAGCGATCGGTTCCAAGGCGGGGCGCCGTTCCCGTTCGGGCGGGTCGTCCACGATCACCCAGCTGTCTTTGTGATTGGAGCTGTACACGCCCGTTTCGTTGATGTAGTCGTCGAAGTAGTCGGGACCGTCGTTCAAGTTGAGGCGGCCCAGAGTGTCTAAGGTTTTTGAAGGCACTGATGGCTTTTCCTGAAAAAAAAATTGGAAACATTATTATTATAAAATATATTGAGTATGAATTGATAGAAGGCAATGAAAAAGCAAATGATCTAGCTAGAAAAGGAGCGAACATTCCACTAACTGGACCAGAACCGTTCTGTTTTCCAAACGGGAACCAACTGAAAGCGGAACTGAAGAATCTGGAAGACTCCATCCGTAATTTGGAATGGGTGTCCTTTAACGGTCTAAGACACTCGAAAAAGTTCCTCAGAACTTACGACCGAGAAAAATCAAAGGTTTTCCTTGATTGTCACGGGGTTTCTAACAGGACACTGTCTCCTCAACGAACCCCTCAGTAGGCTGAATCTGAGAAACAACGGCGAATGCAGATTTTGGGGGGAAAATGGGGAAACACCAGAACACCTTATCACTGAGTGCGCCGAGACGACGACCATTCGTGCCATGAACTTTGGTACGGCTGATGTCAAGGATGGAAAGCTGGCCTCTGTGGAGCCGTCTCAGATACTGGCTTTTGTTAAAGCCCTAAGACTGTATGATGAGTTATAACTCGTTATAACTCAAGAAAGGGGAACACACAATAGATCTGAAAGGTCGCGGTGATTAACTCCCCTCCTAAACATTCTACATTCTATTGAATTCATGAACCATTGAAAATAATTTGTCATGCGATATATGTCCAATATACGAAATTAAAAAGTCATCTTTATACAATAAAGATGATTTTTTAAGACGGCAATAGTGCGTCGGCCATCTGTAGCTCCTAGAATAGAAAACTTGGGAATTTTGTTTAAGTGCAAACCTAAAGTATGTACTAGAATGCATTTTAGGAAAATATTTTCGATTCTACGGGGTGGCTCAAAAAAGTGTGAGTGGATCGGGCTGATTTTTTTAAACGGAACACCCCGTATACTATTGCATTTTTGGGTTCCTTTCAGATCACTTTACATAATCCTATGATATGGGTAAATATGTTTCGATAGTTTCAGAGATATTAATAAATAAATAAAAAATATATATGCTAAACGCTTTAACAGTCCTGATATCAAAACTATATTGGGTATTTACTATAGATGGTCTGTACTTACTTTCCTATAAATATCGTAATGTTAAATCATAAAGGATGTTCAAATTTATATACCAAACTTTCTAAAATATAAAATTTTTCTTCGTTTTTTTTAATGGAACACGCTGTATATAATTTTTAGTAGATGGATAATTAAATAATGACTTTGGAGTATTTCAAAATTTTTAACGGTTTCGCAGATATTCGCAGTTTTATATTTCAAGTAAATTGTTATCAAAGCCACCCAATGATTTTTCTCTTGTATTTTACCGTTAAAAAAGCCATATGAAATAATATTGCGAGTATCTGCGAAACCGTTAAACATTTTGAAATACTATAATTACCAAAAATGTTCATTTTTTAATTCTCCATCTAATAAAAAATAATATAAGGGTGTTCCATTTAAAAAACCAAGAAAAATTATTTTACATTTCAGAAAGTGTGGCGTAGAATTGTTGAAACACCCTGTATGGTTTAAGATTACAATATTTATAGCAAAGTAAGTATAGACCATCTAAAGTAAATACCTGATATAGTTTTGATTTCAGGAGTTCTTGTATTTGCAATTTTTTTTAAGAAAGGCTGAAAAATATATATTTTTTGTTTATTTTTTAATATCTCTGAAACTATCAAAATATATTTACTTATCTTAGGATATTTACTCATATCTTCGGAAAGCGATAAAAAAGGAAGTCAAAAAGGCAATAATATACAGGGTGTTCCATTAAAAAAAACATCCCGATCCACCCATACTCTTTTGAGCCATTCTGTAGATGTTAAAATATTTTCCTGAAATACATTCTAATACATACTTTGGGTTTGCACTTACACAAAATTTCTAACTTGTAAGGAGCTACAGATAACTCAAGGAGCTACAGATGCCCGGCGCACTATTGCCGGACCCCGTACACGGATTTCTGTTGACCAAAAATCTAGTTTTTATTTTGTCTCTCTGAATAACTCACTAAAACATGTTTTTTTTTATCTTATACACTTATCTTTGTTCTTTTTGTGTATTCTATTGTTATCTGATATTTAGGAATTGAAAGAAGAAACATTAAGATGGATTAAAAAAAATGACGATAGGCACGGAATTGAACAAAAAGTATTTCAAGCCAATCAATTGAATTGAATTACAAGTTGCCTATATACCAGTAATCTCTGCCCGACATCCAAAAGAAGACAGAAAATACGATTTGCTTGTGAATTAACATGAGAGACACAACTGTTATTGTCAGGAATGTCAGGGATCCTCCCGTTGGACAGACTATAATCTTAAACTTACTTGTTCAATAAATTGCATGTCTCCTAAAGCAGAGTGAGATACAGCTCCACGCGATGTCTTCGTAATTCCCATTCCCAGACGCTCGATTTGTGCTGCTTTCTCTGAAGTGACATTTTTGCCTGTTTCTTCTCGTTCTCTGTAAAAAAGATACTTAATCTATTAATCTACCTTATATTACCTTAGGGCACAAACATAGTGAGGCATCTCGATGCGATGCTCGCCAAGATGCTGGCCGCGCTGCTCGCCAAGATGCTGGCCGCGCTGCTCGCCAGGATGGTAGCCGCGATGCATCCTACGCGCACTGTTTTAAAACGGCGAATAGGTGCGCGTAGGCATACTGAAGCATTTACCATCGCCGTTTTATTAAACACCAGTTTATATAAAGTAGTTATTAATTAATTAATTAGTACAGGCCCTTGTTGCATTTCAGTTGATTTCAACAAATTTCGACCGCAGCGCTACAACGGCTAAAATCAGATAGGCCCTACCTATTTCACGTCGCCGTCATGTTGATCGCATAAAATAATATTGATATCGTGGTTTGGTTATAATATTTAAGTATTTTAGTTTTTTGCTAGTGCAGTTATTTATACAAAAACGAGATAAAACACTCAGGTACGAGGTTTGTGTGATGTAACGCTGTTTCGGGTAATAAAAAATAAATGAAAAAGAATTCGAACTAGGCGTCGTGCTGTGTTGTGACAATTTCAAATGTTAATAAAATTGCCGAAAAAATGTTAACGCGTAAAGGAGAGCGTACTTAGGGCGTTGTTGGGTGCAATTACATACATTCAACAACTCAACTTTCCCGGATATTCAACTTTCCCGAAACAAAATTTTATAGCTTCATAGTTTCTCACACCAATCAAAAGCAAAAATGGATTCAAGCATTTCGACGAAACAATTGAGTAAACAAAGTGCTCGTTACATCATCAAATAATTAAAAAGACATATACTATGAGAGGATAAAATATAATTTGCAATATTAATGGTATACTTTTTTTTAATCAACTAGCGATTAAAGTACTTGCTATAAATAAATAAAGTCCATAAACTAATTTCGATTTTGAAAATAGCTACTGTCATTAGAAACTTGCCATGACGACATCAACCCTCTTTGTTGCCATTTTATTGAAAAATTGCTCTTTATTCAAAATCTGAGCTAGATAGGTATATGATAGCCTAATAATAGTTTGAAAGAGCATTTGAATCTGTTTCGATTTATTTAAAAAAATACAGGTTGTCGTATTTGAAATAACAAGGTTTTTATGTAAAATAAATATTTAAAATAAATCAATTTTTGGTACCCCTTTATAAATTTAAAGGAGCAAATACAATTTTTGAGTAAAGTTTATTTCTCTATCTTTAAACTCAGCACAATAATTAATTCTAAAAAGTAATACACAGGGTGTTGATAATCTATTCCATTGTGGCATGCATATTTAAATATCTTTAAATATCTCAAAAACCAAAGCTTGTAAACATATTAATATATAATAACTCTTATAATAAATGCCTTATTTTGTGTCCTAGGCTCCAAATATGAAATAAAATACCGGGTGTTCCATAAGAAAAAATATAACTTTGGTGTAAATCTTAGTTCTGACATATCCTGTACATTTCAAAATAATTTTAAATTATGCACATGGTCTTCCCACATATGCCCATAAAATATCTACATTCTTCCGTTTTCGTATCAACCGAGGCGAATGAATTGCGCCACTCTGTATATAGGTGTTCCATTTAAAAAATATTCGCGATCCACTCACACTTTTTTGAGCCACCCTTTAGAAGTTCAAATATTTTCCTCAAATATGTCCTAATACATCAAATCAAATCAAATAAAATCTTATTATTAGGCCCAATATAAAAAATATACAAAATACAAACCATACTTTAGCTGACTAATAGCCTAATAGCCTAATAAGGAATGCACCGCGATTATAAAACCGATTCACTGATTGCCAAAGGCATCAGTGTGGCACACTCCCTGTAAAAAATAACTAAACAGAATTTAATTTTCAATACAATAATATACCAACAACAAACAAACCCGTAAGAAAAACAGAGGACCACCGGCAAAGCAAAAAGAAACCCCGAGCGCACAGAACAAAGCGTCCGCAAGACAATTTAGCAATGTTAAAAAGTATATAAATACAATTTCAACACATACACAAATATTTTCCAAAATTGTAAAGCTGAGCAGTGAGCCAGTCAAAACCATATCAAATTAAAGGCCCGTTGACCACAGTTTGCCAAAATTATTCTTAACATATTTATTAAAATAATGTGATTTAAAGCATTTAACACTGATTGGAATACATACTTTATGTCTGGACTACAAAATTCATAAGTTTTTTTATTATAGGAGCTGCAGATGTCTGACGCACTATTGCCGGACCCTGTAGAATCAAGGTGATTACATTGTTGGTAATAAATTAAATACTAGTATTGTGAACATTTTATTCCACCCGACTCTAGTTCGACATATGCTCAACGAATTGTGATCCTAAACCGACCAATCAAACGTAAAGTTTCAGGCATTTCCTAGGAAGCATCGCGCTGAACATATAGGTGCGTGGCGAGGTGCGAGGCTCCAGTATGTTTTGACGCATAAATTTGTACATGTTTGATTCAGCATCGCCGGATGGCGAGGAGAATGGCGCGCATCGCGTCGAGGTGAAATGCCCTGCACTATGTTTGCACGATAGTCGCGATGCATCCTACGCGCACTTATTCGCCGTTTTAAAACAGTGCGCGGCCAGCATCCTGGCGAGCATCGCATCGAGATGCCTCACTATGTTTGTGCCCTTATATAGGTCTGAGAATAGTTTGTTATCTATTTTTTCACTATAAGTATTATTGTTTTTTTATGAAACCTCCTTATAAACTGTACAGTGTGAGTCAACGATAGAGTAAAGTCCATTATCTCATTTGTTACGAGGTTTACAAAAAAATGTTCAATATAAAATTTATAGGGAAAGTTAAGATACACATTTTAAAATTATTTTAGAGTATACAAGGTGCTTCAAAAAAGTGTGGCGAATATAACATATGTTTTTTTAAAGGCAACACCCTATTTTTTATTTTATTTTTAGATTCTACGTAAAATTCCATAACTTTTTTATATATAATGTTATATCCTAAAATCAATAGTTTTTGTAATATTTCAATTTGTTTAAACAAATGTTAAATTGCAGTGTGGTAAAAAATTGTCAGTGATGCCATGATTTCTGAAGTTGGAGAACCAAAATTTTGTAGGACAGCTTTATAGAGATAAAAAAAAGATATATCTAAAGATATTTTAGTTAAATGATACGGGGTGTTCAAAATATATTTATGAATTTCAACTACTTAAAATTAAAAAATCTCAAATTTTTTAAATGGTACACCCTATATATTATCATTTTTTCTGATAGATTTTACAAAACTCTTCAACTTTTATTAAGTATATCATATACCGATTTTTAATAGTTTGCGATTTATTCCAATTTTGTTCTATTTTTACCCATATTTTTAATACATTTACGCACGCTATAAAATCATAGTTGACATGACAAAACAAAACTATTTATTACTTATCTTCAACAAGTAGCTTAATAGTTAGTTATAATTGCTGGTTTTAGTTAAAATTATTTAGTTAAAATTAAATAAACTAAAATCGCAGTCCTGAATTTCTTGGTGTAGGTATTTCTATATTATGAAAGGTGACACTTGGATTTTCCGTCGGGGCGAATAGCCACAGATTAGAGTAATACTAGATTATCTAATTGTTGAAGACTACTGATATAGGAATTTTCTTCGACATACAGTAAAGTTTTTTTTCTCGTAGTAACTGGTTTATAATTCATTTCGTAAAGCCAATATTACTACTGCCACGAAACCGTCCCATTACACACTGAATATGTTTTCTAGATAATCTACATCTACTCTTATAGTACTTAGCAAAGTACTGTATAATATATAGTAATGAACCAAAAAATATGGTTTTTCTTGGATTGTTCGTGTATATCAGTCACATTGACTAATTCATTTCAGGAAAATATCTAACTATTATCTGTACCATTTATACTTATTACAATAAACTAAACTAAAATTCAAATTTTGTTCTTAACTTGCTTAACAGACATGAAATTTTGATAATTATTACTTTTTGTCATGGCAACTATGACGTTATAGCGTAATTGTATTAAAAATATGGGTAAAAATAAAAAAAAAATATATCGCAAACTATTAAAAATCGGTATATGACATGCTTAATAAAAGTTGAAGAGTTTTGTAAAATCTATGAGAAAAAATGATAATATATAGGGTGTACCATTTTAAAAATTTGAAATTTCTTAATTTTAAGTAGTTTAAATTCATAAATATATTTTGAACACCCTGTATTATCTAACTAAAATATCTTTACATAGTCTTTTTCTATGTCTATAAAATTTCCCTACCAAATTTTAGTTGTCCAACTTCAGAAACAATAGCATCACCTGACAATTTTTTACCACACTGCAATTTAACATTTGTTTAAACAAATTGAAATATTACAAAAACTATTGATTTTAGGCATATAACATTATAGATAAAAAAATTATGGAATTTTACGCAGAATATAAAAATAAAATAAAAATAGGGTGTTGCATTTAAAAAAACATATGTTATATTCGCCACACTTTTTTGAAGCACCCTGTATACTCTATAATAATTTTAAAATGTGCATCTTAACCGTCCCTATAACTTTTGATTTTACTCTATCGTTGACTCACCCTGTACAGTACAGTATTGTTATCTATTGTTCCTCTAATAAGATTGGCCTATACCAATCTTATGTGTATATATACATATTTACTACATTGTTTCTTTTATTTCAAAATACTCACCTATAGGCTAGCCTCAAAGCGGCTTCGGCACGTTCGGCATCTTCGCTCGCTCTTTGCGCTGCTTTTTCCGCCTCTTCGGCTCCTCGTCGACCTTCTTCGGCGGCTTGTTCGGCCGCCCGTTCTATAGCGGCGAAATCGGTTTTAACTTTGGTAGCTCCCAAACCAGGACCTTTTTTCGTCCCGAGCTGTAATAAACCCAACGCTTCAATGAAATGGGTATCAAATAAATCCAAAAATATTGTTATAAAGAGAGATAGAAATCTCTAAGTTAAGAAATATTTAACGTTAAATGATAAAAACAATTATTTCGTATACATACTGTAGCCTTTTTAGTGACCTTCCTTGCACCGATCGTTGACTTTCTTGGCTCTTGAATGTGTGAACTATCTTTGGGTTGAATATCTAGTTTTTCCTCCTCCTAAAATAGAATACAAGACTTTTAAGTAAAGGAGTATTATTAATAAGTACCATTAAATAAAATACCTTCTGTTCTTCATGAAAGTTGTGAGAAAATTCTTCCTGAGAAAAGAAATCGGTTGCTTGTTTCTCTACAACTTTTAGTTCTTTATCTTCACCAACATGCAACTAGAAAAATTAAAACCTTTTTTAAGTAATTTTGTAAAAAATGTATTTTCAACCTTTCATTTTGTTACACCAACACAATTTCTTAATAATGAAGTAACAAAAATTATTTTCTAAAGAGTTAAACACTATGAGTTTTTTTTTTATTAATCTAGAATCTAAAATGAGAAACTCCTATAAAAAGATCTTAGTAAGTGTAGACCAGTGGTGGAAAACCTATTACCTGTAGCTCAGACATTAACCCACGCAAGATTTTTAACTGACACACAATTGCTGGGCAACCATTTATTTGCGCGGATTTATTTAGATTTTCTAATTTGTGTAAATAATTTACATTTTATTTGTATTTTTTCAAGTACCAGTACGAGAGCTAGCAACGTCGGTAAAACAAGTATTTTAAGACGTCTGGCTCTTTGATATATCTTTTACTATGCTCTCTAGAACAGCATGCGGCCCGTCTGACTGCCGGTAAACGTTCCCTACTGCGCATTGAAAGAAGATCCTATATTTTTATTAGTCCTTTAAATTCTAGTACTGAATATAAACCGAACATGTCTCCATAACGCAGGGCGTAGAGTTTCCGACCACGAACCGATGATTCAGAGTTCGAATCAGGACAAATACTTTTTTATTTTATTTTCGTTTATATTCTGATAGCAAAGTATTAAATATTTGTTTTTCTTTAATTACCAGAATTATTTAATACTTTACTAACAGAATATAGGTGCCCGGTGGCGTAGAGGTACAGGCTCTCGTCACCAATCTCAAGGTGTGGGTTCGATTTCCACATCCGGCATTTCATCAGCCGACTATTTTTATTAAAATAAAAATAGTTTGGGTACCTAGGTCGACTCAGCCTTAAATGAGTACTTGGGATTCACAATCCTGAGGTAATAATAGGCGGTTGAAGCGTAGAGTGCTAGCCACATTACCTTCCTTGTATACCGAACAGCTCTAGTATAGCAAGCTGTACCTTGCTACTCCCAAAGCGTTAAACGCTATATACGGGAGCTATTATTATATTACTAACAGAATATAAACGAAAATAAAATAAAAAAGTCTTTGACCTGACCCGGATTAGAACTCTGAATCATCGGTTCGTAGTCGGAAACTCTACGCACTGCGCTCTGGAGACATGTTCGATTTATATTCAATACTAGAATTTATAGGACTAAATTAATAAAAAATATAGGATCTTCTTCTGATGCGCAGTAGTAAACGCAACAGGTATCGGCAGCCAGACGGGCCGCATGCTGCTCCAGAGAGCATAGTAAAAGATATATCAAAGAGCCAGACGTCTTAAAATACTTTCTCGAAAACGATGCTAGCTCTTGACACAAAAGTAATTTAAGTGCTGTCTACAGGGTGTTTCAAAAAACATGTGCCATCTCTAGTTGAGAGATTCCTCACGATTTATTTTTCATATCACCATAGATCCGATTCTGCTTTGTTTCAGGCACAGGAGGTTAAATCTTAATATTTTTTCGATTTATTATATTTTTCTCCCAAGCACTTTTAGCGATTTGAATGAAATTTTGAGGATAACAGTTACTATAAGTGCGACATATTTTAATGCTAAAAGTGTCGAGATATTATCCAGAGACATATCGTATGAGTTACTACTGGAATAATTTTCTAAAAAAAAGCATGTACGTCACTGACTTTTTTCTCTTGTTAGCGAATAGTGTAAGCCGTTTAATGCCGATTAAAAGTTCCCTTGATATTTTGTCGATTTCGGCCTCCTTGATGAGAAAAATGCAATTTTATTAATTTGCCTTGATCCAGTCTAATAGTAACTTTAAAAAAAATAATATCAATTAACTTGCAAAATTGTTGGTAAGATGTGAGGAAAGAAGTACTCATTGATTCCTTATCGAAAAATATGAAAAAAAGTTTCTACAAACAAGAATATGGAATGGTATGGTTTTAAAGTTACAGGATGTTAAAACTTTTTAAAATTAGGTCTTTTGTAATTATCTTAAATACCATTATTCTTTTATTTGAATTTGCTATAAGTTGGATTAATAGTAATAAAAACTAATAGTAATATTTTACTATAGTAGTAATGTTTAATAATAAATTAGATAAAATAAATAATTCATTAATTTAATTTTTATTTTAATTCTATTGTGATTAATAAAACTGCGTTTATCTCATCAAGGAGATCGAAATCGACAAAATACCAAAATACAACTTTTAAATGGCATTAAATGGTCTATACAATTTTGCTATCAAAAGAAAAAAGTCAGTAGCGCACATGTTTTTTTCTTTTTCAAAAATATTTCAGCGATACCCCATATGAATCTGTCGACACTTTTTAGCATTAAAATATGTAGTATTTATAGTAATTTTTAGCCTCAAAATTTCATTCCAATCACTAAAAGCTCTTGGAAGAAAATTATAATAAATCGAAGAAATATTAAGACTTTAACACCCTGTAGCTACGAAACAAAGCAGAATCGGACCCATGTTGATGGGTCTACAAAATATCAAATAGTGTATAATTTTACAAACATTTTGTTTGTTAAAAAAATCGACAAATCGCACCCATTATGACGTTTAGTTTTAAAAATACTCAGTTAAAAATTTTTGAACTTAACTCTGGTGTAAATGGACATATTAGTGACCTACAAGCAAAATTTGACCATTTGATTAGCATTTTTTTTAGACTGTAAAGTAGTATCAAACAACTACAATCCAGTCCTTTTATATGGCACTAAAACCATCCAATATAAGGTTATAACTGATAAAGCTAAGCTCATGCAAACTATAAAAATAGCAATAACAAATTAATTCTGTGAACTGATATCAAATATAATTGGAATGAGTAAAAATTTTTAAATTTATAATGAATAATGGTGGCAATTCATTTTTTTTATGATTTTGTACTATGAATAATGCTATAAAATGGTATTTAGTATATCATCAGTGAAACGTGTTAACCTGCAACTCCATTTTTGACTTTAATTAAATAATACATTTCATACATAATTTTTGTTTTAAATTTTTAACGAAATATTGAGTTTTATTGGTACCCAAAAAATAGTATTGTTACCTCTTTATCATACTAGCACATGAATATACTTGCTACACATGTACATATTTTTTATACCGTTTCTTTTCTCTCCTGTAAAATTAGGTATAATGAAGTTTAGCAGTTTAACACATTTCATTGACGATATGTATGGGTGAAAGTTAAAAATATCACTTGAAAACTTTGTTATGTACTTGAAAATAAATGAAACAACAACATTAACACACAATTCAAAGAAAAATGGTATTATACGTATGTATATAATAACCTTAGCTTGTCTAGGACATATGAATTGGTTTAAAGTACAATGTTTACTAACATTTAAATTAAATTCACCCTAAAAATAAAAAATATTGATAGTAACAAAACAATTAAATAATAAAATAAAAGATATACCACCAATTTTAGAATATAACCAAATATTTGATAAATATCTTCTACAAAAAAAATATCTTTGATAAAATAAGAAATAAGTTAAAAATATTGTTTTAAATTGTTATTTTCAGACCAATTACCTCATTGTTTGTTTTTAATGAATTTAAGGCAGCTTGATGAAGTTTCTCTCGATATAACTGGGCAGCTCTGGAATTATACTTCTTTTGAGCATCTGTTGTATTGCAATTATGTTGTGAAAAAAACTGCATCTGAAATAAATAACAGTGAGCATTTATATTAGTAAAATTAAATTTTTAATACATTTGGAAACTTACAGCATTGTCATTACCACCCAACTGCATTTGACGTATTTGCACTCTAGTCCAATTTGTATCTAACTGTGTGGATCGAACAAAACTCAAATGGACTCCTAAAGCACGATGTGTAGCTGAACAATCCAAACAAATAAATATACCATAAGTAACGCTAGCCCATGTTGGATTTATAGCACCACAGTCAAAACATGCCTAAAATGATTTAATAGCTTTTTATAGTGTAATATTAACTTAAACTAATGTCATAAACAACATTTTAATTAAAATATACAAGTTATTACGAGTTTCAGCCAATATTATAGGGCATTCGTGAAAAAATGGTAATGTTAATAATCCGATGCTGGCATTTTTTAACGTTAAGGAAAATAGCCATTTATATTTGAGAATATCAATAAAAAAGAATAGTTCCCAATTTTAAAGTTGCAGGGGACACGTCATTAAAAATGTTATAACATATTTAATAAAATAACATTAAAAGATTCTACTCACTTTATTTCCCGAAATAGATTTTAACCTGTGAAACACAGTTGTTATATCTTCTTTAGATAATTGAGAATCCATTTCAGTATGTAATAAAACTATAGAAATTAACAAAAACTTATTATAAACGTTATAAACTTAAAATATTAGTGGACTTTTTACAAATAAAAAAGATAAGTCAAAAGTGACACATGACAATTTATTTACAACACATATGACAAATGACAAGCAAAATATTTCATTTCTCTCAGTACCAACCAAATAAATTTTTGAAAAGCACATCATATTCAAACATCATATTAAGTTTAAGTAGATAACCAAACATACATTCCATAATAAGATAGACGTTTTTTATATTATAATACATATATTTTCATCAATAATTTAACAGGTTAATTAAAAAAAATATTTATCATAATCTTAAGTTACTTCAAGATGGACTATATCAATGGATAAGTCAATTCGTTAAATTAGATTAAATAATTAACTGTCACAGTCCGCAAATCATCGATTAGAACCATACCGTCTTATAAGATTTTTAATGTAACTTAATGCTTTTGATTTTTATTAATATTTAAAATACCTTTCAATATTTCTATTGTAATAGTATCAGAATAGTATGTTAATACTATTTTGAGAAATACCGTATGATCGAATAAAAACGGCGTCAGCGATGGCTATGAAATGAATATCGCTGTCATTTTATATGTAAAATTATATGGGAAATATCATCGATCGTCATTTCAGAGCCACCGCTGACGTCGTTTTTATTCGATCATACGGTACAATTTAGGGCGGTAAAAATTTAAATGTAGATTCCTTTTCCTTTGACAGAGCGTTTCCCGCCAATATTAAAACAAAAGCGAATCGGTTAACTGAAAAACGAATATTGCAAAGTTCGTTAGAAGTTTCGAGGATTAATTTGTGTCGTTCAATAGGTAAGTAAATTAGATATTAATTCTAGTTAATAGGTTGCTAGTATTCAAAATTTCTGTAGACTTTTTCTAGAAACAATGTTCTTCAATATAATACTGTTGCATCCGCAACATAAAATGAGATTCGCCCTTCCATGGCGGGCCGCTACATTGGGAATATCTAGATTATCAAATTACGATGTAAGAAAATGCGATATCGTCGCATTATGGTAATAAACAATAGAGTGTGTCTATCTTTTATGTTAACGCTAAATGTTTTAGTAACTGCATCAATGAATTTGTTACGAATAACTCGTTAAATCCGAAAAAAAGGTTTTCACTGAGACTGTCCTCCATTTTAATACACGGCGTCTGTTTAATTTATAAGAAACAAGTTCTTTTGCTCCAAGGTACGTTTTATATCTTGTTATTATAGTACAGAGATTTATATTTTTTTATTAGTATATCTTTTATACTTATATATAAAAAGTACCGAAAAAAAAACGACGTCAGAGATAGCTTCACAGAGTGATGTTTGCTGTCATTTTATATGTAAAATTATACGAGGAATGTCATCGAGCGCCATTTCAAAGCCTACCAAACGCTGTTTTTTATCATGCGCGGTACCAAACGATCGAGAAAAAAAAAGACGTCAGAGATGGCTTAGAAATGAAGATTGCTGTCATTTTATCTCTAAAATTGATATCGTATATCATCGAGCGTCATTTCAAGATCTATACTAGACGCGATTTTTTTATCATACGGTACCAGACGATCGAAAAAAAAACGGCGTCATACGATTCAATAAAAACGGGGTCAGAGATGGTTGGGAAATGAAAAATGCTGTCATATTATATGGAAAATTATACTAGGAATGTCATTGTGCGTCATTTCAAAGCCTACCGACGCTGTTTTTTTTATTATGCGTTACCAAACGTTCGAAGAAAAAACGACGTCAGAGATAGCTGTTTAGAAATGAAGATTGTTGTTATTTTGTCTGTAAAATATAAGTACCGTATGATCGAAATAAAAACGGCGTCAGCGATGGCTATGAAATGAAGATCGCTGTCATTTTATATGTAAATTTATATAAGGAATGTCATCATATTCGATTTATTTTAAATTTCCTATAGTGGAAATCGATAAAATAATCAGGAATCGTGAGATAGCACTAAATCAATATGGGGAAACATTGCCCAAACCAAAAGCCAAACCAAGAACTAAAATTACAAAGAAAAAGCCAGATGCTGAAACCCCACAATCTTTAGAAAGGTAACTATACATAATATACCGGGCCTTTCTCAGAAGTCTCACCTCTTTAACTTTTTTAGTTTTTTTTTTCAGATAAAAAAAACGAGATTTGGTACGTTAGTATATGACATAAACCAGGATTGATTGACGTGTTCAATTTTTTGGTCACTTTCTGTTTCACTGGAAATGACTATAACTTTTGATTTTGAAATGAAACCCTTGGTATTTGTTTACATTATTCGATAGAATGACATATCAAATATCAACTTTTGATATTTTTGCATATGGGTTATTTGAAGTTGTAACATGCGGTCCATAATGAAAATTTGACTCGAAATACCAAGTGTGTAGTACCAATTTATTCGTAAAAAATGCCTTTTCTAAATGTGCTAATGAACCACCCTTGTTCTATTTGAAAAAAACTGAGATATATGATTAAAAATACGATTTGGGCATCTTTTAACCGGCCAGGACAAGATACGAAAAACATTAGACGATCAAATCAATTTTTCCAAGGATCCTTGATTAAAAATTTGTGTTTTTAATACACTCTAGATTGTACACTAATATTTAATTTTAGAGTGTCATAAAGTAAAAAAATACCGAGGGTTCCATCTAAAAATCAAAAGTTGTAGTCATTCCCGGCAAAACTGGAAGTGATTATGAAGACAATTTGAATATGTCAATCAATCCTAATTTATGTCAGATAGTAACATACCAAATCTCGTTTTTTTGTCTGAAAAAAATAAAAAAGTTATAGGGGTGAGCCACTTTTCACAAAAAAGTTATAGGGGTGAGACACTCGGTCTAAGAATTTAATTTGATAAATGAGAATTTTGTTCAGGGTTTTACAAACCAGAAGCATTAGACAGCCGGATGTACAGCCTTTTAATTTAGAGCCTCTGCAGATTACCGAACTGCCACCTGAAAGCGATGCTATTCTCCAGGCAAGGGCGGGAGAAATTACAATTAGGGAAGAAATGCCTAGGACACAGGTAAGACTTGAATCTTATGTCGAAATGGAACAGTTCATGAATTTTATTAAAGCGAATCCGCCATTTTAAAGCGCATCCACCATTTTATTAAAGCGCGTTCACCATTTTATTAAAGCGCATCCACCATTTTTTTTACTTTGTTAATGTGGCTAAAAATTTAGTGAACACCATAACTCCTTCCCATGATTTACTTTCATATCTCCCTAAAACAAATGAGAATTTACACAGTTTTTTCTTCACGCCCGTAGCATTAGATGAGCTCCGTAGTGTAATTAATAGTATTAAAAACAAATCCTCATCTGGGACTGATGGGCTCACTCTCAAAATGTTCTCTGAACTTCCTGAATGCACATTAATCCATCTTACTACTTTAATTAACGAGTCATTCCAACAAGGAGTTTTTCCAAACTGCCTTAAGACAGCAATAATAATTCCGCTGCATAAAGGAGGAGATAAAGATGAAGCTTCGAACTATCGCCCAATTGCACTCCTGCCTGCATTATCTAAGATCATTGAAAGATTGGTTAAAACCTGGTTATCAACCTCTAGAATAGCCTATTATGCCCTTTTTGAGTCACATCTTCGTTATGCCCTTCCGTTCTGGGGTACTTGCTGCGCAACAAAATTTGATCGTATTTTCAGACTTCAGAAGAAAGCAGTTCGATGTTTATTGGGACTGAACAGTAGAACTCACTGCCAGAATTTCTTTAAACATTTCAAAATAGGTACTGACTCTTCCTTCTTTATTCATTTTTGAATCCGTTTGCTTAATCCGCAAGAACAATATCTGCTATTCCCGAAAGGCCATCCCATAACTATCCACTTAGGAATGCGAAGCACGATCTTTATCTGCCAACCCCGAGCTTAGAACTAGTTAAAGGCTCAATACTGCACAATGCCAAAAAAATGTACAATCATCTGTCTTTGAATATCAAGTCGCTTTCATTCTTTCCCGCATTTCGCAAAGCTCTGAAATCATACTTACTGGAGAGAGCCCTATATGCGGTAAACGACTTTTTTGTTGATGTTTAATCATGAACAATTTTGAGGTTTGGTTGGTTGAAATTTTGATCATCTCACACACTGGTCAAAGGTCAAGTATTTAAAAAATTTAAATTTTTGTAACTCTAAAATTTTGTAACTAAATTATATCTATTTACTGCTTACTATTCTGCAATTGTTCATGTATGTACTTTTTGTAATTATAATGACTTAAATTTTTTTGAATTGTATGATTTGTTGTTTGTATATATTTTTTTGTGCTTTTGTTTGTTTTGTGATTGCTTTGTCGATGAAGCTGTTTTGGCTTTTTGCACAATAAAGCGTTGCTTTGTTTTGGTTTATTAAAGCGCGTCCACAATTTTATTAAAGCGCATCCACCATTTTTTTAAAGCGCGTCCACCATTTTATTAAAGCGCATCCGCCATTTTATTAAAGCGGATCCACCATTTTATCATTACTTGACGTCATTTGTAAAAGTGAAATCAACACTATAAATAAAATTGAACGAAAAATAAATTTGTGCAATAGTGAGGGTGGTAACCCTTTCGAACATGTAGAGCATTAGAAACTAGTTTGTAGCAGTTAATTTATTCAAAATAACTACGATTAATATTATGCAAATTATTAGATCGTACATAGAGATTTCAAATTCACAATAAAAAAAGTTAAAAATAATATCTTTAAATTGCTGATCTGGATATTATTTCTTTGAATCTTTCAATTGGTTCAATTTTCCTTATTCAGTGTTAATTAGCGCTGATCAATATTGTTGCGATGAATATAATCAGACTAAATAATTAAAAAATCAGAGTCGGAAATTATTTTAAATAATAATTAAGTAGTTTTGTTGCTGTTAAGGTATCCAAAAAAAAGTATAAAGTGTGGCATATCATTGTACTCAGGAGACCGAGTTCTTTCAAAGTCTGAAATAAAAAATGCAGGTCCGTATTTAAAAAAAATAAGTTGGCCTCTGTATCACACAAATTATCAGTGAATCTATAATCGATATAGCTAATCCTATCAGATAGCCCTAATAAAGTGGCTACGAGAATGCGCAATTCTTAGAAAATAAAAAACTATGATTTTCTAAAAAATAACGACGGGAAAAAATAAAATTGATTTTCAAAAAAATCCTTTTTTTTTCAAAAAACTCAGCAGTCCTTGAAATTTTTAAACCTTTTTTGATGGCATCTTGGTGAACAGCCCATGGCGCAACTTTGCCCCAATTTAATCATCTTCGTATCTATTACGGGTTCCGAGATACAATGCTCGGACCCCGAATTTGTAGCATCCTGTATTTTAGAGAATAATCCATATATTTTTTAGGAAATGTACAGATTGGATGATGATTTCAATTTATTAGAAGTCGACATGCGCCCTATTGAAAGAGGGTAAAGTTTATTTTTCTCGTACATTTCTTGTATTTATTTATTTCTTTTTTTCTTTATAAATTAGTATTCCTGAACCTCTTCCAATGGAAGTCCCTCAAGTACCGCCTCAAGAATTGGCAGAAATTGAACCACCAGTAGTTCCATTGAAGGAAGCAGCCATTTTGCTAGAAGAGCCACAAATTGAAATACCAGTACCAGCTCCACTTGTATTATATTGCGAATTATTAGTTCTAAACGTTTTTGATAATTTATTTTTAGGAGGTAGATGTATCTGTAGCACCGCAAGAGCCTGTAGTACAAATGGTTCAAGAGGAACCGCCTGTGGTTCTTCCTCAAAGGGTATGTATAATACGACTGGTAAAATTTTATAGCGCACATTTATTACATTTTATAGCGCGCATTATAGCGAATTAAAAAAAAAAACATTTGCACAGCAAGGATCTATTCCATTATCATAATTGGAATATTCTCTTTAGAGTTAATACCATATAATTGAAAAAAAAACGGCGTCATAGAAGTCATTTACTAAAAATTCCCATAAAACTTGTTAAAAATTAACGCTAATTATAGAAAGATTAATAAAGAATATAACGTTTTTAGACACACAAATCTATTTCCAAGAAATTGTTTTTTCTTAAGGCCTTACTGCCAGTTGGCGTTAAAAATAAAGAAGTTTACGGGTCAAGTAAATGGTGTCTAAGTCTTGATCTCGCCTAAATTGTCATCGATTGTCATTCCCCAGCCGTCTTTGGTGACGTTTTTTTTTCGAGCGTATGGTAGTTACAAAGACATATTCAGAAGAATGTAACAACTTATTTCATAATGCATAGAAAAACGGCGTCATCAACGGCCTGACAACCGATAATAATTTCTGTATGGCCGATCCCTAATAAAAACTAACATAAAAATTTCACAAGAAATAATGTTTATTTGAAAAAAAAAATAAAAAGCTTTCACGAGTCAACTGTCATTAAAAAAAATTCAAAGAAGATTTTGTACTAAATAGCTTACTTGGCGAGTCTTTGATTATCTCAATTTATAAAAACGATGTCGCTTAATAAGAGACCGCCCTCGGAAATTATTATCGAGGCCAATGTGACGCCGTTTTTTGGTTGTATATGGTACTGTACTATCGAATCAAAAGAGCGTATAAATAACATTTCAGTTTGAATTATAGCACGGGTCGTTTTAGAATCCTTGAAAATAAAAGAATTTCGGGCTTCCATTGTCTTTAGCCATTAATAGTTTTCATGCAATTATTATTATTAATACACATATAAAATGAATTTAATTAAATAAATACCATACAGCTCAAATTTTCGAGCTTGTGGATTAGGCCTTTTTGGCGCTGGTAGCCTCAATTGGTAATGGCGCTAACAGTTAGCAAAAGACTAGAATGTAGAAGGAGTGGAAGGGGGGTTAATCACCGCGAGCTTAAAGAGTCTACTCATCATACAGTCTATAACTCATCATACATCTTACGTTGTAGAGGGTACAGGGTATTTCCCATTCTTCACTGACAACTGTTCATCCTGCGAGGAGTGGACATCTACCTCCTACGAGGGTATACACCCTTCTACGGTTGAGGTTTAGCCCTCCGTGTCCTTTACAGTCGAGGAGTTTGTACCGGCTGAGGTACTCTTGAGGTGGAGGCTGGAGGATCTGTCTCCACTTTCACCTCTTTAACTTGGTTACTTATCGGATTTATAATACAGGATATATCTCTTAATATATTGCCTCCTTGGATTTAGGGTCAATTCCTATTGTGAAAACCTGACCATGGCCCTCCTCCCTGAGTTGATGACTCGCCAACTCGATATCTTTACATTCTGAGTTCTGGCAAAGCTGGTGATACACGGATACAGGGTTAGTCGGTCCACTCAGGGCCTATTTTACCATAAGGCTCGGGCCTTGGGCCCGGTGGTCTGGGGGGCCCGTTAAAGGTTGTAAAATATTCATAATTTCTTGAATTTTTGAATTTTATTGGAAAAGAGGGCCCGACCAGATGAAAATTAGGTCCCTGGTAAGGGAGACGAGAATATAATGGGTTGCCCCCTGGTGCCTCAAGATTGAGTCCGGTAGAGCAAAAGACTAACAGGCTGACATAGAATTAGAATTTAGAATTAGAAAAAAAAAAGTTCTAAAGGCTGACATAAATGGCATACAAATATGAACACATACCCTGCTGGTCATCCAAACTATGTGGTCTGGAATTTAATGCGTGTGACAGAGAATAATATAAATGACCAGTTGAGAGACAGAGAGACAAAATCAAAAGCGACATATAGTGTTGCCGGTTTTATACATTTGTAGGAAAATGTGTGTAGAAAAATATAAGCTATTTTAAAAACTTTATGTATACTACTGAAATGAAGATAATATATCGAAGCTAAATATAATCTATTACAGCTGTAGTAAAATGAGTAACTAATAGTGAAAAATAAAATTCCAACCATAGGTGCAACATTTTTCGTTAACGCCTACTTGTGCGGTTTGAAATTTTGATGCGAAATCAAGCAATTCCGCATAGAAAAAAAGTATCGACCCAACTTTTATCTCTTTTTCACTGTCTTGCCTGTTAAAATTCAGACCACAAATTTCGATGACTAAATCGGTATATGCCCGTCTGTGGGCAGCTATCTACTTGTTTGACAAAATTCATAATAGAGACTGATATCATTTTGTTCTTGTGTTCTCATACATGAATGTCATGCATGTCGACTCACATGTATGCTGGTCTATTGCCAGCTTTACGCCATTTTCATTCGATGATATTCTTTCTAAAATTCATTTGGTTCCCATCAGGAAACAATGAAAAAATAAATAACTAATTAGATTAATGATAAAAATGATATTTAATTATAAAAGTTTCTCATAATATTATTTTAGGATGAGGATATTGCTGTAGTTCCGCAAGAGCCTGAAGTGCCAGCAGTTCAGGCGGAACCGCCTTTGGTTGTTCCTCCACAGGTATTTACAACGATTTGCCCTTCATTATTAAGCAATTATTTTCATCTCTCATTTGTATTAGTTCTGGAATTTTAGAAAAAAAAATAAAATACCGTAAAATGGGGTGAATAGAAACAGTTTCGTAGGCTATTAGCGATATACCGGTTGATAAAAATGTGGTATTATTTTCCCGAATATTTTAAAACATGGGTCTTTGTTTGTTCTTTGCGTATACATATAATTTGATTTTTGAAAAATATGCATATAAATATTAAATGAAAATAACATTTGTGTTTCTATTCACCTGCTATTGGGGAGAATAGAAACACACATTGATGTTTAGGTTTTATCTATTCTACTTCCAACAAGGTGATTAGAAACAGTAAGTTATTACATATTTAAGTAGGTTTAACAATAAATAACAATACATATAATATGACAACTTACATGTACCAGCTTATGTATTACTTTAAAATAAATATTTTATTTATAAAGTTTTCGCGCCATACAAAATAGGTGATAAATCGATCTCACATTTATTGATCAGCTGATTGACAGAAACAGTGCTGCCACAGATAAAAATATAGTTTTTACATTTTATTGTGTATTACCAATGATAGAAAAATTAGATATGTCGACTCTTTTTACTTTGAATATTTTTAATCGTGATTTGATTTTTTTCAGAAATTTTGTTTCTATTCACCACTATGTTTCTATTCACCCCATTTTACGGTACTCGAAAATAATAAGATTTCTTTAGCGTACTATTTGGGTTTTTTCTTAAGACTTTTAATAATGGACTTATTATTTTCGAGTAGTTTAGTTTTTCTAAAATTCCAAAACTAATGGAAAGGAGAGATAAAAATAATTGCCACTTTGCTAGTTTACATTTTTGTTACATTTTCGCCCATACGAATCGACAAGGTTAATTTTCCAGGGTTGGCAAAAATGATTTTAAAAAATCAGATTTGTTTATACTATAACAGATTTTTTTGATTTTAATAGAAATGATTTAAATCGGATTTCCAAATAATTAGGGCTTGTCTACAATTAAAATTCCTATACTAAATGGCCAAATCTTCGTAACTCTGCCCGATACAGATAACATTAACAATTCTAGTGCGCCGTCATTTTTCCATATCGGTCACAATATATTCCACAAAAAAGTCGCTCGCTTAGATCGAAAGGATTTTTTTTTTCAAACGTCAGAAAAGTATTAATTTTTGTCATTTTAACGCCTAGGCATAAAAGTAAAGCACTTATGCCTAAGCACAAAAGTACGAAAAAATAAATACACCATTGTTCGGAAATAGTCTTAACTTGATAATGAAATTAGTATCTAATGTCAAAGTACTTAGAAACACTGAAAGTGTAAAGTACTTACTGCAGACCGAAATGTCGGTAGAAATTTGGAAAAAACCAGAAGATAAATTGCAGAAGGCAGAAGTGATCTTGATCAACATACAGCTGTTTCATAAAAGATATAAAACAGCATATTTTCTGACAACAATTATAGATTCTCGGGAATGAAGGTATAGTCTAACATCAGAAGAACCTAGTTCTGCACTAGAGTTTGCGAATGAATTGTATTCGAACAGCGTATTTTTGTCACTTGTACTCTTGTACTGTTGTTACTTTATAACTTTAGTCTGAGACATGATCATATTTTGTAAAAAAAGATTATATGGTGTAAATTTTAAAATAAAAATCCTGTATAGGGTATTTATTAACATATTTTGCTTTAATAAATTACTGTATTTTTTAGACTCCAGTAAGAGCTGAACCAATCAGACATCCTGGGCAAGTATTGCTGTTACCAAGAAAAGCAGCATTTGTATTAATTAATAAGCCACCGGTAGGTAGTACATATAGGGTATTCAAATTTGAATAAAATTTAGTAATAAACTACATTAAATAAATAATTTTTTATTAATTTTATATTTTAATTTTAATAATTCTGAATAATAAAACTGCGTTTATTTCATCGAGGAGATGGAAATGGACAAAATATCAAGATCTAACTTTTAATCAGCAGTAAATAGCCTATGCTCTAATAAGAGGAAAAAAGTCAGTGGCGCACATGTTTTTTTTAGAAAAATTTTCCAGTGATAACCCATATGCACGGCCCTGGTGAATCTGTCAACACTTTTTTGAGCATTAAAATATGTCGCGCTCATAGTAAATTTTACCCTCCAAATTTCATTCGGATCGGCTAAAAGCACTTGGAATAAAATTATAATTCGAAAAATGAGACTTTAACGTTTTTTAGTTACGAAATAAAGCAGAATCGGACCCATGTTGATATGGAAAATAAATCTTATTTTTACGTGAGGAATTTCCCAACGAGAGATGGCACATGTTTTTTGAAATACCCTATATAGTTTTTTAAATAATTATATACAGGGTGATTCAAGGCCGATGGTAGACGTTTATTTTTAACCTGCTCCATTATAATTTTTAGAATTACTGTGCTGTTGCTTCATTTGAAAAGTAGTAGCACCATTGTTATTTTAAATTGATCTCGCGGTATAATATTGCAATAATTTCATTCTAATTTTTTCAAAATTTTTCTGCTATGCTTTCCCATATTTACACCTAATACGACGTGTAATATTAACAATAATGCGATTTTTAACAAGCATTAGTAAAATCATGATTTCATTATATTGAAAGTGAAGAAATTTGTGTTATGCGTTGATGATAAGAGCTTGTTAACCAGGTAAAACCTGGTTAACAAGCTCTTATCATAGGCAACGGTCAAATTCAAAACATTCTTTAGATTCATTCAGAACCTCGCAATTAGTAGAATAAATTAGTGGTTTCCATTAGCGTAGAAGTTTGTTCCTCTAATTTGAATGTAAGCGTTCAGAAACACACAATAGATCTATAAGGTCGCGGTGATTAACTCCCCTCCTAAGCGTTCAGAACGTCAAAATTAGTGGTAGGAATTTTCAATTAGTTTTAAAGTAAACAATCTTTTGACTTTTCCACTAATTATACTTCAAAATTTGCGTGGAATGTCATTTTGGTCTTTGATTATCATCCGTCAAGAGAAATCGTGGTTAGAAATCAAAAGTTTATTGATTTATAAGCTAAATATTAGTCTTTCTCTATGGATACAACTGACTACCCCAAGCTGTAGCTAGGATATTCTATTAATTTTAATTGTGTTTTTTAGATATTGTGAATGATCGTAAACTAAAAAGTATAAAGTGTAATTGAAACCACTAATTTATTCCACTAATTGCATGGTTCTGAATGAAGCTTTCACATTACTCCAAACCAATTACTCTGACCATAGTCTGACATTACCGAATAAAATTTACGCCATTTAATTTTATAGTACTATTTCTCTGGCTTTAGGAGCTCTTCCCGGAAAGATTGCCAGTAGATTTAAACTTTAAAGTGCCAAAGTTTGCACGTATAGAAGAATTTTGGCCAAGAGAGGATGTTAGTTTATCAGCAATAGATGTCGCTCGAGGTCCTGAAGAAGTAGAATCTTTAAGGTAATCGAAATATTTTTATTTTATGTTTAGCTTTAATATTTGTTTCATGTTATGGAAATATTATGTCACAGTCATAGATAAAAGAAAATAATCTACTATTAAGATAGATATGAAACTTAATAGTAAAATTTTGGGTCAAAGCGCCCCTCCGTGCTTTTAGTGGAGGCTACGTTTAACCCAGCGCCTTCGCCTTTTCTGCTGTAAATGTTTTTTTTGTTTATATTTGAATTCAAAGGATTTATTTTTAAAATTACACTGATATATTAGTATATCAGAGTAACTTTAATAAAACATAAGAATATATATATATTTTACAATTTATTTTTTTATTTATTTTACAGAGTTTCATGCAAATGATCGTAAGTCGACTGGCTGTCTAATGAATAGACCGAGATTTATAAATTTTAAAGCGAACGAAAAAAAATCAAACAACGAATACATACCATATATTTTTCTTTTATCTAAGATACATACCTTATAGTCTTTTGGAAACACGTACATTTTTGGAGTTTTGTTAGATCCTTCGCAAGATGTAACACAACAAGAAAACACCATTTTTACAGTTAATAAATAATAAAACTATTTCTGACTATGATATTTAAAATTTAGATAGGCAGAATAAATAATAAAACTAATTCTGACTATGATATTTAAAATTTAGATAGGCAGAAAATTAAAAAACAAACGAGTATTTGCAAACGCAGGCCCAAATTCAATAAAAATCAAATTTTTTCCTGCGAAAATCAGGCTTTTTTCACTGAAAAGGTATTTTTTGATTTATCAGCAGTCATTGTCAAGTTGACAATATACAGGGTGTTTTCGAATTAGTCTAAAAAAATTATGGTGTGATTCCTCATGTGTTATTAAAACAATTTTTATATAACCATTGGGTCTAAAGTACTTCCTTTCTGATCTACAGGGTGTTAAAAATTAAAAAATCGATTTTTTTTGCTTAACACAAATGGTATACCACTGCTTTTTTAAAGAAAATATATTTTTTTCTTGACTGGCCATCCATTTTCAACAAAATTGATCTTTTGCGTTTTTCTTGTTCATCAAACGGTTGTCGAGAAAAAAATAAATATACTTATTAAGAGCCCGCCTTAATTCGTTTTCTAACGATTTTTTATTTTTTAGATTAATTAGGAAACACCCTGTATATGCATATCACAGGCAACCAAATAAACTAGTAACCTCTAAAAATTATTTTTCTTACCACTAGCGACATACCGTGTTTTTAGTGTGTACTAAATTATTTTATCAAAATTTCACCATATAAGTTTCCAGGCAATGGTTTAAAATTAAAATTGTTATTTTGTTGTCCAGGAGATCAACATTACATTTAGAAAACATCTTTACCGATCGATAAGCTTGATTGACAGAAAAAGAAAAACCTTTTATCGACCGATATAGATTTAACAAACATAACAGATGGCGCCATCGCTTGATACATGACACAATATAGGCAACTCAATTTACAAATAGTACGTGGGCAGGTGTAAACAAAAATGGATACAAATAAAACTGTTTTTGCTCCTTTCTTGATCGTTTTATTCAAAGTTTACACGCTTAATTAATTTAATTTTCAAGAAATGAGAGACATTATTGTCTATCACTTTTAAACAATTTTTTTATGTGTGCCCGAGTATTTTGTACAAAATTCAAATAAAAAATCTGATAAGCCTTTTGGTCTTACATATCTTTGATACTTTGATTGTTTCTATAGCTTCTTAACTTAATATATTTAATTGTATAACTTACATATTATTTCATTTTTAGAACGTCAGGCACTCCTCTTACCATTAGATCTGAAGGGCGTACAATCACACCATTGATCGATACACCTTCGTTTCAAGGTATAGGAGCTAGAAGTTCCGAAATTGCTTCGGAACCACCAGTTGAATCAAGAAAGCGACCTCGGTATGTATAGCTGCTGTCAAATAGCCGTCAGCAAAACTGTTATTTAAATAGCTATTCTTAGCCACACTTCAAACCTGTCCCGAAAAAAGCATCATTCGCTATTGCACGCTAAACACGAAAAAGACTGTTACGTTCCATCTCGACTATATCGGTGGTTGCCCGGTGTTGATTCAGCCTACTGCGTATTTATACCTGTTATATTTTTAAATTTGCAGTATAACAATAAGGGTCGTCATACTAAAAAACTAAATATTTTCAATTTATTTTGTTTACTTTAAAAAATTGTTTTTTAAGTTTGCTAATACAAATGAATAAAATGAGTTACAAAATAATTTAAAAACCCAGTTTTCAAGGGAATCTGAAATATGATTTTTATTCGTTTTATTGAGGAATATTTTAAAAAATCCAAATAGTTAGATATATTTAAAACAATCACTATTACCTTTGAAAAATATGCTCTAAACAAAGATTTATAAAACTATAACGAACTAAAAGTCAACATCTTCGACCAAACCACCATAAAAAAACGATTATTAATTGATAATTGGTTATTGATAATAAACCAGTTGTTTATCCAGTGGCGTAGTAAGTACTTAAAAAATAATAATAATAATAAAAATGTCTTATTTTAATGACACACCCTGTATCAATATTTATCAAAATTAGAACTTAAGTATCTTAGGTAAGGAGAATTCAATATAATTTATCAGATTTGAAATAAATACTGTCCTATGGGTAGTTTACTCTCGACTCGAAAAATATCAAACCCCATCAAAACGTACGTCTATGAGGTATCGCATTTCTTACCCTGGGCAAAATGTACGTCTTATAGCCATAAAACCTCCTGCCAAAAATGAAAAAGATCGCTCAACAAACAACCAAGATATTGGCTTGTATCCATCTTAAGTGGGATACCCTGTGTATACATTATTACTTTTAAACTGAAATTATTAACAGCATAAATCGATTCCATTAAATACATACACATGTTATATAATATAATTCTGAGGTGAAATAAATAAGGGAAAGCTTTAGCACAGAATATTACAACAGGAAAACAAAATAACATGCTTTAGTTAACACTAGTGAAATAATGGGGAAACATTATTTACTTTACCTTTAATAATATTCTTTGTCTCAGAAACCAAAACTTACAAACCAAAATAATATTAATAGGTCTCGAACGGTAGTCTCAAAGCTATTACCTAAATACTGGACGCGCGTTTCGCTAACCATGTTAGCGAAAAAAAAAATGGTTAGCGAAACGCGCGTCCAGTGTAAAAGTAAAAGTGTTTTGGTGTATTGTGGTGATTTAGTGTAATTTTATTTTGCTGTGTAACACTAAATGTTCCAACCCTCAACTGTAATATTACCTAACACCTATCATCTCTGTGAGATGACAACGATTATTTCATTTCCCTCTTCCTAGTTTGCGAATAATATTTTAAAAATCAATAATTATTTATTTATGTATACAGAGTGACCTAGGCTGGTATTTATAGTTGCATCTCGAGACGCCAAGACGGTCTTGGGCTCTAGAGAGCGGAATCCACAGAATACACGAGCAAACGTCATTTTGGAGATTGCGATTTTCATTTTGGAGATTGTCATTTTGGATAGTTTATGTGATCTGTGGATAGTTTCTTAACCTAACTTTTTTAGTAAACAAAATAAAAAAAGAAGAGATCCCTTGTAAATCCGTTTTGTCTGATTAAACAGTTTTGAATTTTGAATATGTTAGAAGAGTTTGAGGATATTTTGGACCATGTGGAAGAAGAAAATCGTCTTCGAGTTCCAAAAAGGTATATACGGGATGCAGGAAATCCAATAGAAATGTTTAGCGAGGGGGGATTTATGCCAATATAGGTTTAACAAGGCTACAATTACAGAAACTATTTTACCTCTTATAAATTGAAGACTTGCAAAAACCTACCAATCGTGGTTTACCCATTCTCCCCGTTGTTCAATTACTAATTTGTTTACAGTTTTATACGACTTGTAATTTTCAGATGGTAAATGGAGACTTGCGTGGTGTTAGCCAACCTACAATAAGCCAGATAATCAAGAATAATGCAATAATGTGGAGTATTTCAAAATCGCAAAAATTTTTTTTAGTCTAAATGTTCAGGTCCCAAAAGGGAAATTATGGATATTATAGTTGGATATCCAGGGTCAAGTCATGATAGTGTTATATTCAATCAAGTAATTTAAGAATGCTAATGGAAAGGCGTGATATTCGTGATTTACTTCTTGGAGACAATGCATATAGATGTAGGCCAATTCTATTGACTTCTGTTCTACAGCTAGGTAATCAACAAGAAACCAGGTATAACTTTGACCATAGAAGAAAGCGAAATGTTGAAAGGCTATTTGGGACTTGGTAAAAACGTCTTCCATTTCTCCGAGGTTTACAAAACAACTGTTGCTATTATTTGTGCTACAGCTGTTCTTCATAATATTGGTTTAAGGGAAAATTTAGATAATTTTGAAGATGCTAATTTACACATTCCAATTATAAATAAAAAGGGTTAGATTTTTGAAGAAATCTTATTCAACATTTTGCAAATTAATGTATTTATTGTATTAATATATGTATATCTAGTAATTATGTAATATGTTAAGTAATGTTCCAAGGTAACTAGTACCTATATAATAATTTTATTTACTTTTCTATTAGTGTTAAGTTAGTGTTTATATATTTACATGTAACATATTTTTGTATGTAACAAAGTAATTTCTTATAGTCTATTATTAGTTATCATAAAATAGTAAATGTAAATAGTCCCTTATATTTAGTAGCACTTTTCATATAGACCATGTCTCCTATCTTTGTGATACCTTTAAATCTATATGTTTATCATAATTTTTTTATACTTCCTTTGTTCCATTTCTATATGTTCTTTGACCTCTTTTCTCAATTTTTCAGGTAATTGAATACTTTTCATTCTCTACTGTCAATAATCTCACTTATCCATCTTCAATCTTCGGAATATATCCATATAATAATTCAGGAGTTTTTTTCGCCAGTGGATTTATTCACAGATGTATTTATAGCTCTATCTATATTCTTAATATATGTATCCCATTTGTTGTTATCATCTGCACAAGCTGAAGGCAGTATCATTGGAATAATAATGCTGTTCAACCATTTATGGTTGCATCATACAAATTCACCCAAATGTTCTGCTATTAAAATGGACACCCTCTTGATAATCTGGCTTATTGTGGGTTGGCTAATACCAAGTATGTCTCCATTTAATATCTGAAAACTACAAGTCGTATAAAACCGTAAACAAATTAGTAATTGAATAACGGGGAGAATGGGTAAACCACGATTGGTAGGTTTTTGCAAGTCTTAGTTGTATTTACGAATAAAGTATTTGTGTGTAATTTCTGACTTACCAGTTAACTGAATAATCGCATTAAATATATCCAAATGGTAATTTAATATTGTAAAAAAGCAAAATTGTTTTAAATCACTTGCCAGGACAGCCCGGCCAGCTTCTTTGTTGACAAAATGGCCGCGGTATCATAATTGAAGCAATGTGAGTGACAAAGAAAGCCAATGCCTGGCAGATGTTGCTTTCTTTGTCGTTGGTCCTGGCACGTTTAAATTTGACTGTTGCCTGTTTTCCCATACAAGTGACACCCCCGTGCTATCCACAGATAACATAAACTATCCAAAATGACAATCTCCAAAATGAAAATCGCAATCTCCAAAATGACCTTTGCTTGTGTATTCTGTGGATTCCGCTCTCGAGAGCCCAAGACCGTCTTGGCGTCTCGAGATGCAACTATAAATACGGGCCTTAAACTTGAAAGTTTTGAATTTATAGAAATATGATTATTTTTAAATAGGCAGGCCATCTCAAATTGTTTCGAATTTAACGACACCACACAACCGCTATCGACCCATACCGTTTTTTAGATACCTTTTTTTTTGTGCCTGTTTTTTTTTTGGAACGTTCCCCTCGAATGATCGACCATAAGTCACGTCTAGCGATTAATTGAAGCAATTATAATTTTCAACATTTTTTGTTATGGTTATACTTTTTTGTGCTTGTACTCCTACTTTAGAAATTCTATTGTTAAATAGCAGTTTTTTCAAGGTTCCTTGTATGTATTCCTTGTCGAAGGTAATAACAAACACAGAATATACATAACCGTCGATGTTATGATTGACATATTGTTCTAACTTTTTACGCACGATATAAGGATATTTAACTTCTATCAATCCTTGTTTCTAAAATACTTATTTTTGTAACAGTAATATTATGCCGTATAATCTAAAAAACGGCGTCAATGACGGCTGGGGAATGACAATCGATAGTAATTTTATCGAGGTCAATCTCTAGATGTCATTTACTTAATATTAACATAAAACCATTTTTGCATGACCTCCCTAAAATTATAATCGGCTGTCATTCCCCAGCCGTCATTGAAGCCGTTTTTTTTATTGTATGGTATTACTGTACTATTATTGTTCACGTGTATACCTCATGTATTTGTTTGCATCTTGGCTTTGAATAATGTATAGGTGTGAAAAATTGTTGGACATAACATTAAGATTTATTACTTTAGAAAATAATATAAGTTGGGACATCAAATTATGGTTTGTGATAACTACACACGAGTATTTCCAAACGATCTAAGTAATTGCAATAATCTTTAAAATAAATCGAAATATTATACATTCTGCATCATAATTGTTGGCGTCATTCGTTGCGACTGACGGTATTGGAGCTAAATTATTCATAAAATGCAAATAAATAATTCGAATACACTCAACATTCTGGTGTCATTTTTAATTTTACGCGGGCTACTATCATTTCAGCGAACACTGGGCAGACAGCGGAAAAACAAGAGAAATAAATTTTTAATTTTAATTTATTTATTTATTAGCTTGTAATATTTCATACGGGTCAAATATCTTTGTATAAAAATAATTAGGAATATGTCAATCATATCCTCAAGAGTTATGACATGCCGTTGTCATTGTTGTCAATTACGACAGTGATGCCAACTCGTGGGAAATTTCCCGATTCGGCGGAAATTTCGAGATCCAGAGAGAAAAGGGAAATTTTAACTGAAAAACACCATATTCGTGGAAAATTCATGTATTCATGTATTATTCGTAAAAAATAGTTATCTTATGATGCGTTTGACTTGAGCACGCACGCACTGATCCTCCGCAAATGCTCAAGTGTAAACGGCTGTGCGCGCACGCTCACTCTGAATCTGTCTGTGCGCCAGCAGCCACGAACGTGAGCCGTCTGGTGTCGGCTTTTGGTCCGTGCTCAAAGGGATTTTATGTGTGCGCAAACGCTCAATTTGGACCGGCAATTTGTTTTGTCTGCGTTAGTTCGTGCGTGTGTGATTTTTTTTCGTTTTCTTTATTAAAATTATGGAGTGGATCAATGAATCTTCGTTATTATTAATTGAAAATATGAAAAGTTGCCTATATTATGGGATGTTAAACATTCTTTGTATTATTAAAAAATCAAAAAAAATATAACGCATGGCAAAACCTTGTAAATAAAATTAATATTGAATATGTCGATATTAATGAAATTGCTATTCTAAAATTTGTATCTTTTGTTCGTAATTTTTGGTGTTATTAAATTTTGTAAATATTTCAAGTCGGGCCTGGTCATTCTTGTAAAGTTTTTGAACTGCTCATAGCCCTCCTCAGACACTAAGTTGTTGCAGTAAATTATATCGATTTCTAAAAATTTGGGTTTGCCACCAGCGACGATGTTTTCGATTTTTCTTCTTTTTAATAATTAAGCTGTGCATAACAATGACTTTAGCCTCTACTATTTCTTGGTCGTCCATTATTTTCGCCAATACTACTCTGCTGTGCGCGCACAAATGGATCACTTCATTCGTCGAAAAATAAGTTTTTAATTTGAGCGGGGCCGAGAGCGCGAACGAATGCCGTGCGCGCACGCTCAGCACGTGCGTGCTCAAGTCTAAACGCACCAAAAGTTATATTTATAACCTATTTCGATAAAGACCTCATAGTCTATTATATTGTCAGACAAAATCGAATTACTTTGATTATAGCTATATGTGGACAATTTTTTTCACAATTAATAAGAATAGACCTAACTTCAAAGAGTTTTTTTTCCCCAGTGAAAACAGGTTTTGAGTACTTACGAAGTTTTCAAAGTAGGATATCGTAAAGCATTTATCGCAACTAAATACATCTAAATCTTTCACTTGGTAAAAATGAAAATAAACTTCGCACATCGTCTGTCGCGGTTTTCATACAGGACGCACAACGCATACATGAACGTATACATAAACTTTGCATAAACACTGGGATTCTGCAGAACATTTAAAATGTCAGTTAATGCTAAGAAATTAAAAAAATCAAAATACAATAGCCCATGCTTTAGTAAAAAACGTTAGACTCTATAAGCTTAATTTTAATGAAAATGTTCGTTTAAATAGGCTTTAATGAATATAATTAATTAATTAAATGACGATATTACTGATAAGTTTGCATCAATAAAGAACAGAAAAATTGAGCTGATTTACAAAATTTAGTAAGGTTAGTAATATAAATAAGTCAAATTTATTTTGGGTAATATTGCTTAGTAAACATTAATGTAATAATAATTAATGTAATAATTGAATAATAATTGAATGGCCCCTCGGTTGTAACCAACAATTTTTTCAATATCGAAATTTCAGTGAAAAAACCAAGAATAAAACGCTATACTTACCTATGAAAATTACAACCTTATTTCACTCTTACTTCATTACAACCTTATCTCTATTTTGAAAAAAATGTCGGTTACAACGTTTTTCGGAGAAGCCATTCAATAATTACGGTGTTCGCCATAAAGTTGGATCCATATGGATGGATTTTCTCCTTTAAAAACAACTTAAAATGCACCAAGTCAAAGTTGAAACATAATTTTGTTAGTCACTTTTTTTAAAATAATAATAATTTAACCAATTTTGAAAAATTTGTTTTAAATATTTTGAATTTGACAGCTCCCAGATGTTAGCTGTCAACTTTGGCTTGGTGCATTTTAAGTTGTTTTCAAAGCAGAAGTGATTGATACAAAAAGATTTTTTAAAACTCTAATATAAAAAAAAACGTCCATATGGATCCAACTTTATGGTGGACACTGTATATTATGTTTATTATATTTAATTTAAATTTAATTAAATTTTCACTGGAATGCAAAATAATGTGTTTATGGAAAACTGGTTGTATCTCTTTTTAGTTAATGCGTTTTAGCCCAAACTAAAACTAAAATATTATAGGTATTAGTGTATAAATAATAAAAAAAAATGTTGACAAAATGGTGAATGCAGCAAAAGATTTTCAAATAATATTTTAAAAAGTTGACAAAATGGTGAATGCGCCAAAAAAAATTTCTATTTATATAAAATTAACTCTTCATCTAATTTTTTACCCACGAGCCGCCACTGATAATTAGTGTTAATTTTTGACAATTTTTAAGTCAATATTTAGTAAATGACATCTAGAGATTGACCTCGAGAAAAGGATTGATAGAAGTTAAAAAATATCCTTTCGTGCGTAAAAAGTTAGTACAATATGTTAATCATAACATTAACCGTTATGCTTATACAGCTGTTAATACCCTGAAATACATAAAAGATACCTTGAAGAAACTATTTAACAATACAATTTCTAATTTAGGGATATAAGCCTAATTAAGGAGGATTAACCTAACCTAACCTAACAAAAAAGTATGACTATAAAATGTTGACAGTTATAAATAATGAAATTTTTAAATTAAGAATTACCATCTTAATTGTTCTGTACCGAGGTCTGTACCAACAATAGTAAATATTGAGTATAGTTTTGATTTTCTTGTATTTTTAATATTTTTTTTAAAAAAGACTGAAAACACTTCTTTTTTTATTTATTAATTAATATCTCTGAAACTATCGAAACATATTGAATAATATCTTATGATTATGTAAAGTGATCAGAAAGGAAGTAATATACAGGTATTTTTATGTTCTATTTAAAAACAGTCATCCCTATCAACTTACACTTTTTTGAGCCACCCGGTAGAAGTTAAAATATTTTCCTGAAATAGATCCTCTTATATACTTTAGGTTGGCACTATTATATACTTGTTTTGCACACAAAATTCCTAAGTTTTCTATTATAGGAGCTACAGATGCCCGACGCGACGCACTGTTGCCAGGCTCGTAGGAAAAACTTTGAACCTTGGCAACCCCTATTTGCGGCAAGTTTTTGATAAGACACCCAGAATAAAAGTAGCTTTAATTTGAGATATAAATGATCAAAAAATTTATAGCGTAATGTCGTCTCCAAAATCAGTTATTACTATTGTTAATTAAACATAGTTGCGGCAACTTTTTGACGGGCATCCTGTGGAAAGTGTATTCTCCTATTCATAGGTTTTGATTAAAAATACAATGAGCGTAATAATCATGCAGCCGGATCTTAGACTATTATAAAAATTTTACTCTTTTTACGTTTACTTATGTTTAAAAAACACAAAGAAACTTTATAGAATGTTTAGTATTATTTTTTTAACTTTTCAAATCAAGTTTTCGTTGAGATTTTTTATTTTTAGTGAGACAATCACAGAAATGTTTCCGCCAGCTGCAGAGGCTATTGAACCACCTAGGCATTTAGACGTTACTCCAAGGAAGAGACCAAAAATGTACGTTATTTCGTAAATAAATTACATAATCACTAATATATTTTTGTAGCGTTACTATCGAAGAAGTTAAGGCTGATGAACATATCGCGCATCCTCCAATGGAAGATATTTCATTCATTCAGCCTCTAGAATTGTTTGAGACAACAAAAAGGTAATTTAAATTTCAATTTCTTAAATTTAATTATTCTAAATTATTTTGTTCTCTTTTAGACCACCTACACCACCGGCCGTGGAAGCATTTACAGAAAAATGGTAATATACATCAAATATTTAAATATACATCATCTACAGAGTGTCCCAATATTCCGTGAACATAGACCTACTACGTATTTTTGGAATGAAAATAAGTTCATTCGACACAATTTTTCAAATATTTTAAGAACCGTTATTCCGATTTGAATGAGATTTTGGGTGTCTATGTTTTGCTAAGTGCTTTAACATTATTTGACATTCACAAAAATCAAGAAAAAGTACGGCAAGGGTAAAAACTACTCCCACCCCTACATACATTTTAGTGTAAATATTTTCTATCTCAACCGACGACCGATTTTATTTTCACAAAATGTTCTTTCTGGCATTTACTACATTTTTTATACAAAGCATAGTTTTTAGGAAAAAAATTTGGAGAATTTATTTTTCCAAAGTAAACCTACAAAATATACAGGGACTTCCAATATTCCCTGAACAGAACAACTACGTATTCTTTGAATCAAAATAAATCAATTGCACATAATTTACCTTTATACAAAAGTGCTTCGTTTGTCCATTAGAGGGCATCAATCAAAAATAAACTCGAACGTTAATTTAAAAGTTATTAATTTTTGCAAGCTTTTATGAAGCTTACTGTCAAATATAATTTGTAATACTAAAGCTTCATTCAGAAGGCAATTAGTGGAATAAATTAGTGGTTTTAATTACACTTTATACTTTCTAGTTTGCGATCATTCACAATGTTTAAAAAACACAACTAAAATTAATAGAATATCCTAGCAACAGTCTGCGTTAGTCAGTTGTATCCATAGAGAAAGCCAAACATTCAGCTTATAAAACAAAAAACTTTGATTTCTAACCACAATTTCTCTTGACCAAAGATAATCAAAGGCCAAAATGACATTTCTCACAAATTTTGAAGTATAATTAGTGCAAAAGTTAAAAGTTTGATAACTTTTTCTACTAATTGAAAATATCTACCACTAATTTTGATGTTCTGAATGCTTACATTAAAATTAAAGGAACAAACTTCTACACTAATTGAAACTGATCTACACTAATATATTCCACTAATTGCGAGGTTCTGAATGAAGCTTAACGTAAAATTCCATATTTTCGCCAACTAGATTATTAAGAGCATAATAGATTTTATGCGCCTCCATAGCTTGATATGACAAAAAAATATTTTTTGGAAGTCAGCTTCGAAATAATATTTTTTTTAACGCCGTTTTTTCTTATCGTATCGTACTTTTAAATTTTGACTATACTCTGACCAGTGCAATAAGATTGTAAGCTCACTGGTTTTGTGAAAGAATATGTGACATTTGTGACAGTTGTGCTGTTAATTGACTTCAAAAGTGTATTGCCTTTTCTTTGGCATTTTTCTAGATGTTATCTGTCAAAGTCAAAAATTATCTCACTGGACAGACTGAGACTCTTAGTCGCATTTTTACCATACCTAATAATCTAATCATTTTTGTTTAGGTCTGATGAGATAATGAAGGTTATATTGAAAGTGCAGGTCAAAATTAAGCCGGTAGATATTTGTAAGGAAATGGGAAAAAGGATTACAAAACAAAGCATGGCCCGTATTTTTGCAGCCTTATTAGGTATAAAGATGCTTAAGATATACTAGTAGTAGTGCAATATATGATTAAATCGTTTTATGATCAAACATTTGTCTATATTTTAAATAAAAAGACTAAGGAAGGAGTCTAATATTTATACAATACAGGGTAAGTCTTAAATAAGTGCAAATATTTTCAGGGCTGGTATATTTCGACCCCAGGAACACGTCTATGAGGTTTCTTTCGCCAAAAAAATTGTTGAAAATCGTGCATTTTCTTTTAAATTTCCCTGTATATTTTTCCAAAACTTTTTAGAACTGCCTGTTCGCCGCAAATCCCCCCCCCCCCTGGTATAATTTCTTAAATCTCTGATATTACCATAGTTACGGCTTTACTGTATGGGTACGGCAATATAAAGGTGCGTATTCATTATCCGAACGAACGAACGAACGAACGAACGAACGAACGAATGAAAGTGCGGTATATTTAGACGGGGACCGAACACATGCGGCCGTTCGTTCGTTCGTTCGCTCGACCATCCGTTTCGAGTCGGTACATCAAAGGCGTTCGCCAACAAATGCCTCCGGTCTTCTCGTGCGGTCCTATCGTGCGGTCCCCGTCCATACCACTAGCGTACGTTCGTTCGTTCGTTCGTGCGGATAATGAATACGCACCTTAAGGGATGCAAATACAGAAAAAACCGGTGGCTCTCAAAATTTTTTCAAAAAAAATCTTTTTTTTTTAATTTTCAAACTTAAATAACTCGGTTATTTTGGACATGTGAAAAATGGTAAAGAGGAAATATGTTTCTTTTATCGAGATCTACCAGCCCTGAAAATATTTGCACTTATTTAAGACTCACCCTGTATTTATGCATTCGAGACGGAATGGACATTATGACCACCAGACATGACAGTTTTGTTTGACGTTTCAATTGACAGATTTGAATTTCATTTGAAATTGTGCGCATTTGTTGAGATTCTCTGAGCTTATTATATAATATTTATTTCTTAATCTAGAATTGGTTTTGTTCCAAGTTGTTGAGTTAAGCTTGATTGTCATGCATCCGTTATCCGACGATACGATATTCATTTTATTGGTTGAATTTAAAGACTTCGATTTATTTAGAAAATTACGCAGTTTTTAAATTTATTGCATTTTCTGATAAAAAAAATCTTTTTTTGATTATGCTAATGAGCCACACTCGTTCTATTTGAAAAATCTGGTATTTTTGTTAGTAAGTAATTATTATAACTTATATACAAGGTAGCTTTTATGTATGGAAATGGTCGATTATTAGGTAAAATATAGGAGGTACCGCAAAAAATTAAATATAAAAGTTATAGGGTTTATAAATGTCTATTAGCGGGAAATAAATTTAAGTATACAGCGTCGGTCATCAAGTCGTGGCACATCAAAGTTTCATTTTTTTTAATGGAACCCCCTGTATATTTTGCATATTTCGATTCTTCCGAGTTATTGACTTTTAAAAATATCACTTAAACAATTTGATTTAATTAATTTCGATATGTTCAGTTTCATTTAACGATGCCATTTTGCCGAAACTGTGATACTTAAAATATTTGACATTAGTTCCCAAGTTAGAATTTATAGATGTATAAAATGAGAGTATAGCAAGTCTGGAAATTACAAAATTTTCGTTTAACATTTCAATTCTTCAATTTATGGACAGCTGGTTCCAAAAAAAATGAATACGACTCTTTACACATTTTTATTATTTCGGGCAGTATATTCTATGATTCTGACGTTCTGAAAAATTTATTTGCCACTTTGTCAGAAGCAAAGTTGTTTTACACAATATCACAATCACCTTAACATGTCAAAATACTTGACACATACACTGCTCAAATATTCGAAAAAAAATGTGTAGAGTCGTATTCATTTTTTTTGGAACCAGCTGTACATTGTGTATTACGATCATTGTTTAAAATTGAAGGAAGAATTGAAATATGCAATAATATACAGGGGGTTTCATTTAAAAAAAATAAAGTTTGATGTGAAACAAGTTTATGACCGACCCTGTATACTTAAATTTACTAGTAGCTAATAGGAATTTAAAAACCCATTACAACAGTATTACAGTTTCGGCAGAATGGCATCATTAAATCAAACCAAACACATCGAAATTAATTAAATCGAATTGTTTAAGTGATATTTTTAAAAATCAATAACTCAGAAACGGTTGCTTTCAGGTACATTGTGTGTATTTCGATTTTTGCTTAGAATTGAAGGAAGAATTGAAATATGTAATAATATACAGTGGGTTCTATTTAAAAAAATGAAACTTTGATGTGCCACAACTTTATGAACGACCCTGTATACTTAAATTTATTACTCGCTGATAGATTTTTAAAAATCCTATAACTTTTGTATTTAACTTTTTGCGGTGCCTCCTATATTTTACCTAATAATCGACCGTTTCCATACATAAAAGGGGCCCTGTATTTTTAATTGAAATATGATTTTTAAGTATTTTATGATAACTATAATTTATTGACAAAATATAAAATACAAGCTATCTACTCTACATTATAATTTTACACGTTTTAAATAAAATTAGAACGGCACTTCTTATAAGCCGAAATTTAAATCAGCCGGGAGTCCTAAATTTGTTCATATTGTCAAGGTGAAGGTATATGTAGCGCTAAAATGTGTTACTGGTTGCCTACACAACCGCAACGTGTCAAGAAAAATGGCGCATCCGCCAGAAAGTAAAAAACATTTTTATGCGCCATCTCTTAATCAAGTCGACAAGTAAGCGAATCAGACAATGGAATTGTCCAGTATGAAGTAGAACGCTCTCCGAGAATTGTAGAAGTTTCGAGAAGCAGTCAATAGAGTATATAAGCCGGCGTAACCGGTAGTTGGGACAATTTTTGAAGTTTGAACTATGGAGTCTAAAAGGAGGAGGCGAATCGAACGCAAAAATTTTGGGCCCAGATTTCATGATCTAAATGAAGTTCGAAGATCGCCGTTAGGGGCGCTTGTGATGATAGGGATACTAAAAATACACAGCTTCTTATGGCAAGAATAACTATTTTGTTATAAATTATAGAGCCAAGTTAATATACGGGCATATTTTTACCAGAGTTAACTTTTAGAAACGTGTTTTTTTCGAATTGAGCAATGTGCGTGGCTAAAATTGTGAATACAATACCTTAAATTTGAGTTTGAAAAGTTAGTTAGGTTATAACAGATGCCGGTTTTAGATATTCTTATCCTAAGTTGTTATTATAAAAATGTTTTATTATGGGGTTCTATTTAGTGCATACATGGCCGAAGAAAAATATAAGCTGCTAAAGTAAATGTTTCCTTCAACTGGTGTACAAAAAATATAGAAGTTCCAGCAACAAACGAATCACCAGTTCAACCTTTGATTTGATGTAAACAGTAATTGTTCCTTGATGAGAAATGTGAATTAAATAGTTTATGATGTGGGTGTGTTAGTGATTTATTAATAATTTTGCTGATGCAGTTTAAAGTTTCATAATTTTTCATGAAAACACTTGGAATGGACATGTTTACGTGCAGTTCATTGTGATACTGATAATAAACATTAAAAACTATTAAACTAGTAGTGGTTTTATGACAATTTTATTTATGTACATCAGCAAAGTTTTGCCAATTATGACTGTTTCACAGACATTTAAATTGAAGATGTATTATGTTCAATGTCACCTAACAATTGTGTTATAAATAATATGTATACATTTGATTTGATCTGTAATTAAAGTTCCTTCTGTTGATATCCACTTTACTATTAATACAAGTATGAGGTAGGTTTGTAAATAAAATAATAAGTCAAGGACTAACGTATGATCGAAAAAAACGGCGTCCAGTTGGCTGGGAAATGAACATCTTTGACATTCCCCATATAATTTTATATATAAAATGATCGCTGATGCCGTTTTTTCGATCATATTGTATGTATTCCTTCATATATTTATTTAGGCAGACAGTAGTATCTATGAGTAGTATCGACTGACTAGTGAGAAAGAAAATATAGGAACTAGTGAGGCTGCAGTCGGAAGGGTTTGGACTAGAATCAATACACTCTGTTAATGGTCAATCTTGCGGAATTTATTTATTCCATCCTCAGGACACTGAAATGGAAATACATGTTACAGAAAAAAGGCTATAAAAGTCGTCAAGTAGAAAGAACTTACTCAATGTGGTAAAAAACCTTCTCTAAAAACTACATTAAAAAATAGGCTTACAGGAAACATTGAAAGCATTAAAACATTAAATTTATTTATTTAGGAATATAAATACATAACTTTTATTTTGATTAATTGACTCGAATAGTGGAATAACTCCAAATAGCTAAATTTAATAAATGTAATATACACCTGAATATACAATAAAGAAATTATCTACTAATAGTAAAATAAATTATCTACCCTTATCTACTGATAGTTCCGTTTTGGTTCCGTCAACTAATTTTGTCTAAATAAGTGCATAAAACGCATCACTACTGCGAAGTATTTTGTCTGGGGAACTGCCCTTTGCCAATGCTGTAGCAAGTTAGGATGTCTTTCTTCTTTGTCGATGCTAGGATCCTAGTCATCCTAGTAAAAGAGATATACCTAATTATTAAATAAATTTAAAAAAATATTTTTCACTATTCGAGGTAGCTGTTATTTTAAAACTACATTTTTGAAGTGTAAATAATGTTTAATATTTACTTTCTAGACTATTCAAATATTTAATAGCAATGGTTGTTAATATACATTATTAATACCTACTTATTTAATAACAGGTAATTTAAACACCCAGTAGCACATATATAATAACATGTTAGTAGGTATTAAAGTATTAAATTATTATTATTTTAGACTCTCTAGGTTATGTCATGCAGATGTTCGATTTTGGGTTATATTCTCTATTAATATGATTTTTAAATAAATCTGTACACTGATAGTATATAATTTTAATGTTTTTCTTAACATCTATCATATTTTTTTTTAATTAAATAACCATATTACTTACATTCGGAGCTTTGAAAAGTTTTGGGTTACTTTTCTTTCTTCGCTTTTTTTTTTCATTGAAATATCCACTTCTACAGCCAACAAATTAACTATAATTTTAGCAAAAACAAACTTAAACCGTATAATATCAATGAAAATATAGTATCCCTATCGATCGCAGTGCCTCTACTGTCAAACCGAGGAACCTGCTTAAAAGTGGGGACAGAAATTTCAAATATGCCCATTGCCGATAAACCTCCTTTTTTAAGCCCTCCATAGTTTGAACATACCGCGCTTTAAATTATTACGAATCGGACAATTTGGTGAAGTAATTTTATAACTAGTTAGTTATTGTGTGTATAAAGTGAGATAATAAATTCGTTAAATATTTTATCGTGAGTTTAAATTAGTGGACCCACGGAATCCGTAACAATATGCTCCTTCCAATCTTTTTATTCAAAGTTTTTAGCATTAGATTTTTTCTATGAAATTTCTCTTGATCATAAAGCCTTTTAACCGTACGATACGTTTTGTTTTAATTATATCCCTTAATTTTTATTTTATATTTTTATTCTTTCTAGTTCTTGCAAAAGGAAGATATGTAATATTAAATAGCGAAAACGGTTCCTGTGAGTTAGAATTTGTCGAAAGAGGTGTTAGGAAATACCATTTCTAATTTGTTTTATAAAATTAACTATTAGTTCATAAATTGTTTCGTTGTTTTACGTTACTAATTTTTATTATAACATTATTAAATGTTATAACTGATTATATAGTTTATTGTTGTGTTTTGAGTTTCAAGTTTATAGATGTTACATTTTTTATCAGAAACTTTAAAAATTGTTTTAATTATAAATGCTTATAATTAGTTTTTAAATAATTATTCAAGGATTTTAATAATATGTTGCTGAAGTTAAACTAATGTAAATTTTTTAGTTATGTTTAATTAATATTAATTTAAAGAAACGATTAGTTTGTTTTAAATGCGACGAAAGTTACTTATTTTTTATGTAATAACAATTTCGTAGATTAAATAAATTTATTTTACTTCATTTTTTTAATATACCTACCTTAACGCACAGACCTTGTTAGTCTGTGCTTAAAGTCATGCATTGATAAACAATATACAGGGTCCGGCAATAGTGCGTCGGGTATCTGTAGCTCCTAGAATAAAAAAAAAGTTGGGAATTTTTTTTAAGTGCAAACCTAAAGTATGTACGAGGACGTATTTCAAGAAAATATTTCAACTTCTATAGGATGGCTCAAAAAGTGTCAGTGGATCGAAATGCTTGTTTTTAATGGAACACCCTGTAGAGTATGGCATTTTTCGCTTCCTTTCAGATCACTTTAAATAATCTTAAGATATGAGTAAATATATTTCGATAATTTCAGAGATTAATAAATAAATAAAAAATATATACAGGGTGTTTCAAAACAAATGATAAGATTTTTCTTTAAATTTCGTTAACAAGAATGATAGGGGTAGTTTATTTCAACCCCTTCCACTCATTTTAAAAAAGTAAAAAAATTTCCTGAAAGTGTGTTTTCATAACAGTAATGCTTCCATAAAATTCCATTAGTCTATCTCTTTTCGTTTTCAAGATAAAAAATAAAAACATTATTTTTCCGCCATCTTTGTACCGCGATATCTCCCTAATGGTTGACTTTTGACCCAACGTTTATAAAGCAAACTACCCTTTATTTTGAACAAGGAATCACTCCCTAAAGTTTTTCGCATTTGTTTTGAAACACCCTGTATATATTTCAACCTTCCTTAAAAAAATATTACAAATACAAAAACTTTCCTGAAATCAAAACTATATTAGGTATTTACTTTAGATGATTTGGTCCATACACTTTGCTATAAATATCATAATCTTAAATCATACAGGAAGTTCAAAATTCTACGCTAAACTTTCTACAATATAAAATATTTTTTCTTTGTTTTTTTTTAATGGAACACCCTCTATATTATTTTTTATTAGATGGAGAGTTAAAAAATTAACATTTTTTGTATGTATTTAAAGTATTTCCAAATTTTTAATGGTTTCGCAGATACACGCAGTATTATTTCATATTATGGTAAACTACTTTCAACGGTTTGGCTTGGGTAAAATAGGTTTAGTTTGGGTAAATACGAGAGAAAATCATTGGGTGACTTTGATAAAAATTTACTGTGGAAAATGCCATATGAAATATAAAACCGCGAATATCTGCAAAACCGTTAACATTTTTGAAATACTCTAAATACAAAAAATATTCATTTTTTAATCATCCATCATCTATTGAAAGAATAACATACAGGATGTTCCATATAAAGAAAAACTTATAAAGAAAAATTATTTTGTATTTTTTAGTATTTTGAACATCCTGTATGATTTACGATTTCCATATTTATAGCAAGATATAAACCTAATATAGTTTTGATTTTAGGACAGTTCTCGTATTTTTAATATTTTTTTAAGAAAGGCTTTAAATGCATATTTTTTATTTATTTATTAATATCTCTCAAATTATCGCAACATATAATATCATATCTTCGGATTGTATAAAATGTTCTGAAAGGAAGCCAAAAAAATGCAATAATATACAGGGTGTTCCATTTAAAAAAAATCATCCCGATCCACTCACACTTTTTTGCGCCACCCTATAGAAGTTAAAATATTTTCCCATACTTTAGGTTTGCACTTAAATAAAATTCCGAAGTTTTTTTTATTCTAGGAGCTATAGATGCCCGACGCACTATTGCTGGACCCTGTATATACTGAAACGTCATAACCTCTGGTCATAACCGTCATAACTAAAAAGTTTTATAAAAAAGTCTTTCCATTGAGTCAGGAAAGATTTCGAGAGACATCTGAAAAATGACAGTAAATACAATTTATCTGTGTGATTCGTTGGACAGGCTATAAAGGGCTATACGCTATAATGGATATTTAGAGTTACCAGATAGGTCATCATGAAAAAGAGTACCTACATCGGGTAGTTTTGGTGAGGCATCACGCCAAACTCAAAAAAAATCATACGAAACACTTGGGTCCTTACTAGTAAATTTGATTAGCTATAACATAACAGTATTTATTAGCTATAAAATACAGAACAACAAGTAGGTACTACAAAGTAAAACAAAAACTAGACTAATTATTATGGTATTTTGCATTACCACGAATTTTACCCAAAAAAGCTCTTTGACCTTTGCAATGCTTTGAAAAATCGACACAACTGGTGTCTTTAAAATTAAACTGTACCATTAAAACACTTTTAATGGAAGACAGTAAAAAGCGATTTCGTTCATCGGTCCATTGCGCTCTCATCACAGGCTCTCATGAAACTAAAAATTCTTTATAAATTAGCATTGTGTGCAGGTATCGCATAAAAAAAGGTCATATTTTTGAGAAAACGTGGTTGCCTATTCTAAAGTTTATGAGAGTAAAAATAAAGAATAATTCATAGCTCAGTTTAAAAAAGAGAACATTTTAACGAATTTTAAAAAAAGTAAGAGTACAGAAATGTGTACCCTTGAAAAGAGAACATGTACTCTTAAAAGAGTACGGATGGTAATCCTATGGATATGATATTGACATTTGATAATCTGTGATTTGATAATACCGTATGATCGAATAAAAACGGCGTCAGCGATGGCTATGAAATGAAGATCGCTGTCATTTTATATGTAAAATTATATGGGAAATGTCATCGATCGTCATTTCCAAGCCAACTGGACGCCATTTTTTTTTCGATCGTACGGTATAAAGATAAATATCTATAATCTGTTCAGTAATAAGAGAATCTAACAAACGACATCGAAAAAATTACAGAAAAAATACTTTAATAAAAATCGCAGAGAGAAAATATTCAATGAAAACAACAGATGGACTGCTACTATCATGTCATTTCGCTGGACAGCCTATGTCAGTTTTTATTGACTCTCACAATAAGGAATTACGATACCGGAGCGTTACAGGAAATAACGCTCCAAAATAAAATAAAATGCGATACATCCCTACTGTCAAGGTTAACTATGGTCGATATTTGTCTATGGTCGCTGCGAAACAGTAAACAAAAATGTTTAAGTGAAACTGAGTCGGTTAAAATCGATTTATTGAATCTCCCAGAGTAACAACAAATCATTTATTACAAATACAAATTTAGAACAAGGGCATGAGCTGTCTGGAAGATGGATACAAGAACACAGAAATTAGAACAGCAGGTAAGTTTCCTTATTCACTGCTTTTCTCCTTTGATCAATGGAAGACTAGGTGTAAACTGAATATCCTTTTTAGAGACATATTTTAGAACAGAATATGAGACGCAAAAGGCTTACATCAGGTATGGTTCAAGCATCAGATGCACGAAACAATTCTGGGAGAAGCCGAGGTAGTAGTAGTACCAGTTCTGAACTGCATTGTAAGTACCTACTTTGCTAGGGGTAACAAAAGCCAACTAAAATTGAGACTCATTATATTGAGCCAAGTATTAATAATGTATTTTTGTTATTTATTTAGTGAACAAATAAATGCTTATGATACCTATTTACCAATTACAGAATTAGCCAGTGTTTCAAAATACCTATGAATCAATTTTTCTATTAGATATTCATTTCATATTAAGAGATTCTATTCATATCAAATAAACTTTTAGTCAAGTCTTAGTGATTAAGCTTGACCAGCACAGCTTTGCCCACTTTTACATATTTTCTTTTAGTCAAAATATTTTAGGAAACAAATATCAGCAGCAAAAATTGAGTATTAGTTTGAGATGTCTATTAATTTCACAATGAATTTTTTACTAGGTTATTTAAAAACGTCTAGTTAGTTTAAAAACATATCTAAATCACCTTATATTCTTGTGAGTAATTATAAAGGAATCATTAACAATAGTAATTGAAGGGTCCAAGGGAAATACTTGATAAGCGCCAATTTCTTAATTTTAAGATTTTACAATATTATAGTAGCTCTGACATAAACTCTGTAGGGCAATAAGTTGTTAAATCTTGTGATATATGCCTATTAAAAATATAGATTACACGGAAAGAACCTGATAACCACCAGGCGTCCAGTGCTCTCTTGTAAAATTACTAAATGATGCTTATCATGTTTTGAACCCTTCAATTGAACCCCTTCACCCCTGAACCCTTCAATTTTTATACTATTTTTTTTATTCTTCTAGGCTATGATGGACCATTGCAATATGCAATGAACCAAGATAACAATCCAGATCAAATTATTACCCTTAAATCTAGTATTGATAGCATTGATGGTAGGCTTGTACTCTAATTTTATACTTTTTTACTTCATTATTAATGATTTTTTAATTATTTAGGTAATCTGGAGTCTGATTTAATGATGAACAATGTGGCAGGTAATGACTTACTTGATATTGAAGATGAAGAATCATCACCTGTAACTGCAACGAATGATATTGATAATCAGCCTGATGATATGAATGCCAATAGTGAATTTTCAGGTTCAGAGGGTAGCAAAGTAAGTTACCTACAGTTTATACCAAACCAAATAAACTTTTAATCACGTGATTAAGCTTGACCGGCACAGTGTTGCCCACTTTTATATATTTTCTTTTAATCAAAATATTTTAGGAAACAAAAATAAATTAATTACAAATATATAAACAGTTATTATTTACATGAACAAAACTCATCTTAATAGCACTTAAGGGACATAAAGGGCCATTACTACCGTTTTCCCGTTCCAAATGTTCTAATAAAGTTGCGAACAGTTTTTTTGCGGCTATTAAGCTATGTTGTACACTTCACACTAAAAGATGTTCTAAAAAGAACAATGCTAGTAAACATTTTTAAGCTTAAAGTATCACAACACTATTTATTTAAACCTAAAACTCATACAAAACTAAAGTGTCAAAATATATGACAATGTCAGGAAATAAATAAATAAACGGCAACTTGACATTTTTTGCAGCAGAGCTACCACCTGAATCCCCAGAGCGAAATTTAAATTCCAGTTAGTCAGTCCAGCGCCGAATATGTCCATGTTTGGCAACAATGAATTTAAAAATCGCGCCTTCGATTACGTAACTAAAAGTTTTAATTGTTATCAAATATACTAATATAACATTAATTTATGCACACTTGTTGAGAGAATGATGGCAATTATTAATTCAGGGAAAGGTAAACTAATATTTAAAAAAATCAATATACATGGTAATTTACATATATTCAGTAGCTGGCATATCAGTTATCACTGATATGCCAGCACTGACGGGCGGATACAGGAATTTTTTTTAGGGGGGGGGGCAAATAAAAAGTAATGTAGAATATGCCTTTTTACATCAATTTTTAACTCAATATCCTAATATTTAACACAAATTATAGATTTTAGGGGGGGGGGGCAGAGCCTTAAGGCCCCCCCTCTGTATCCGCCACTGAGCACTGATATGGTATACTTTTCTTCAGTAGTAGTTTATTTTATTTTACTAAAGAAAAAAAATTGCAACAGGAAATTAATATATTTAAAATTTTAATGGCAAATGATTAACTTCAAAATACATATTATGAAAAAAAGTATATAAAACTTAAATAATCTAATCGAGTTATTATATTAAAAAAACGGTATATGTTAATAGAAAACAAACAAGGGTGTATGTTAAACAAAACACCACATACAAAAAACCTATAAAAAAATTCACAGCTCTCGCACCTTACGCAAGCATCATATGTATTGAAAATACCTGACACATTTAAGTTTTCATTTGTTCCTATGCAATGTGAGTTAGTCTCTCCCAATATAACAAATTAATTACGTGCTATACTATGTTTATGTTTATTTACATCTTTTCCAATATAACAAATAAATAATGATTTTTATTAACAATGTAAAGTGACCTTCAGATGCGATAGCGATCCGATACAAATATTGTTGTATTCTGCAATAATAAATTCCTATTTTTGTTTTTGCTCGGATTTTTGAGTATTTTAGTATCTATACTTATATCAAGGCTTTTATATACATATTGTTAACTGGACGGTTACTTATTGGGGAACAGAATGGCAACATGTAACTGTGACATTTTTCTGCGTTCGATATACAACTTTTACTTTGTTTATTTTCTGAATTTTCTGATTTCTTTTGTGACACTAACGAATATACAGGGTAAGTCTTAAATAACTGCAAATATTTTGAGGATATAAGTTAAATATTTCTCAATAAAAGAAACATATTTTCTCTTTACCGGTTTTCAAATCAAATAAGTCCAAAATAACCGAGTAATTTTACTTTTTATGGGTTTAGACTTTTGACAGTTTAAAAAATTCTCATGAAATTTCCTACAAAATGATTTTTTGTTATCGCCCAAAGCACGCTTGATCCTATCGTTTTATCGTTGTCGATATGTCTAAATCATATACGATGTCGCACAAAATTTTAACATGTAAGACAATATTAGTCCGAGAAGTTTTATTGCGTATTTTATCATTATCTACCATTTTCAAATAAATCTTTGGGATATCTCTAATTGTTATTAAGCCTACTCTAATTTATTTACAGGCGGTATTTGCCGGTAGTTTAGAGATAGAAGGCGACATACCAAACGACGACATTGCTTCGTTCGTACTGGAACCCGCACAACCGAAAGTTCTCTTTCGATGTCGTATAGCGAGAGACAGAAGGGGAGTGGACAGAGGTTTATTTCCGACTTATTTTTTGCAATTGGAAAGGCCGAGAGGTAGGAAAGCTTTATTGCTGGCGGCTCGCAAGCGGAAGAAGGTATGTATATACAGCGCATGCCGAAAATTTTAAAACTTTTTTCAATAATTGAAGAACAAAAAAATCGTTTCGAATTTTTTAGCACACCGTGTATAATACTTCGTTTCTAATAAGTGAATATCCCTGTATCTTTAAATAAAAGATTTAAAGAAGGAGTCTATTACTATTTTGTGTTACTTGCATTACAAACGGAATCGACACCATAACATCCCATTTTTGACAGTTCTGTTTGAAACTATTTGACGTTTCAGTTGACATTGTGGATTTTTTGGTCTTTTTTGGGTTTATTTTATGTTATTTCTTGTTTATTCTATATTTGGTTTCATGTAAAGTGTACAAATTTTGAAAAACATTGTATCAGTGTGTCAGTGTCATTACAGTGAGGTTATTGTGAATCTTAGAAAGATGCTTCTAATATAGTTACAGTAGACTCTCGATTATCCGACTCACCATTTTCCGATCGCTGGATTACGCTTAATTTTCATCCATCCGTTATCCAACGATGATACAATATTAATTTTATTAGTTGAAGTTAAAGACTTCAATTGGTTAGAAAATTTCGCAGTTTTTAAATTTATTGCATTTTCATGCCTCCGTTCATCGGATATACGATTTGCTTGTGATTGGTGTCAATTTACATTTTCGTTTCCATAACGATTTCGCTGTTTTACATACAGTCTCGTTTATAGTCTAAGAGAGCTAGCAACGTTTTCGAGAGAGAATTTTAAGAAAGCTGATTCTTTAATATCTTTTGCTATGCTCTCCTGAACAGAGTGCGGACCGTCTGGCTACCGGTAGACGTTACGTTTACTACTGCGCATCATATCTGTATTCAAGATCTGTTCACTACTGCGCATCACAAATTCGTCCTCTATTTCAGGAACTAAGGAAGCTAGGACAAACATTTGTGCAGCATATTTAGTTTCATAAAAAAGTAGCAAAGTAATGTGAAAATCGCATTATTGTATCTCTACTCATAAACGAGTAATCCCATAAAACACACCGAAATGGGATACCCTGTACAGATGTGATGCGCAGTAGTGAACCGCAGTAGTCTACCGGTAGCCAGACGATCCGCACCACGGCATATAAATCACACGGCAGGCTAACTCTCTTTGGCGGGAACGCTACGCGCATACCGTCGCGCACGCCGCCATTAGGGTTTCCATCAACAGAAAGTAACCAGTGTCGTAGTTTCTTTCATCGACTGCGCACACTTTCGGCTGATTCGAGTCAGTAGCGTTCGGATTAATTTAATTTGTTTATTTCTTGAGTTATATTTTATAGTTGTTGTTTTATTTTTGTTTATTGTGTTATATATTTGGTTTTTCTAGTTTATTTTCGTTTCTTGTGTTATATAATTTATTTTTGTTTTTCTGAACATTTTTAAATCGTTAATTTTTACGTGTTTTTAAAATGCCTGGGCGAAGTTGTGCAGCAAAAAACTGCCCGAGTAGAGGACTAAACTGCAATAAAAGTTTCTTTCTGTTTCCTAGAGATCCGATTAGGTATGTATATACATATGTGATTAATTATTTTAACATATTTTAGTTAAAAAAACAGTAGTATACATATTAGGACATTCAGCTAAATAGAAAGATCTAATTAAAAATATACAAGTTCAGCATCTATATTAAATGTTAACAAACTTATATATAGGATGAGTCTTAAATAAGTGCAAATATTTTCAGGGCTGGCAGATCTCGATAAAAGAAACATATTTTCTCCTTACTTTTTCAGATAAATCCAAAATAACCGAGTTATTTAAGTTTAAAAAAAAATTTTTTTTTAAATGTTGAGTTGAGAGCCACCGAATTTTTCTGTATTTGCATCCCTTTTAGTGCCGCAACCATAGAGTAAAGCCGTAACTATGGTAATATCAGAGATTAAGAAATTATACCGTGGGAAAATTTGCGGTGAACAGGCAGTTCTAAAAAGTTTTCGAAAAATATACAGGGAAGTTAAAAGAAAATGCACGATTTTCAATATCTTTTTTTAGCGAAAAAAAACTCATAAACGTGTTCCTGGGGTCGAAATATACCACCCCTGAAAATATTTGCACTTATTCAAGACTCACCCTATATGTATATAAAATATTAGCAAGATTAAAATGTTAAATATTTAGTAAAATTTAATGTTGTATCTAGACATTCAACATTAAATTTAAAAATAATTATATTATTAATTTAAATAAAATTATAAAAATAAATAAAATGAGTATATCGAAAATAACAATAGATTAGTAACAAGTTAACAATACATTTTTAGGGCAAGAACATGGGCAATTGCAGCTAACGGAGAAGACTTGATTGAAGATATAAATAAGGCCCACAAGTACAGGTTGTGTTCTGTTCACTTTGAATTTAAAATGTTTACCAATTCACTTTGTAACCGTATACAATACAATACGGTACCTACTTTGTTTCCTGCCATGAAAAAAATAGAAGTTTCTCAAAAAAATTGTGGATTTATTAATTTGTGAAATTTGAATATTAATAAAATTTGCTACGCCCATTGATGGGCATAATTTGTACGTAGCCTCTTTATATTGTTCAATAAATATTTTATTGGTATTTTTTTAATTCTTGTTTGTAACTCCTGGCATGTTTTTGTTAGTTGCATGTTTTTTAATTTTAATTGTCTATTCTCTACAGTGAAATATTTAATTGATTTTTTCATTTTTACTTTTCAAGAAGTATGCGCGGTTAACGATTCATTTGTTTGGACAAAAGTATTGTAAATAAAATTCAGTTTCAGTCAATTACGGTATTTTTTTAATACGACCCTGTCGTGTTTTCTGAGAAATTTTTTAATACGTTTTAATCCGGCCCTGACTAGGAAACCATAATGGCGCCGACAAGGTCAAATTTTATAGAAATTTTAAACAATGGAATCTGAGTAGAGTTGGCGTGCCGATTGTTTTATGTGCCGTGATCCGCACTTTGGTCAGCAGAGCACAGGAGAGCATAGCAAAAGATATATTAAAGAACCAGCTTTCTTAAAATTCTCGTTTTCCCGACGTTACTAGCTCTTGTTCTATTATATTTTTATTAATGTCAGGTTAAATTTGCAAAAAAAGTGTCAAAACGTCCGTTATCGTACGATCTTTCTCCGTTGACGGGCTGGAGTAAAAAAATTACAGATGTAAAGTGGCACGAAAACGCTATGACCAATCAGAGCGCCGTCGGATCATCGTATCAATGGATAAAGCTTGATTTTCATGCATCCGTTGTCCGACGATACGTTGATACGATATTAATTTCATTGGTTGTATTTAAAGGCTTCGATTGGTTAACCGTTTCTAACCAATCGAAGTCTTTAAATTCAACCAATAAAGCTTAAAGCTTGATTTTCATGCATCCGTTGTCCGACGATACGTTGATACGATATTAATTTTATTGGTAGAAGTTAAACACTTTGATTGGTTAGAAAATAACGCAGTTTTTAAATTTATTGCATTTTCATGCCTCCGTTTATCGGATATACGTTGGTGTCATTTTATATTTAATATATAATAATTAATAAAAAAACAGAATTAAAAAATTCTGTATTATCCGAGCCGCCAATTCTCCAAGCTAGGGTACAATCCACATTAGCTCAGATAATCGAGAGTCTACTGAATTTCTATGACGTGTGATATGGTTTTGGTTAGGTTAGGTTTTGATGATAAATCGAAATTTAAGTCAATCATATTAATACTCCAATTCGCGTTAGCGAGAGTTTTGTTGATATGCTAGTTTATTAGGTTTATTGATATGCTTAGCTTAGGCTTCCTATTTAAAGCCCTTTATAGTAGTTCGTGAAAATAATGTTAAATTTAAATTGATAATAATCAGATATCCACATGTTTGAAACGTCGTGTCGTTATAAAGATTTAATAGAAACAGTGCTAAATGATTTTCCTATGAAAACAAAAATGTCGTTTCAAAGAGTTAGTTATTATCACAAATATCTTCTGGTTTATATAAAAAAAATTGTATTTTTAGAGTGCTACTAGTCATTACGTCATTAGTGCAGATCCAACGGATCTGTCCAGGCGCGGCACAGGAATTGTGGGCAAGCTACGGAGCAATGCTTTAGGCACTCGTTTCCAAGCTTGGGCCGGAAAAAGCAACGGGAATACTAAACCTGAGTCTGGAGACGAGTCTGACAGTCATATTAAAGAGGAATTGGCTGCAGTTTTATATGATGCCAACGTTCTAGGTTTTAAGGTAAGTAATAATAATTGTTTTAATTTTAAACAATACATATTTAATTATAAATTAGCAGTTTTGCATTTTTTCAAATTTTGTTTTATTGAAGAATGTTATATTTTGAAATTTTTATTTAATTTTAATGAAAAAAATAGGCTAATCAGTAACGTTGTCTCTATGTATGCTTTTAATGATTTATCAATGTCTCATCTACAGTATACAGTTTGGTTTCGAACGTTTGGTCTTACAACAGCAAACTAAAACACTAATTTACTACAATACATAGAAACACTTCACATGCGTTTCGCTAACCACCAGAAGATGTTTTAATTAACAGCAGAAGTTTTAAATATTTTTTTAAACTAACTTTAGTCATATCATTAAACTAGTTTTAGTGATCTGCTGATGAGGCTAATGCGTTTGGAGAGACGCGCATCTTGTGTTAAAAGGTAAAGTGTTTTGGTGTAGTGTGTTCAACGAGTGTTTTATTTTGCTGTTCATCTACAGTGATGATTGATCGGCGCCAAAACTCGAATTTACTCTACCTATAATGCCCAACAGAGTGTTGAAAATGTACATTTGAATACATTTTTTATCCCAAATGATCAAACGCTGCATCTAACGAGCAGACAGTTTTCTATTGCTCAAATCTTGATTGAGTACACGAGAAACACATTCTTTAGACTTTATCATTTATTTCTGCTATCTGTCTTACTTTAATTCGGCTGTTATATAGAACCATTTGGTGTAGTTAACATAAAATATCTTCCATTAATTTAAATATCTGATGCTATACAAGCGTCATAAAACTACAAAGAATGAACTACAAAACATTTTTTTTTAGTAGACTCGAATCCACATGTTGTAAATGACTTAATATGTGGCTTCCAACTTTTTTTTGATTTGCGTAGGTGTATTTTCTCTCAAAACAACTATTTGATGACTGCTGGATTCTCGATTTTCTCCATTTTCATCATAACCTTTACATCGACTCTATTAAGCGAGTGTCAAATAGCTATATAGCTTCGAAAATGGCTAAAATTCAAATGATGCGCAAACAAATTGCACAGATTTTGTTGCATGAGTTGTCCTATAACATTGTGATGTCAGAAATTTTTCATACTACCCTATTTTCACCTTGTAGTGTGTTCAACTAGTATTTTCATAACCTAACCAACCTACCTTCTACCTTGCTAGTTTCGTGAGGCTTGTGTACCTTAAGATATTGTTGAATTACTACAGAAAATTTTAACATTGCGATGACGTGTACCCTTAGGGTCCACGTCGTATGACGGTTTTAGTTCCTGCATTGGGCGACGGTAGGAGGGCAGGCCCGGACGAGCCCTTGGTGGAGGCGTGGCGTTCTGGACGAACCGATCGTCTCGTTTTATTAAGAAATAAAACTCCGGTATGGAACGACGATACTCAGTCTTATGTATTAAATTTCCATGGACGAGTTACACAGGTAATATATTTTATTAATTTTAAAGTCTGTTAAGAAAATTTAAGATCATTTAGAACAAAAAGAACAAATAGGTATTCAGAACACATTTTCCTTTTATCTGGGCGTATTTATATTGCAGAGTTACACTACATACTGCAATTTGCAGATTAAAGGTTGATTCTCATATACCTTCCGTTTCCATGCCATATCCGTTCCATATTTTTTTATTGTATTGACGCTATACGTAAGCTTCCGTTCCGTATCAGTTCCATACTTTTTATTGTACAATTTATATCATTACGAAAGTTTTATTTTAAAAAATTGTATCTTGTACTGAAAAAGGTAATACATTTAATTAAGAGGTGAAAGAATGAATAAATATATAGTATATCTATTCTATTAGTGACTCTCTGGTATCCGTGCTTTGTAGTGCTGACAAAATCGGTAGTATTTATTTGACTTGTAATATGTAAGTAACTCTTTTTGTTTCTTATTTTTGATTATACATAGTGAACTTATTATGTAACTGCTAGAGTTTAGTCTACGCAACAAATTTTCTTTTTTTCTATTATTTTTTATTAATTTTTACAAATATTATTCCCACGCACAAGCACTCAAGCTTATGCGGAATAATTTTGAATATATGTTTATAAGTTATTATAATAATTGTACATATTTATAAATAAATGAAATGAAATAAATACAATAAATAAAAACATTGTTGCATATTTTTCATTTTTTTAAAAAAAAGTTAATATAAAGATGATACATACAAAAAAAAATATCAGCAAAATTTTAACAAAGCTGGTACAAATTAAGAACTTGACAACGCTGTTTCCGATACGCTTCAGTCCGTCCGTCAAAAAATGTATGGACTTAAAGGATATGGAACGGAAGAGAAACGGAACGGATAGTGTGCATTGTCCTGTTCATTACATGATATAATATTTTACGTAAACGGAAGCGAGCTGATATGGATGGTATAGTGAGAATCAACCTTTAAACGGCAAATCAGTAGCTACATATACAGGGTGCTCCAGAAATAAGTGCAGATATTTTAAGGGGTGGTAGATCTAGCCAAAAGAAACATCTTTTTCTTTACTTTGATTTTTAAATGGCACCCTCGCTATTTTTTTACTTTATTCGATAGAAAATGACATTCTGAATAGAATGACATATCATATGTGAACTTTTGACATTCTCGCTTATTAAAAAATCGTATTTTAAGTTTCAATCTAGAGTGCCGTGGCTATGTTAAAAACACTAATTCTTAATCAAGGAGCCTTGAAAAAATAGATTTGATCGTCTAATGTTTTTAGTGTCTCGTCCTGGCTGTTAAAAGATGGCCAAATCGTATTTTTAATCATATCTCAATTTTTTCAAATGGAACGAGGGTGGCTCGTTAGCATATTTAGAAAAAGCATTTTTTACGAATAATTTGATACCACACACTTGGTATTTCGAGTCAAATTTTCGTTATGAACCGCAAGTTATAATTTGAAATAAGCCATATGCGAGAATGTCAAAAGTAGACATATAATATGTCATTCTATTCAGAGTGAACTATCGAGTAAAGTAAAAACTTATCGAGGGTGTCATTTAAAAATCAAAAGTTGTAGTCATTTCCGGTGAAACCGGAAGTGATCAAAAACATTTGAATACGCCAATCAATCCTAATTTATGTCATATACTAACATACCAAATCTCGTTTTTTTAACTCAACAAATAAAAAAGTTATAGGGGTGAGCAGCTTTTGAGTCGCACCCGGTATATAAAAATAGATGCAGTTTTTCTTAAATTACTTAAAATCGGCTTGTCCAAAATTGTTCAAATTTGACCTTTAAAAAACCTATTTACGATTTAGCTGTAAAATTAATAGTGGAGCCAATATTTGCACGGTTCAAAATTTGCACAATTTCTCTCGTCCTCCAGTATATTTGCAATCTCTAAGGACAATAGAATGTGAGTATATACATTTTTTTCTATATAATCCAAAAATAGCTGAAAACCGTATAGGCTACTGCTGCTATTTAGACTAAAAAATAAAGAATAACTTTATAAAATGTAAAAAAAAATGTTGATTCAACATTCTCGTTTATTGTACTTATACGTGCTTTTAAAAGAGAATGTTCGAGAACATTCACGAACGTTCCTTCGTCACGTAATGGGAACATCCTCTCTAATAAAACACTAGCTAACAATAGAACACTTTTTTTCGTTGGTTCAAGAATAAGGTTCATGTAGTCGATCGGATATTCAAATAACCGTTATATTTTCAGGCATCCGTGAAGAATTTTCAAATAGTTCACGACAGCGATCCCGAATACGTGGTCATGCAATTTGGCCGTATCGCTGACGATGCCTTTACCATGGACTACCGTTATCCTCTGTGTGCCCTTCAAGCGTTTGCAATTGCACTGAGTAGTTTCGATGGCAAACTGGCTTGCGAATAATGATAATTTTTGTGATAATTTCTTAAATTATTTTAGTTAGTTTATTAACAAACCAACGCTCTTTTAAAAATTTTAGTACAAATTAATGATTAGATTATTTTAAATCTATCATTTCGTGAGATCTGATTTAAAAAATCTCTCTTTTAAGTATGTAATTAGTTTTGTATATGTTTTCAGTATTATTTTTATGCATTTTAAGGTTGTCAATCAAAATCAGTATTTGTCACTAGTACATAAAATAATCAAAATACTTGCACTTTGGCTTGCAACTGTCACATTTTGTATATGAACTTAAAGTCGGCGTTATACAAGGTAAAACTTTAAATGTGTAAGTTCGTATTTTAACGTTTGTAACGTAAGATTGAATAACGAATTATTTTTAAAATAAAGTGTTTTACTTTGAAATTGTTTTTATTTATCTCTGAATTGTTTTGGTAAGTATTCGAACAGTTATATTTAAAAAATACTTATTTTGGCTGATTAAAACAGCAAAATTTTATTATAAAATATCATGCGATCTAAAAAAACAACACCGGAGACGGCTGGAGAGCTTAGTGTTAATTATTGACAAGTTTTATGTCAATTTTTAGTCAACGCGACGTCTCGAGATTGACCTCACCAAACACAAGTTTACAAATTCGGGTCAACTTTTGGACCCGAGCAGATGAGAACGATTCTTAACTAGTGATGGGCAAAACTGTTATTTTTAGATAACAGTTGAAACTGTTATAGTTATTTATAAAAAACAGCTTAAAATAACAGGTTTCTTTATTTTACTGCTAAATATCTGAAAGAGTATGAGGCGGTCACCGCCAGGCGTATTAACGCAGTTGCAAGTTGCAACAATGACGTGCTCGGTGGTAGTATTTCCAGGGTGTCAAAACATTTTTAAATATCGATTGTTATCTAAAATACCTCTCTAAAAACGGTGGTTGTTTACAAATAAGCGCTGTTTACAAATTCCGATATTAGTCGAGTAAAAACGATATAAAAATGTGTCAAAATATTTTTTGGAGGTATAACTACATGCTATCTATACAGGATAATCAGTTAGGGCTGTGTGCATGTGAAATCACTAATTACGACCTTTTTGGAGGGGTCAGAAATTTTTTATCCCGGAAAATGTCAAAAATCTTTCATAAATGTATAACCATGTTTTTTTACCTTTCCTATGCGATAACTCCTAAACTAATCAACTTATTCACATACCCTTTTTTTTAATCGATTGGGAACACATAGGCGGTGATAGCTGAGGTAATTAAAGTTCCATAATGAGGGTATTTTTTTTTGGAAAATGGATTAAACTTCAAACATTAACTTTATTGTATCATGGTTTTCGGTAAGCGAGAAACTTTTTTATTTGAAGGAATTTTTACATAGTATCTGCGTATGAAATAAAGAAAAAATATTGAAAAAGTTTTTAAAACATGTTAAAACCTTCTATTACTAATAGTTTTATAGTTATCCTAAATTAGATATATAGAATAGGCCGCGCGCGAGACCGATCGGCGCTCGGGCCTATATAACCGCCCCGAGAGTAGATTTTATTTAGTGGCACGGCGGACGCGAAGTTCCTTAAGCCTATTTCTGATTATGTGCATTGTACCTGCAGTTTGAAATTTAGTAAATTCTGTACGTTATAAATTATTTAGTTATGGACTGTTTAATTTGCAGAAAAACTATAAACGAAAATGATAAGTTTTTTATTAAAAATCCTACTATACGAGACCTAAAAACTATCATAAATGCTGCGGAAAAAAAGCAAGATGTCTATGTATTTATTAAAGTTTATAACCGCTTATGACCATCAAAAATCGTACATTTCTATTATTATTTATTAAAGTTTATTTTTATTAAGGTCGACTCTGACGACTCGTGTACTTGTACAAACATTTGATAGTGGGATATACTTGCCATGATGGTGTGAGTGGTTCCTCGTGCAATTATTTGTCACTCGCCGCGTAGCGTGAGCGTCAAGCTTGTTACAAAAAAATGTTGTTTACAAAAATAGTATACTTGCCAAGTACACGAGTCGTCAGAATCCGACTTTATATACTTTATTTTGTACGGAAAGCTTTCTGGATATTATGACGATTTATTTGCATATGATGCTAAATACCACAACGTTTGTTTATATAAATAATCCCAAATAAATCAAGGCTAAATTAACAACATTTTTAATTAAGAAAGCATACTATACATTGGATGAATTTTTCAGTGACTTTTTTTTTGGCATTTTTTGTAATATCTCTTCCCGCTTTTATTTTTTGTGAAAAAAATGTTGTGCTGTTTTCTTGGGTGCTTTTTTTTAAATAATTATAGTTTTTGTGTTATAGATAGCATTTATAGCATATGTCACATGTAGGTAGTTTAATTTCTAATTCTATGTTAAAATTACTTTTAGTAAAGTTTTACGCATTTTAATTGAAAGTATATTTATTTTTAGTAAATATTTATTTAATATTAAATGCGATATACATACCTATGCATATATTTTTATTCAACTGTAGTCATATAATGTAAGTATTATTGGTTTTTAGGCTTCAGTTAATTCAATTTTAACAATGTCCCATGCTTAATTAGGCTTTGTAACAATACTTATAGTTATAGTTAGAGATTCTTCATTAAAATCTATAACTTTGGATAGAAAAGTATCTAAAAAAAAGATTCGAAGAAGAGAAAAATCTAAAAAAGAATCTAGCATGGCAAGTAGTAAGTAATCCAGCATGACAAGTAAAGTAACTTTTTTAAACTGGACTGATTTTAACAACACTTTAGTTGACAACGAAATTTTTGTTTTCAAAATATTATACTTGCCATTTATAAACAATCCACCTACCGAAGATTTATTAGCTCAAACTTTAAAACAAAATATTTATAGAACAGCACACTTGGTCATTTATACAAAAGCTCTCGCGAATTTCTGACCCCGCCAAAAAGGTCGTAATTAGTCATTTCACATGCACAAAGCTCTAACCGATCATTTCATAACGAGTTTTTGTGGTTATACCTTAAAAATTTTTTTTTCGAGAAGGAAGCGACTTTTCTCAGTGATTTTACTCCACTATATAAAAAAAGCCAAAATTCCGCCACTCGTCTATACCTATACATTCCGATCTACCTACGCCCTGCCCCTCGATCCGCGTAGGTCCTGAATTGCGTAACAGTGTACAGGGTGCATCTGACTCGACGGGCGAGAAGCTCTTAGTTATGATTTTACCATTTACGGTCAAAAAATAGCAATATAAGAAAATGTGTAGTATATTCTTCATAAGTAAACCAACTACACACTAGAGTTCGAATTCATTTTACAGTTAAACTAGCGTGTACCCGCGACTTCGTTCGCGTCGAATTAATAATTTCTAATGGTGATGATAAAGCAAAACAAGAATTTCCATTGACATACAAACTGGATAAAATTTTCTCACATTTGCCAAAAATAAGCTTTAAACGTCGAGCAGTTTAAGCAGAATCGTGGTTAATCAATTACTCAACTTTTTGGAACACCCTGTATGATTTTTTAAAAAATTTCAAAATATGTAAAAGAACAAAATAAATTATGCGTGTCCAGGCGTTTTCCCGAAAGACTAACCGTTTTTTAAATAACAAATATTGTAATATTTGAGGGGCGTTTTCACCCTGTTGGAATTTGAGATTCGAGAAACCCTTCCTTATCGAACCTCAACCCCACAGTCAATCCGTTTGACAAAAATCAGCTTTAAACGTCAAGCAGTTTAAGGAGAATAGTGATTTCTCGATGGTCATATTTTATGAAACACCCTGTATATATTTTTAAAAAATCTTAAAATATGTAAAACAACATAATAAAATATACGTGTTTTAAGAGTTTTCCGAAAAACTCACCGGTTTTTAAATAAAAAATATTCTAATATTTGAGGGTAGTTTCACCCCCTTAGAATTCGAGTTTCGAAAAAACCCTTTTTATCGAACCTCTACACCCTAAAGTAAATCCGTTTTCCAAAAATCAGCTTTTTACGTCACGGGTTTTAAGCAGGATCGTGATTAATCAATGACCAGATTTTTAAAAACACCCTGTATACATTTTTAAAAAATCTTAAAATATTATTCTGAAAATTTTTCAGAATAAATAAATACCTAAATATTGAAACTTAATAAGTAAGTACTGAAACATACAGCGCCATAATATCTCGACCTCCGCCCGTTATGCTCGTAACAGGTTGAAAAACAATGTATCTAAAACAACTGATGCGTTATTCTCCAATCTGTTTCGAACCTCCATCGACAATCGACCAATGCAGTAGCGTTCCTTTCCCGCTCCGATTATCTCGACCGCCGCCTTGTTATGCTCGTAACAGGTTGAAAAATAACGTATCTAAAATGACTGCTTCTCCAACCCGTTGCGAGCCTCCATCGACAATGGACCGATGCAGCAGCGTTCCTTTCCCACTCCTGTTATCTCGGCCGCCAGGCGTTATGCCCGCAACTGTTTCAAATAACGTGCTTCTTTTATATCCTATTATTTTTAAGCTGTTGTAAGCCCGATACGACCATCAACGGCATCGACCGAAGCAGCTACGTTCGCCGTAGCGCATTCCCCACTCCGTTGTCTCGCCGCCTGTATCGATGGTTGACGAAATAACATGTTTTCCATCCATACTAGTTGTTTTTTGGAATTGCTTCGAGCAGCATAAAATTTCGTAGCGGTGCAGAGCGCCGACTTCGTTTTTCGTTTCACGAGCGGCCGATCTCTACGTGTTGTTATTTTATATCTGTTATTTTTTAGAAGTAGTAACGGTTGCGTTATGTTATTTATAAATAATTGTTATAAAATAACAGATAGTTAAATAACAACCCATCACTATTCTTAACGTTATTTGTTGCCTTGAACTCAAATCTTCAATCCGTTTGTCAAGATTGGCTCTAGTTTTCGTGTTCGCGCATGGCAGTACCACTGCGATCTTATAACGGGTAGTTGACGCACGGTCAGTTGACGACGTTGCATTCAACAACATTTGGATTTGTATTATGATTGTGCTGCGGAACGTGTGAAAATGCAGAGAGAACGTTGCAAAGTCGATTCAAAGCCTCAATCGCGAAGGACCGACTTTCCAGTACATAACCAAGTTGTTTCCAAAACTGTCATACGCAAAAATCAAAGAAGGAATATTTGTCGGACCTGATATTCGAAAACTAATATCTGACACAACGTTTACAAAATGTTTAACGCTTGATGAGGCAGCAGCATGGGCATCATTTCAAAGTGTTGTTCACAACTTTCTCGGTAATCATGAATCACCGGATTACAAGCAAGTAATCGACAATTTGTTGCAAAATTACCACAAGATTGGAGCTCGAATGTCTCTCAAGACATATTTTCTGCATTCACATCTTGATTTTTTTCCACAAAACTTGGGCGACACGAGCGACGAGCAAGGAGAGCGGCTACACCAAGATATACCGAAAATCGAAAGGCGATACCAAGGATTTTGGGACGAAGGCATGATGAGCGATTACTGTTGGGCCCTAATCCGTGAAACAGATCCCAAGCAGTATAAAAGACTCAGTTCAACCTCTGTTCATTTCTGATTTATATTGTTTAATAAAATAAATTACCGTTAACGGTAAAAAATAGTAAAATAATGAATTTATTGAATATTTCGAAAACTAGAAGAATCTTAAAAAATGGACTGCTGATTTGGATACAGCCTCAAAAATTATCTTAGAAATTGCTTTTAGTTGCTCAGGTCCAAAACCGTGTATGCTTGTGAAATTATCATTCCCTAACCGTGTTTGACGCCGTTTTTTTATCATACAGTATTTAAAACATACTTATTATAGGTAATTAAAAAAGCGTAATTTAAGTGTAAAATAGTACCTACCGTATGATCGAAAAAAAAACGGCGTCAGCGATGGCTATGAAACAAAAATCGCTGTCATTTTATTTGGCAAATGTCATCGATCGTTATTTCCCAGCCAACTGGACGCCATTTTTTTCGATCATACGGTATTTATCGGTAAATGAATATCTAGGATTATAGAAATAATTATATAGAAAAATATCAGTCCTTGAAAAAGCTAGCTGCAAGAGCGCTGAAGTCCTGATTACTAAATCCCGCTTAAGATGGGCTGGTCACATACGCAGGATGCAAGAACACCGCCTACCGAAATATCTTCTCTCATCGTAGAGATGAGCTTGTTGACGGTAAGAGGAAACCGGGTGATAACTCAAAAGGTACAAGTATATTTTTCATGAAAACTTTAAGGGTGTAAGTATGCAGAATCCGTGGGAGAAAGCAGCGCAGAATAGAACGCAATGGAGAATTGTAAACTCAGGGAGATAACACCACGTATTGGGCTTTTCAGTTACAGAAAAGCTCTTGAAAGAAAACACCTTGCGTAACCATCTTCTGATGCGTGTCAAATACTCGTCAGCGAGCAATGGCAGTAGTAGTAGTATGATCCGGCAAAGAAAAACATTATTTTTTTGGATTGCCATCCAAAAGTTGACAACAAAATATACTTTAAAATTACATAATAAAAATTGTTAAAAATTATAGTTGATATATTAAGCAAAGAAAACAAATCCATTTTCATTGCAATAAATGGATAAAAAAGTTTATAATATAGCTAAAAATATTTATTCACCATAATAGTTTAACCTTTATATTAGATTCGCGATAAATATAAATTTTAAATTCGCCTGTTTCTTTTCTGTCTAATTTGAATCGATAAATAAATTTATAACGACAAAAAATGGGGGTATTGATTACGTTAGGAATGTTGGTCGATAGGGTTGCTAAGGGTTTTATGTTTTAATATATTTTTGTTGTAAACACAAACAAATAGTCACCAAAGTTACCTCGAAAATGCATTGACAAATAAATAAATGTCTTTTAAAAAACACAAAGAGCTATTTTAGGAACTTTATTTTAAATGTTTATAACCAATATAATTATTTTGATATAGGTATTACTGTAGTCAAGCAACGATTACAAATAATTTTAATTCATAAATGTCTGTAAATCGACTACAAATTCTAAAGGTGACAATAAATGGAAAACCAAATAAATATTTTGTAAGTATATTTAACATTTTTAAATAATTCCTTTGAGTTTGCAGCTGATGTATTAATTTTAAGAAATATGGAATTAGAAAATTATGACGGAGATATAAAAGATCTAAACGAAGAACTAAATTCTTTAAAAGTGAGTATATCTGCAGGATGTTTCTAAATAAGTGTCTGATATTTCACAGGGTGATTTTGAAGTATTTTTAATATTATGTATTGAATAACAAATCGTTAAAATTTGTAAAGAGTACCTTTAATTAACGAAGTAAGTATATTTGGGTATAATATACTGGATATAATGGTATTTACCTAAATTCAAATATACCCTGTATTTAGACACTGGGTATACAGGGTGTCCCAGTCTGAGCGTGCATTAAAAGTTTAGATAGAAGAACTACAATATCTAGATCGGAGAGTTTTTGCTCATCATTGTTTCACAATTAGATCTATCAATTATAAATATTTTCAATATAAATAAGGAAGTTGGCAGCAACTTTCTTAGATAAATTTTTCTTGAATTTATGTGCTATGATTTATGTGCCTTCCTTTGACATTAAGTGTCAAACAATCGAACAATTTTATTTCCTTCTGCCAAAAAAGTGATTATTTGAATTTCGTATAATACAGTGTAGCGCACCTCATTCGCTTCAGTTGATTATACGAAAACAGAAAGATGTAGAAACAAAATATTTTATGGGTATATGGGGGGAGACAATGTGCACAATTTAAAATTATTTTGAAATATACAGGGTGTTTCAGAACTAAGATTCATACCAAAGTTATATTTTTTTATGGAACACCCGGTATTATATTTCATTTTTGGATTCTTGGTCCCAAAAAAGGCATTTATTATAAGGGTTAAATATGTTTAAAATCTTTAGTTTTTAAGATATTTAAATTTGCATGCTACAATAGAATAGACTATTAACACCCTGTACATTACTTTTCAGAATTAATTCTTATGCTGAGTTTAAAGGTAGAGAAATAAACTTTACTTAAGAATGGTGTTGGTTCTTTAAATTTATATAGGGCTATCAAAAGTTGCTGATCTATTACCCTGTATTTTTTTTAAATAAATCGAAGCATATTCAAATGCTCTTTCAAACTATATTAGGGTTTCCTATACCTATCTAGCTATGATTTTGAATAAAAAACGATTTTTAAATAAAATTGCAATCAAGAGGGCTGGTGTCGCCATGGCAATTTTCTAGTGACAGTAACTATTTTCAAAGTCGACATTAGTTTATGGACATTATTATTTATAATTTATAACAGTTTACTTAAATTTACCTACAATAGTTTAATAAGTAAGTATTCATTATTTTATCAAGAAAAATACAGCAGTATCTGCTGGCGGAACGAATAGGTATGCTACTAGTGATATTATTTTGTGAGGAAAATTACTTCTTGGTCTCAAGGGCTTATGCTCAAAAATATTCAAATAGGAATCTTCCTGATAAGCGTTTCTTTGAAAAACTACTTGTCCTATTTCGCAGAGTGTCGTGGTTAAAAAAAACCTATTAAGCAGAAACCCGTCGTTAGAAGTGAAGAAAATTAATAATTTTCCGCAATTGGCTCTTTTATAGAAAATCCATATATCTACAAGTCATTGTAAAATAATTTAAAGAACTACTTCTTCGTTTTTCTTGATAGAATGATAAACACCTATTTAATAAATAATATTTATTTATTAAATAGGTAAATATTCTATCAAGATTTAATAAATTAATAATTATTATTTAATAAATTTATTAAACTATTGCAGGTAAATTAAATAAAAGTAAACTGGTTGAAATTTAAATAAGTCCATAAACTAATTTCGTTTTTGATAATAGCTACTATCACTAGAAACTTGCCATGACGACACTAGCCATCTTGATTACAATTTTACTGAAAAATGGCTTTTTATTCAAAATCTGAGCCAGATAGGTATAGGAAACCCTAATATAGTTTGAAAGAGCATTTAAATCTGCTGCGACTTATTTTAAAAAAAATACGCGTTGCGTTCGAAATAACGAGGTTTTTATGTAAAATAAATATTTATAATAAACCAGCATTTTTTGATACCCCTGTATATATTTAAGGAAGCAATAACATTTTTCTATAAAGTTTATTTCTCTACCTTTAAACTCAGCACAAGAATAAATTCTGAAAAGTAATGTACAGGGTGTTAATAATCTATTCTATTGTAGCATGCAAATATAAATATCTTTAAATATCTCTAAAACCAAAGATTTTAAACATATTTAACCCTTATAATAAATATCTTTTTTATATCATATTTTTTTGGGCCCAAGAATCCAAAAATGAAATAAAATACCGGGTGTTCCATAAGAAAAAATATATTGGAGTGGTATTCATATTATGAAAAAACGATTTTTTTCTTAAAATTTTAACACTCTGTATCCTAACCTAACCTAACCAAATCAACTTTTTATCTTAAAAATACTTGAAAATTCATCCTCTGAAATGTCGGACACTTACTTATTCAGAACTGCAACTTCAAGCAACATTTTTTAGAACAGCCACGCCATTTTAAAGAAAGAATTCTCATCGGTTATTGAAGAAAATAAGAAATTGTCCGATACTTTGAAAAAACTCTTGAATACGGAATGTAGTCTAAAAGTGAAGGTGAATGAGGATTACGAAAATATAATTGCTAATCTGAAAGGACGAATCGATGAGCTATTAACGGAGAAGAATACTGTCATGAAATTATGGCAGAATAGCGCTAAAACTATTGAGATATTAGAAGATAAGGCTAGAATGATCAGTCTGGGACAAGATGATTATATGACAAAGCCTGAAATAGAAAAGGTAGGTACATAAATATAGTGTCCAGAGTCAGGCAAGTTTTCGACAGACAACGTCTTAAAAAAGTCAGAAAATACAATTTATCTGTGAATTAAAAAATTTAAATGATAAACATAACTCTCAGAATCATGACAACTTAGAATTTTCATGATTTTTAAAGTTCAATATTCTTGTTATAGTGGGCCGATTTTTTAATCAATTTTTAGCTAAATTATTTCATCTTAAATTTAAAAATGAAGTTACGAGGGAAAAAAATGTTAATATGTTGACAAAAGTTTGAAACACCCCGTAGAGTGGTTTTAGAAAACAAGAAAAAAAAATAACGTCTATAGGTACCCTTGTGGCGGGTTCATTTCTGGAAAAGATTCTGATTTTTCGCCACTGGAAATAAGTCTACAAAATAAAATAGTTGTTTTTTAATATATAATAATATCTCCCGTATATAGCTTTTAACTAGTGATGGGATAACTCGAGCGAAAATTCGCTCGAGTACCCGATTATTGAAATAACCGACATCGCTCGATTATGAACGAGCGATGCAAGTGACGAGTACCAAGCGACGAACGCAAGCGATCCTAGAATGAAATAAATTGAAATCCGATTTTAATGTGACATACTCGATAAAAAGCCGAGCGAATTTTCTACATATATTGCAGGTAGCAAATTTATACGACGCCGTATATACCGGGTGCTTCTCAAAAGTGGCTCACCCCTATAACTTTTTTATTTTTTTTAGATAAAAAAATGAGATTTGGTATGTTAATATATCACATAAATTAGGATTTATTGACGTATTCAATTGTTTTCTGTCACTTCCTGTTTCACCGGAAATGACTACAATTTTTGATTTTTAAATGGCACCCTCGGTATTTTTTTAATTTATTCGATAGAAAATGACATTCTAAATAGAAAGACGTATCATATGTCAACTTTTGACATTCTCGCTTAATAAAAAATTGTATTTTAAATCTCAATCTAGAGTGTCATGTCTGTGTTAAAAACACTAATTTTTAATCAAGGAGCCTTGGAAAATACATTTGATCGTCTAATGTTTTTAGTGTCTTGTCCTGGTCGGTTAAAAGATGCCCAAATCGTATTTTTTTTCATTAGGGTGGCTCATTAGCATATTTCGAAAAAGATTTTTTTTACGAATAATTTGATACCACACACTTGGTACTTCGAGTCAAATTGTCGTTATGAACCGCATGTTACAATTTCAAATAAACCATATGTGAAAATGTCAAAAGTTGACATGTGATATGTCATTCTATTCAGAGTGTCATTTTCTACCGAATAAAGTAAAAAAATGCCGAGGGTGCCATTTAAAAATCATAAGTTGTAGTCATTTCCGCTGAAACCGGAAGTGACCGAAAACAATAGAATATGTCAATCAATCCTAATTTATATCATATACTAACATACCAAATCTCGTTGTTTTATCTGAAAAAATAAAGAAGTTATAGGGGTGAGCCACTTTTGAGACACACCCGGTATATTTATCCGTTGCGTATCTGAGGGACAAAATTTTACGACCTACATCGACAATGCTTCGAAATAAACTAAATCAACCGATCAAGCGAATCGCCCGCTGCTTACTACTTGCCGTTCCTTACCGAAAGAATATGTGCCCTGCGCACGCAACTAACTGCTTGGCGCTTGGCGTTAACGAGTACTTACAACATGCGACGGGTGAAAATCGTATTTTTAAATACGAGTGATATATCGATCGAGTGATCACTCGGTTATTGCAATCGCTTGATACTCCAGTACTCGATTATTGAAATTAATCGGTTTTTCCCATCACTACTTTTAACGCCTTAGGAGTAGCAAGGTACAGCTTGCCATACTAGAGCCGTTCGGTATACAAGCAAGGTAATGTGGCTAGCATTACGCTTCAACCGCCTATTATTACCTCAGGATTGTGAATCACAACTACTCATTTAAGGCTGAGTCATCCTAGGTACCCAAACTATTTTTATTTTATTAAAAATAGTCGGCTGATGAAACGCCGGCTGTGGGATTCGAACCCACAACCTTTGAATTGGTAGAAGAGAGCAGTACCTCTACGCCACCGGGCACCTACCTATTTTTTAATAATAATTAAATACCACTGCGAATCCAAATGGAAACCAAGTTACCTTCTGAAATGTTAAGCATTTTTGTCGGTTAGCAGTGGCGCAACTAGGGGGGAAGCTAAGGAGGCTAAGGCTTAACTCCACCAAACTCAAAATTAGCAAAGTAAGGAATTTTAAAAACCATTTGATCACCAAGGTGCATTTTTTCTTTCTAGTCTGTTTTTTAATTAATCTCATAGCTCATAGCTCTCTATGTTGGTGATATTCGCTTTTGAAGAAAACATTAACGAACACAATCTGTGAAATAGTTTTATTGTTTTTCTAATGTCACCGTCATTGAAAACTATTATTATTGTTTATTGGCAGTTGCTCTAGAAGAGATGGTTCTAAAGTCCAGAAGTTGATCTCTACCATGTTCAATTAAAGCAACAATCTTAGGCAACAATAGCCCGATACAACTTCTGGATTTAAAACCATCTTTGCTAGAGTAACTGCCAACAAACAATAGGTGTGAATTCCATTCTAAACTGTCCTAGAAAGAACTATGATACGCGTGTGCAGCAATTTTTTCATCTGCGCAAGCGCTGTAATGCTCTAGGAAGGTTCAGAATCGGTAATGGAAAAACCAGAACTAAGTTAATACATATTAATATGACTTTTTAATGACAGTGATTTTACAAAAACAATAAACATTATTTCATAGGTGTGTTAGTTAGGACCAAATGCTTTGAATGCTAAAATTACAATTGTAAATCAAGCTGTCCTCTTCAAAATCAAATATCTCAAACAAAAAAATTGGCGCCGGGAGGCACGTATAGCCGCCCATACTAAAATATGTTAATAAAAAGTTGGTAGGCAGTTCTTTTAGTTTCAAAGTAAAGGAATTTTTCCAATTTTTTTTTATTTCAAAAACTGCGACTTTGACTGATTTTGATGTTATTACAAATTTTGTTGCAAATATTATTCCTAATCTTAAATTGAAAACCGCGTTTCGCTGGCTACTGTAATTTTGGAGTTACGATTTTTTTAAATTTTTAACCCCCTCCCATACCCCCTTACCAACCCCCCACCCCCACCAACAACTAATGGCCAGATTCTCGGGTGCCACAGTATTTTTGTGCCAAATTTGGTTAAAATCGGTTTAGCGGTTTTTGAGTTATCGTGTTACAGACGGACAGACAGACACCATGAAAATATTTTGTATTTAGGTCATTTATGACCCAAATAACTCATTTTGAGTGAAATTAAAAAACTTTTTTTTGTCGATCTTAATAGCCTACCATACCTGTTGGTATGGTCGGCTAAAAACTGGCTATTGAGAAGAATCAAAATTCAAACTATAGAGAAAAGATGCACCTTCATGATAAAGTGGCTTTTATGTTCCTTACTTTGTTAATCGATTCCACTGGATGTTTAATAACCAAAATAACAACATTTTTTGCCCCTCCCCATAATTGACAGATGGAAACTTTCATTTTTAATTAAGAAAGAGATACCAATTTTCCAGAGTTTCAAAGCAGTTCATAGCTAAATTATTTGACTTTTTAGTAGGTATCTCTTTCTTAATTAAAAATGAAAGTTTCCATCTGTCAATTATGGGGAATAATTGACAGATGGAAACTTTCATTTTTAATTAAGAAAGAGATACCTACTAAAAAGTCAAATAATTTAGCTATGAACTGCTTTGAAACTCTGGAAAATCGGCCTACTAGAACCAGATATATTAGACTTTAAAATTCAAGAAAATTTTAAGGTGCCTCAATAATATAATTAATTTTAAGTTAAGTTGATCGTTTCTGGATAAAAATAAAAATATATCTTCATAGATTAAACAATCTTATGAGGAAAAATTGCAACAAATGCAGCAAAATTTGATATCGACCAAAGAGAAATTCCACGAGTCCATGAAATATTCCGCTGAAAAACGAGACGCTCAAAAGGAATCGGATATCGAGCGATCACTCGAAAATCAGGCGACGGCATTTAAGATAGTTAAGAATTTGGAGTCGGAAATACTGACACTGCAAACTCGCCTAGAGTACACGTTTGAGCAAAAATTGATGCTGGAGAAGTCTTTAATGTGCAAAGATGGAATCGTTGAAGGTAAATCTTATTTATAATTTTTTTTATGTATCAGCTTTATCCAAATAAATAATTAAAAAGAATTGCGAATACATACATGAACTTCAAACCTATGACTTGTTTGTGTGTAGCAGCTGTACGGTCTTTATTGTGTCCCATGAATGTAGACAAAATTTAGATTTGCAAAAATCAATATAGACAAATTTTAGATTTGCGAAAATCCTTTTTTTTTTAATAAACTTAAGGTTTTTTAATTTGACCGAAAATTTTAAAACGATTCCTAAAACTCTATGATTTTGTTTCTCCAATTTGTGTATGTATTTTGACTGAACTGTAAATGAATAATAAATACCAGAATATTTTTTTATGTAAAATGTACCGGGTGTTCCCATACACCGTGGACATTTAATTACTACGTACTTTTGGAATCAAAATAAGTTTTATTGGACCAAATTTACCTCTATACAAAAGTGCTTCATTTGTCCGCTAGGGGGCATCAAACTTTAACAAAATCAATGACTAAAGAATCCAAGGACAAATAACACCCGAGAGCAAATTGTGACGATATCACCAAACAGTGCCGTAGCACATATTTTTCTTAACCTAGCTGTTTGAAGCAATATTTATATTTTTTGATAATTGTTTTGACTACGCCTATGGTGTATCATCCTAATTAATTACGAAAAAAACGTATTAAAATGTTAACAAAAGGTACAAAACTAGTGTAAACAATAGATCTTGTATTTTCAAATAAAACACTGGATTTCCCTCATAACTTCTTTATTACATTTTAGTACTTAGGATTACGACACAAACATGTGTATCGTGCGAGCGCACGGTACCGACCACAAAACACATACACAAGAAGAAGTGCGAGCGCCTTGCTAAATATTGGAAAGTGAAATTGACGTTTAAATTTGACACTGTTGACAAGTCTACTGCTACTAGCGCCCCCAATTTCGCTTGTTTTTTTTTTTTTTTTTTTTATATACAGGGTGTTCCACGTAAAAATAACTTTGATATTTTTTACTTATTTGGGACACTCTGTATCTTGTAAATTATTTTTAAATTGTACCTCTAATAGTCCTTCATCGAACCCAAAACTTAAAATTTGTAAAAATATAATCGTTTAGCTACAATACTCCGTGTCGTATGTGGTGAACAACCCTGTATACAGGCCCGGCAATGGATCTCTAGGCATAGGAATTACATGCATTGGAATGAAACGCCTATAAAAAGTCTATGCTTAAACAGAGATGGACAACAACTTCCCCGTTTCCACTTCCACTACGACTGTCTACTTAGACAAACTCCAATAAGATAACAAATTTTGGAAATTCGGCCACCTCCCATCACTCATGATACCCATCCCCCTGCCCTTTATTTATCGCCATTATTTTATTTCCCTTCCCGCGCCTCCGCAATTCGCTATTCCGTCTCCCGTCAGTTCATCACAGAGTTGCCAGGTCTACCGGTTTCGTCTATAAGCTACCGATCTACCGATTTAAAGAAAAATATAACGATATGTTCAACTGCGTCCTTAGTTTTTACAATAGAAGCACTTTTAAAAAGCTGACTTATTTGACTAAAAATTAAGCGACTGCCGTGTTGGAATCTATATAATCTGACTTTACTATTGTTTCATTAAATTTTATTTAGTAATAACACACATACAGGTCATCGTTCTGTCTAGTTGCAGAGTTACAAAGATATTCCTAAAAATCCTTATTACTCCTTATTAGGCGCGGTATAAGTTGATATCTTTTGAAAAGATTTTGTTTCATTCATCTACTAAAGTTGAACCCATATTTTCCCCAAAAAAATGTAAACAAAAAATAAAATTTAAGTTAAGAAACAACCTAAATTCGGATAAATATTTTAGTGATTTTCCTGTCAAAAAATATATTAATATGAAAAAAGAGTTGAGAGTTGCTACAGCTTTCCCATTGAAATGAAATTAATTTTAGATATCACTGATAAAAATTTGTACAAAGGTAAAGAGTGACTGCTACATTAATTTGTGACTGCTATCTATACTTGTTGTAGTTTTATATGTTTTATTAATATATTAATCTCGATATATTAATATTATTTAATTCAATATTTTTTTTAATATCAAATAATATACCTAGCTATTTCTAATTCTTGTTATATTTATTATATTTGTATTTTATTTGAGTGATCTATTATTACGACACATAGGAATGCTAATTTTGGACTTAAATATTATATTTTATTTGGTTTCTGTACTTTTGATTTTTGTTGAAGATCTACCGAGAATTTTGTTCTCGTATGGAATTATAATCTAACAAACCCGGCAACCCTGTTCGGCTATTCCTTTATAAAGTTTTTTCGGCCTAATTCCTTTGCCACCGCTGCCGCCGACCGACGGTGTCGGAGCGACTGCTAGGAAGATCGTACAGTATTGCCATTTCATAGAATTGCACTTGCTATTTCAGAAATGATTTCAAAGTTTTACATGTTACTTTTCGTTTTAGAAAGAAGTTATGTGCCTAGAGAAAACATTTTTAAAATTGTTTCGTCCTTTATTTAATATTTCATTAAGCAGGCAAGATAATGGGATTAGAAGATTTGGGATTTGGGATAAGCCAACATAATTTCGATTTAATAGAATGGCAACACTGTCCGTCCTGTTTCTATTTTTTTCGATGCTATTCTATTAGAAGGCAGTAGCCCCCACACAAGCGTCTTAAAGACCCGCCCGGCGCCCCCTCTCGCAGAGGCTCTCTCGTCGTATCACTTCTATGATCACTTCCCCTATACGATGGTAGGGAAAAGACACTTTATCCGTCTCTGTTGCACTGCAGTGTATTTTGCAGCCTTACCATCTTTTTTTATCGCATTGAAAACCTCCTATTGCTAATGTTCCTTTGCCAGCAGTGTATATATACATATTTTAAGATTTTAAAAAAGTTTATACAGGGTGTTTCATAAAATATGACCATTGATTAATCACGATTCTGCTTAAACTGCCTGACGTTTAAAGCTGATTTTTGGTAAACGGATTGACTGTCAAAAATCCAAGAGGGTGAAAACGCCCCTCAAATATTACAATATTTGTTATTTAAAAAACGGTTAGTCTTTCGGGAAAACGCTTGGACACGCATAATTTATTTTGTTTTTTACATATTTTGAAATTTTGTAAAAAATCATACAGGGTGTTCCAAAAAGTTGGATAATTGATTAACCACGATTCTGCTTAAACTGCTTGACGTAAAAAGCTTATTTTTGGCAAACAGATTTTTCGAAAGTCGAACTCCAACGAGATGAAACTACTCCTCAAATATTACCAAGTTATATAATAATATCGCTATATTTTTTTGCTCATGCTGACATAAATGTGAGAAAATTGTATCCAGTTTGTATGTTAATGGAAATTCTTTATAAATAAATTAACACCAGGCGAGGAACAACAACGAACAATTTGTATATCTTTTAAAATAATATCTATATTAACTTATTTTATTCGCTTTTTTATATGTAAACTGGTTACACTTTAACGATAAATGTCTGCTCTACTCTTCAAAGTGTCTCTTATCTAACATTCAGCTCATATATTTTTTATTCCTTTGGCTCTATGGCGCGGCGTGTACATAACCCAGTTTTAATTAACTTAAGCCCTGTCCTCTATTTTCATTGCCTTTTCAACTCCTAATTGATATTTTCTGTCTTTGGACGAGTGGCTCTTCACTAGTCGGCTATCGATTGGGTACGTAATTAATGCAGTTAGTGGTTATGTGACCATTTCCTTGCGCGAATGTAGAATGTAGAATGTTTAGAAGGGGAGTTAATCACCGCGACCTTATAGATCTATTGTGTGTTCCCCTTTCTTGAGTTATAACGAGTTATAACTCATCATACAGTCTCAGGGCTTTAAGAAAAGCCAGTATCTGAGACGGCTCCACAGAGGCCAGCGCTAGGGATAGTCAGTCCAATTCTACAGAGCCCCGCATGTAGAAGTAAGGGGTAAATACAATGGGGTGCCCCCTGATGCCCCAAGGTTGAAACCAGTAATGGCTAGTCCTCTATCTAGCCACGCATCCCTTTGACCTGGCCCCGCCATCGTAGGATTTAGGTTTTTGGTGAGGTTGTCTCCTCTTGGTCCAGGCGGTTAAGCCAAGACCCCCCCACACCCTCTACCCGCGAGACTTGACCACAGACAGTAGAAGGTGCCTGGTTTAAATGTCTTGGTGCAATTCCCTGGCCACTACAGCCAGAGACAAGACAATGAGTGAGATGCTTCTTGGACCGAGCCAAAGTGCTAGAAGAGATTCCGCCTGCACCTGACAAGGAGCTTCCCCACCAACGACAAGGTCTTGCATCTCCTAGGGGAAGTTCCTTGCGCGAAGGTAGATATTAAATTCCTATGATGTGTTTACACAAGCTACTTTTTACCTTAGTTTATATTTAACTAGCTTTCTATACAGGCTTGGCGCATTCTTCACCATCGGAGGATATCGTAAATAATCAGTGTACAGGGTGTTTCAAAAAATATGTGTCATCTCTCGTGGGGAGATTCTTCACAGCAAAATAAAACACTAAATCACCACAATACACCAACACACTTTTACTTTTACACTGGACGCGCGTTTCGCTAACCATGTTAGCATAATCAGCAGATGATTAAGACTAATCTAAAAAATACAATTTTAGCGTTTATACCGGGTGCGTCTCAAAAGTGGCTCACCCCTATAACTTTTTATTTCTTCAGATAAAAAACGAGATTTGGTAGGTTAGTATATGACATAAATTAGGGTTGATTGACGTATTCAATTGTTTTCGGTCACTTCCTGTTTCACCGGAAATGACTACAACTTCTGATTTTTAAATGGCACCCTCTGTATTTTTTTTTTACTTTATTCAATAGAAAATGACATTCTGAATATAATGACATTATCATATGTCAACTTTTGACATTTTCGCTTAAAACGAAATTGAATTTTAAATTTCAATCTAGAGTGCCATGGCTATGTTAAAACACTAATTTTTAATCAAAGACTCTTGGAAAAATAGATTT